ATCAAGGCCATACCCTTCACTGATATCCCTACTAAATCTCGCGATGTGTCACCTATGGATTTTTGTGCTTTCGGACTTTTAAAAACTGCATTATCCAAACGTTGTTCTAAAACCCTAACAAGACTCTGGAAAGCTGTTCGCGAGAAATGGGATAGAATACCTCTTCTGCCACTTCGAAAGGCATTATTATCCTAGAAATTGCGGTGTCGAAAGAAAGTTCAGAATAAGGGATGTGAAATAGAACATTTAAAACACAAGAATTGTATGTAATTTAGTTTTGTGAATACAAATATACATCGTCTAAAAAATGTGTGAACAGCCTCTGTAGCAAACCAGATGAGAATTCGCGAGACATAACTGCAAACAATGGAATTCCCGCCTACTAAAGATGAGAGAATGGAATGGTATCAACGATGTCTGTGGCTTTCCACTCTTCTGTCTGCTTGTTTCCATAAAATGGTTTTCAATGGTATTTCTTCAATCTCACGATCGAGAAAACCCGAGTGCTCTGGGATGCCAAGCGCTATCTAGTAACCTACAATACAGTATGATAGCAATGTTAGCGAATTTAAAAAGAGAGGGACGCTCAACCAGGACAGTTATAAAATTCTGGAATTACAAGGAGGTTATATTTTTTTTATTTTATGTTTCTTGATGAAATAACATGAAATCGATAATTTTATCTCATTATATCAGCAACAATGGCACGCTGCCATTGTTGTTGATATATCACTGTTGCCATTGTTGCTGATATCAACACTGTTGCCACTCGGAAAAATGAGGACGATAATTCTGTGCAGTTTTTAAATTTAATCTTTCTCTCGAATTTTTGACGTTTATCGAGAGAAGGCAATGGGAAGTTGGTTAATTTATTTTTAAGATAATTAATATTTGTGTTAAGGGATATTGCTTATTTCATTGTATTTTTTATATGTAATACATTTTTATCGAAATTTATGGTTTTTAAATTTAATGTTTGATGTATTTTAAATCTCTTTTACAGTCCTCTTTAGATATTCCTTTATTCTAATCATACGTACAAACGTCACATAAAAAAAATCGGCCAGATGTATTCATCAACATTTGGAAACTGTCAATATGAATATTTCCGTTGAAATATGATTCCCGAAAATTCGCAATTACAATACCTACTAGGAGGTAAAAAATGCTGAAATGCATGAAATGATTTTAATAGCAAGTAAATTTGTCATTTTTATTTTGAAATTGATTAAGTTAAAAAATTCAAATTTAAGCAATTAACTGTTGTAGGTTAAGACGGACTGCTATTAAAAAATTTTATCTAATGTGTAAATTTCTTCCGTAGCTTAGTAGTACATACTTCATTCTGCTTCCCAATCTAATGCGAGCCTGCGTTCTTTAAAATTTATTCAAAAGAAGCCTCAAAATATGACATTAAGATTAATTAATTTTAAATTCTCGCAACTATAATAAAATTCAAAGTCTAGAAAGGAAACCTCTGCATAACGTTTTTCAAGAAATAATGGCAATGCGCTCAAATATTAATGTGCAGTAGAAGAATTTATTACTGTAAAATCTGTGTGAATTTCTAAAGCATTTCGAAACCAATTTATAAGCGGTTTTTCCGGAGGCAGCCGGGATGCGAGAAGATCGTTTGTCATTTAGATGCAATATTTCATTCTGTGTACCACTAAGCAAAGAGCAAAACCATCTAAAAAATTAACAATTAAAAAGTTTCCAGAAGAGAGACAAATGTTGAGTTCTCGTTAAAATGGGAGAGAATCATTTTCTCTAAAGAAATTTGTAATAGTTGCATTTTTAAAACTCTTAAAAGTTATCGGAAAATTTGTTTTCAATTTTGTTTTCTTCATTCCGTTTTAAATGCAAATAATTCGTCATTTTCCTAAACCTTTGTCATAAATCTTCTTCATTACCGTTGGAATATAAGTTTCGGATAATTTAGATTTTATAGGCTTATAGCTGCCTTTAAAATACTTTTCACTTTACTGTTATCTTTCTGTATGTTATAAGGGTGTTGCCATTATTGGCTTTACTATCTTAGGTATTATTTCTGGAAAATCGTATGAATAAATTTCGTTTTAAATTATGTAAATTATTAAGAAAGTCTTATCTTGCGATATTATTAATGAATAAAGTACATCTGGCCTCTAGGATTTAATGATAATTGGTAAATCGGCTTTTAATTAATATTTAATTTATTACACACTTTTAGGATTATGAAACTGAAAGCAATGCATTCAAAGATAGTAATTATTCGTAGTATCTTTAAAATTTAAAATTAAATCAAATTTTAAATAATTTTAATAGTAATTTTGATGTAAAACTTAATATAATGAATTGTTGCGTCAGTTCAACAGAGAAAAATGTATTTAAATTAGATTTCCTCATCTTAGGAAGAGGAATTTAAATTTTCAGTTAGTGATTAAAGTTTCCCGTATTTAAAGAAGCACTTTCACCTTTTGAGAATGACAGGGCTTTTCAAGTTATAATGAGTTTTAACTTATGTAACACAGTCATCAATACAGAGTTTGAGTATATATAGTTCTCTAACTATATACTCAATAGTTATATAAATATAGAGTAATATAAGGTATTTCTCCCACCTTCATAACAAGCCTTCGTGGTGTAGTGGTCTGCACGCTCAGCGCGTAATTGAAAGGTCAGGGGTTTGATTCCCGGCAAAGGCGTTGCTCATTTTTCAACTTTCCTGTCCCCCCCCAAAAAACCTAATGACTCTACAGTAGCGCTCCGCTTTCTTAACGAACCTTCGTGGTGCAGTGGTCTGCACGCTCAGCGCGTAATTGAGAGGTCCGTGGTTCGATGTTCGATTCCTGGCGAAGGCGTTGCATATTTTTCATCTTGCCTGCTTCCAAAAAAATACCTACTGTCTCTACAAAATATTGACGCTTATCTGTGAAACTGTATTATTTAAAGTTATATGGGTAGCGAAAACTTTCTCGCTTCTGTGAAAGTTAGATTAAAATTTTAAAAATGTTAATTTAGAGGTTAGACTTCATAAAACCATCTCATATTAGGAAGCACCAAGAGAAAAAAGAAAATGTGTGTGGCGTGGATGCACTTGCTTGATTAACTTTTACATTTACAGAGTGCAGCCGTACTATTTTTGTATTTACTTTTTATATTTGGGATATAAACTTATAAAAATCTTAAGTTTTACTAACGTTTATTTTATTTTAAAACTTTACTATCTTCTTTTATTTTCCACTTCCGGCCAGAATAAACCTTTTCGCTCTATTATGAAAATTGTGCTTGCAAAATCTTAAGTATTTAAGTTGTGACTTTTAGACAAGAAGACTTAGAGAGAGAGAGAGAGTGAGACTTCTGGCTTCAGTTGCTGTCCGCCTTTAAGGCCAGAAGTTTAGTCATCTTGATATTAAAGACGTATTGTAGTTTTCCCAGCATTCTACGTACTACACACGTAAAGATCTAAAAGGCCAATCTTAGTGTTACTAGCCTTTGTAAAGTATTTTAGTTTAGGTCTTATTTAAATTTAGATAGTTTGTAGTTATTGTTTTTAATGATGGCGATTTTAAAATTTCACCTCGTATGCCCTTCGACGCAGCACGCTCAACTGCAATGAAGTTCAGCGAAAACAACAACGTACAGGGTGCGACCATTAGCATTTTCAGCGTTTAATTAATATCTCGACTGATTAAAGTCATACGAAGATAAGAATAGTCGAAATGGCTTTCAACGAAATTTTGGAATCTGAGACACTTAACTCCCCGCCGTTTCGGAGAAGATGACACAAACAAACAGGCAGAGGCGCCAAAATGTCAATGGTATTCAATAACACACAAAAATACCAACTCAGTATTTGAAAACACTGAAAAATGTCAAAATATTTAATTTAATTATTCTTTGTTAGCTTAGGATGGCAACGATTTGAAATGCAATTTGAAACAGGATCCCAAGTTTTAAGACTTTTATTATTGTGGGTTGGCATCGTTCATTATAATCGGATGACGCGACAAGCTGTTAGAGTAAATCTTTTACTTTTTCGATGACGAAGGCAGACGATTCCGCCATTAAGACGATGACGCGATTCAAAGATGTTTGCTTATAAAATACGATTCCTTCTCTTCGTTTGTAAATAATCTCATCTATTTCCTTCTACGTATGTAATTACTTTGTAGTTTGTAGCAACTATTCATGTTTCATTAAATATTCAAGTTTTACATAAATCGGACTAGTTTATTAGCCCCTAGACAGCCACATCGGAAGTAAGTTTACGAACATCATATTCCTAGACAGTAAGTACCGATTCTACATTATGAAAAACAAAAATATTACTTTTATACATTTAAAATTGTGAATTTTTAAGAATCTAGCAATACAGTCAGTAGAATGTTACAAGCTTCATTATTATAATCTAATTTCATGATTTATATTCTGCGAAATGTATTGTTGTCAGCTTTGAGCTATTATGAGATAAATGGGCTTTAAGGCATACTTTAGATTTGTTTACTTTAGTTATAATTTATTTAACTTACTTTAGTCATTATTTACAGCTTTAGTCATTATTTACAGAACTGATATTAGCATCTTGGTTAATATGATTTAAAAAGGCTAGGAGAAAAAGAGGAAGAAAATAGAAGGGCGAAGAGAAAAAAAAGTGTATGCAGCGTGAACGGGTTCAGCTATCAACGTTTACGTTTACAAGTAATGTTTTCGAAAATAGGAGTAACAAAAAAACTTCATAGGTATTATTGAGCGATAAAAAATTTTAGCTCTTTCCCCATTTGCTTATTCATGAAATTTGTGATCTAAGTAGTACTTAAAATCTATAATGCATTAGAATTCTGAAGATACTGCATTTATGTAAAGATTTTTGATACGTACCATGTGAAATACCTTTAACAAAAATGCAGAAGAACGGAATTTAGTTCTTTACCAATGGGGAATAAATTAAACTAATTCTTACTATAAATGATAAAATACATGAATACTTGAAGTTCACTTCAATAATTAGACAACACTTGTTGCTGCAGCATTTTTATTAATGATTTTTACTTTGTACACTCAAGTTTCTGGAATCTCACACATAATGATAGTAAAAAAAAACTTAAAAGGAATAGAGATATTACATTATGCAAAAACACAAAGAAATGCGGATGTAATTAGATAAACGACACCTCAAAGATGAGTCCTTTCAAGCATCGTAGCTGCTGATCGAAGAGCTGTATGTATTTTGCACCACAGACATTAAACTTCTAATCACTACGAATCACATGATAATTTCACAGTACAAAGTTCTTTTCAAAGATGTTTCATCCTGGCTGCCTAGATATCTTTCTTATCTTAAAGATTTCCAGGATTTTTCAGGATCTAGACATCCAGACGTAGAAAGACATCTTTGGCACTTCTTTGTCTTCAGACGGACACCCGTTTTGTACTAACCTTCATGATTAACAATAAGAGGACAAATAAATATAATAAGAAGGAAAATATAAACTTAAAGGAAACTTTATTTTCTTAACACTAGCTATAATTTAAATACTTTTTAAATCGTATCTTACAAATACAAATACATGGTGAGTTTCAATGACGTTTATGGACAACTGATTCAAATTTTTCTTAAATATCTGTTAGTTTTAAAACATTTAAAAAATACATTTAAATGTGATAAATATTAACTAAAGTCCACTTCTTCTTTCTTTGTGTTTTCTCACTCTGGATCTTGGTGCTTGTTTGTTCTCTGGGCGGGAGCTTGGATAGCTTCCAAAGCTTGAAGTATCAGCCTGAAGATATAAGTTAAACATTTATGAGTATTGAAAATATCAAAGAAATTTATATTCAAAGTTTTAACAAAGGAAAGCATTTGAATGATATTTCTAGTGAAATAAAAATGCAGAGTCTTAAAAAATCATTAAAGTCAAAGAGAAAAAAGAACATATATTTTTCATTCTTTGCAATCGTTTGGAGTAATAATAGTCAAGTTCAATATTATTTTATTGTTGCTAGATAAGTTATTCTCTACATACCCGTAATGTATAACACACAGTACAATATACAGTGAACACTCGCAGGTAACCACTTTTTGAGATAACCACTTCTGAAAATGATTGATACTTCTGAAAACGTAAACAAACTTTGGTACGATATGTCCCCACTCCTCCACAAAATACCAAATTCAACTGGAACGAGGAGTGGGCGTATATAAAAGATTCATTATATTTTATCATGTCTGTGAAGGCGTACTTCATTTGGCTTATAGTATTATTTCTTTTCTTCTTCACTTAAATTACACGACCTGTTTACTTTCACTTGTACGTTCTCATACGTTTATACATTTACAGTATACACACGAAATATATTTCTTTCTAAATGTGAAATCTTATATTTGGAAAGAATACAGAGCCAACCAGAATATTAAAACCCATTCTATATGTTTTAATCATTCTTCGTTAAATGCTTACAAAGAGCTAACAAAGACTGGAGTATACATGGCTAAAGAAAGTCTCATATTAGATGAATCATATTTCTTATACCTTGCACAAGATGGAGTTCGCGTGAAGCGTTTCCCAACCATTCTTTCTTGTCTGGATGCAATGTTTAATGCACTCAGGTGAATGAATGCTATATTAGCAACAATTTCAAGCTAAGAACTGAAAACAAACTAAACAGCTATAACTTATCTAAAAATCTTGGATTGACACTTTTTAATTCAATTGCCTTCCTCATAGTCTTTCGATAACATTGTATTCTTCCAGCGCAGGAAATGTTAAAAGTGTTGTTTCGATAAACAAGGAATTCTTTTTATTGGTATTGTTGCGTTCTTATGGGTACGTGGATTTGGAATGATTAAAGACAATATTTGATGAAGAATCAAAACATAATTTATTAGACAGTATTACTCAGGTCAGCTCCAAAAACACGTTTACAGTCCTCGAAAAACTGCAACAAACACGCTGAAACAACGAGCAACACAGGCTTCAGGCTATCAGGCTATAACGGTGAAGACAGCATAGGCTTCCGACTCGGTTCAGTCGTCCTCGGAAGCCAACGTACTCTCGAGACTCTCCATGCTACAACTCGCGATAGACTCGATAGCCTCAACAATACACGCTCTCGATGCATCAACTCGACACTAGACTACGAGACGCACTTTACTCCATATACCAGCAGGATGGGTTTATATAGCTTTCGGCCTGTTTTCGAGAACATTCGAGGCCAGACCGATAAGAATTCGTTCCAGAATGCTTTATATGGTATATCAGCAATTTTGTTGCCAAATGTCGCCAAATGGACGATTTCGCGCCAAATCTGGCATCTCTGCCTTGCCTTGCCATTTTCTGGCAACCCTAAACTTGCCTTGCGGGGATGCTATCTTACCGCGGCTGGGCATTTCGTAACATTAATATTATTAATTCGTAACCCAAATATGCAGGCCATAAAACAGTATTTCCGATTTTAAATACAAAATATATTTTGGATAGCCTAATCGCGCCTTTTACGAGTATATTTCAGCTAATCCTCTCCAACCAAATTTAGAGACAAATGTATTGAACAGACGATCTATGTGTATTATATTTACATGTTAGGTAATGGGCTTTAATGTGCTTCATAGTTGGTACATAGTTTTCTCATAAATTAACCGCAAAATATTGTTCCAATACATTAGAGTTTATTGGTGTGTTAGAATGTTGAGAATATTGTTTTCGGCATCGCTGTATAAGCCTGCCACGAGTCGGTGGTCACACGGTGATGAAAAATAAAAGCAAAATTTAATCGCTTAACTGTATGCTGTTAGTTATGTTAATTAGTAATTGTATGCCATCATGCTAATTAGTTATAGGTGATCAGGCTGATGTGGCAATATTGAATGATGTAAAGATTTATAGAAATAAAAATTTCTGCTTCCATTAAATACAGGTGTTCATCTTATTAGTGCCAGAAGGACTATTAAGTGTGGAATTTATGACATGAGTCCTCCTGCTGCTATTTTCACTGTAATGCTGATGTCCGTTGTAAATTAAGAAGCCTTGTTTATTTACGGCTTGCAGTTTTAAATATAAGTTTCAGTTTTACATGCTGCTATACGACATCATAAAAGAGTAAGCGTAGAAATGCGAAAATACGTATTACATAAATTAAATAATAACAGAGTTTCTACAATCATTATACATTTTCATGCGTTGAAGATATCCAAATTAACATTAAAGTTTCATTATTATGCATTATATTAGAAAGCATAAAAAGAAAGTATTCTTCAAAGACAAAATCCTTATCAATAAAAATATAAGAAGTATTTCCGTACCGATATCATGCTGGCTATTTCAGCTGACACACAACGTTGGCAAGTGCTTTTTCCCATGCCGTCAGCAGTAGCTATGCACTCACAACACATGCCCCACTCTGTGCTTCCCTCTGACGATGACCTGACTACTAGCCTTGCTAAGACGTCCATGAATTTCTTGTTGGTGTTCTTTTTCGTTTCGGTGAGGAACTGCGAATCGAAGCTGGAACCGTTAACTTCGAGTGCGAGTGGTATGCAGACATCTTTAGGAATCTTAAGCTGAGCTAGCAGATCGCCGTCTCCAGACAGCTGACTATCCTTGACGTCCTTCAAAGTGTAAGCAAATTTCTTGTCAACACCTAGGTGATGCAAAAGAAAAGAAAATCAGTCATTTGTAATTTAAAAAAATACACAGGTTTGCAAACTTAACTTCACGAAATTTTTGGAAACTTTTTCCGAATATATGTTATTGTGAGATGCTGAATCTGAAAATAGCTTGAATCTTTTTCCTCGCATACAGTTTTATTGCAATTTACATTAGCAGTACCTTGACTACTGCACAAGTTCTTAACTTCGATAGAAATTTATATCATATCCTTTCGAAGCAGTTATTTATGTTAAAAATGTCGTAGCATATCTAACTGCAATCATCTTTTTACCTTTGGGAAAATTGTTGATCATAAAGCGGAAATTAATAATGTATTATTTAAAAATAAATTATATTTAATAAGAACTAATGCTTTCTTAAATATCTTTCATTTAAACACAGTTGTAAAAATGGTTATTTAAGTAGATTATTACAACCATTGGAAAAATGTTTTGTGCTTTCATTACAAAAGAAAAAAAAAAGGAAAAAAAAAAAGACAAATTTGAAAGTTTTTCAGATTTTTTATACGCCCAAAGGGGCTTTTTTTTCTTTTACACACACATGCACGTTTCTTGAACCACTCAAAAGCGTTTGGACTAAAAATATTTAAAAAAGAACATATCTTTAGAATTTCTAACAGAAAGTTTCGCGCGCTGGAGCTGAGAGTGTTTTATTCCGTACAAGTGTTGCCAATGCTTGCTCTAAAATCGCGGAGTTTTTGAATAAAAAATTCGTTAAAAGTTTTACGAAATACCAAAAAGATAATAAAACAAATCCGAAATTCCAAATTTGAGTTCATATTTCGGGCGAGGAATCCGTTATTCAAAATCGGATGGCTCCAGGTACCTTGTTTCTTCACAACGCGAGAAACATACATATATTATTTCAGATTCCTTATTATTTAATTTGTTTAAATATAAAACAGGGTGATAACATTTGGTGGTAGCAATTTGGAAAGTGATTTGTGGGTTACCGGCGGCAGGTTGCGCTTCTAATTCCAAATCAGAAGGCTGGGTATTTAAATCATGTTCGGGTCACCAATGTGGGTACCTGGCGGTAGGTAGCTCTTCTGACTCCGTATAATGATTAGTACATTTGAAAGTTTGCGTAATACTTTATCTATTAATCTATATCTATTAATCTATTACAATTACGAGAAACTCTTTACAAATATATATATTCATAGATAGCATAGAACAGTTATTGAAGTAAAACATAATCCTGTGATGTGAGGAACCTGCTGACGAGGGTCTCTCTAGTCGAGAGTTCAAGAGCATTCTGGCGTGTTGCTCCGATGGAAAAAATCTTCAGACTGAATTAGCCGTGCCTCCTTAATTAGCCGTACCTCCTTAATCAACCGTGCCTTAATTAGCCTAGACTGAATTAGACGTGCCTTTTCATTGTATTTTATATCCTCTGATTCGTTATATCTGGAACGATATTAGAGAAAAAACAAGATCATTGGTTCATCAGCTCTCCTGAATCAAGAGGTCAGAAAGCTCAAATCTCTTGTCCCTAGTCGTGAAATTATGTCTCTTGCACTGTAAACGGGAAGGAATTATTGCGTCTGCAATGTCAGCTGGCAGATCATAAAAGCTTGTCCTATTAAGTGTCGCATGGAAACAGTGACTTGCTGGGACAGCATACACGATTTTCTCATCTACGCGTGGTCCGCCGCAGATTCAACGCTTTTAGTGAATCGACGCAAAATGCCGTTTGAAAACAAATAGCCCTTCTAGGCTAGCGGTAAAACTAAAGAAAAACTTATTTTTAATATATACATGCAGAACTGATTATACTAAGGAATGGAGTTTGTAAAAAGTTTGTATAATAGAGAGCAGTTAGTTATAAAAGAGTATAATTTTTCAACTTTACATCTGAAATGAAAGGCAATCAGTTGATGTGAGTTTTGAAATGACTGCCTTTGGAAATGATGGTGTAACGAAAACGCAAGATTCAATAAATGTACATCATTCTGAATTATCTTTATTATTTATCTGTTCTTAGACCAGTTTCCCCCCCGAAAGGAATTGCGACTGCAATTTGATAATTTCTTCATCTCTTCTTGAGGGTGGAATTTTTTTTTATTGAAGATTTACGCATGGTTTATAATTATGCTTTCAGCAGGAACAAATGCGCTTTCGCTAAATTCTAGTTATTTTTAATACAGTCCTATTTGGCACTGACGATAAACGTTAGGCATACACCTATCGAAACCATTATTTTGCGCTGTCCTTCTCGGGCTTGATCCCATTTCACTTCCTGCTTTGGGTCTTTATTTTAAGTACACATTATTTACTTTAATGCTTAATCACTAATGTCCAAAACTAACCGAGGCTCCAAAAAGTAATTTTAATTAGTCATATTAATGCTTTAGCAATAGCCATATTTAATGCTTTAGCAACAGTTTACCAAAGCTGTCCGATATTACATTTTCCCCATTGGTCATCGTTTCATGGCCTCTGGACGCAATCTACACAACACCTCATCAGTTTGTAAGCTTCATCACTCTTATTCTACTAAATGAATGTTAAGGAACCTAGTGAACTGCTAGCGAATTAACACTGAGTCCAAATAACTAGAGATGTAGACTCAAGAAGTGTTAAAATACGTTTTATCTCACTCAACTAAGAACGACAGTCGGCTCCTTTCTCGGGCTTACAACAAAGCCTCCACTCGGGATTGAACTCAAAGTAAGAAGTAAGAACTAACTATAACTAATTAAGAGACTTAGTCGAAGCTAACACAAGTATCTAACGTAGCCGGCTCTAAATTTAAACTAGCCGACGAATATTAAAAACCACGTAATATACGGCCGAGCGTAACAGCTTCAATAGAGATTTAGCCCGAAGGCAAACACGTGCTACTCAGGATTCCTAGGTCTCTCTCTCGAAGTAAGTTGAATCTTCCTTAAATACTTCTTCTAACTTACTCGCATTCAACGCGATTCTGAAAACTCATTCTGGTAGGGAGTTGTAAGTACAAACAAGAATTTATAGGAAAGCACTTTGAAATGAAAATAACTCTAATAAAATTAAAATATGCCTTACAAGCTGATTGCTTTTTTTATTTCAAATAGACAACTTAGAAAATTATATCTTTCAGTGCATTAGCGCTCTCTTTAGATAAAATGTTTTAATTGTCACAAGAGTTACAATATTCACCCTGTATTTCTCCGAACCTACTGAAGAGTCACGGAACAAAAATAATGTTTCAAAATTTTAGCTTTGTTGTTTAATTATAATTTAAGAGTCATAATATTGACTCTTAAATTATAATTAACCAACAAAAAGAAAAGTTTAAAAAAATCCTGATATTACTGATCTATACATGTTTTCATTTTTAGATTTAATTATGCAATACGCAGAATAAAAATTCATTTATGTGCGAGGAATATTTATTGCTGATTACAGATTACGTTTTCTTTTAAGTGGATGAAATTTTTTAACCAATAAAAGAGACTTTATTTTATTATAATTTAATCTTACGAAATTTCATTCTTACTCATTCTTATTTTACATTTATTCTTACATTCATTTTTTTTTTACATGAATGTCAAATTTTGTTTTTGTGCTCTTACATAGGTATGATCTCCAACAACGATAAACTCTCTAAAACTGCTGGTTTCCTTAGCAAAACTTGAAATATTTTTTATTTTCACCTGAAAGAAGGATATGATAGGGAAACGTACCAATGACTCTTCGAGCTTTCGAATTCTTGTTGGGAACTTTCATCTCATATTTCTGTTCCATGACAAGATGGAGTGTAATATCTCCATCCAACAGCGTGCGTAACATTTCGCCGTACTCAGCCTGTAAAAATAATTAAAATAATGCAAATAAATAACTCGAGAAGTGGAATACAAAACTTAATAATGATTAATAAAATGTCGAATAAAAAGTTTTTAAATTAATAAAAACTTGTTTTAACATTGCAAGAATTAAAATTACTGTAATGAATGCATTAATTCGTTATAATGTTTACTGTAGGTTTTTATGGGCGATACTGGCTTTCTTTCTATATATTTTTGCCCTATCTGTTATATAAAAGCATTGTTCTTACTTGCTAATTTCGGTTTAAAAATAGACTTTGAATACTACAATGTAATAGATTAAGAAACGTATGAAAACATTAATATTTAATATAAAGAAATGTTAAATTCCGATGTTAAAAATTAAACATTGTGTGTTAGTTCGAATTCTGATTAAAATATTTTGTCACATACTATTGAACATTACGTTCAACGTAAACACCTCTTTTCATCTACATCAAATAGAATAAAATGTTTTTATAGATAAATACTGTCATATAAAATATTTATGAGAAATTCGTATACACGTGTAAATCATGAAACTAACTTCAAAATACTTTTGTAGAATTTTTAAAATCATGTCTACCCACCTATTTTTCCGAAGTTATTCGTAATTACTTCATATTAAAGCATTCTTAAGAACGAAAAGAAAACGTAATTGATAGCATTATTAAGGTTACTAATTAACGTAACATTATCAATCAGTTAATTAAGTGGTTAATGAACTACCAAAGAAACAGTTAATTAAATGGTTAATGAACAAATAAATAAATCTATTGTCCTAGATATTCATTGCTTTGTGGGTGGCTTTGTGGGTGGCTGGCGCATCTGACTCCGTATAATGATTGGTACAACATTTGTCAGATTGCGTAACACTTACTACATTTTAAACTCAAAACATATTTATTACAATTACGAAAAGCTCTTTAGAAATATATATATAATTCATGGATAGCATAGAAAAGTTACTGAAATGAATTATAGTGACGTGAGGATCCTGACAACGAGGTCTCTCTAGTTGAGAGCTGAAGAGCATTTTAGGTCTCTCTAGTCGAGAGTTCATGAGCATTCTGACGTGTTGTTCCGATAGGAAAAATCTTCAAGCTGAATTAGCCACGCCTCCTTAATTTTCAGTAGTATTTTACATCCTCTGATTCGTTATATCTGGAACTATATCAGAAGAAAAACAAGATCATAGGTTCGTCAAGCCCTCCAGAAATCAAGATGCTTTCACGAGAGACACAGTGCAGAAAGCTAAAATCTCCTGACGCTGGTCGGGAAGTTATGTCTGTTGTACTGTCTATTGGAACGAATTATTGAGTCTGAGATGTCAGAACCACGGCGTGTGGCACATTGTAAAAGCTTTGAACACAGTGACTTGCGAGGACCGCACACATGATTTTCTCATCTCTGTGTGGTCCGCCGTAACTTTTAATAAACTTTCTACTGCATACCAAAACACAAATAATGCCTAAACGTATTTCGTATACAAAGAAAACGTTTGAAAGAATCAATGTCTAATATAATGAGTTTAGAATGAGTTAAGTCTAAAATGAATATCTTAAGAAATTAAAGCGTTTAAAATTAAAAAAATTCTAAAATGAGTTTAGGGAAAGTTAGTGGAAACTTCAGTTCCTTAATATAGCGTATCAAAACTCATTGTATTACAAAATAATGATATCCTTCAAAAACAATTGAAAGGAGGAAATTGATATGATAACCAGTCAAAGTTAAACTCATGGTATAAAAAGATAATGATTGCCTTCAAGAGCAATTAAAAAAGAGGAATATTTTTGTCTGATAATTATTCAATTAGCGTTTACTAATATAATTTTGGGAGCAGTTTCACGAAGGCAACATTAATAATTATCTTTGAATAGCTAATTTTTCTCTAAGCAGCGTTAAATCAATTAATTAACCACTATAAAGTACACGTAAATTATTTGCATCAGAAGACGAATAATAATAATAAAGTTACGAAATAAAAACCTAAGACGTACCCTAACTTCTTCAGATTTGCAGGTTGAGCATTTCAGCAGTACGAAACTCTTAACTGTTCCAGACCTAAAGTTTAGCGCTGCGGCGAATCTCAGAGCTTCTAGAATATTAACAGGTCCATCTCCATACTCCATACTTTCGAGAGCTGATGTCAGAGATCTCAGAGGGCCAGATTCTTGACCATCCATGGTATGAATATGAGGAGCAGCGTGAACTTCGTCTCCACCAAAACCTACGACACTGTATCTGATGTCACGGTATCCTTTTTGCCTGAAATTATCTTCAATGTTTTGGGCTAATTTTCCTAAGTATTTGACGCGATCTTTGTTGCAGGCTTTCTCTTCTATCAGGAAAACAACATCGGCAGCTGTAACACTATTTCCGCGTGTGAACTTCAGAGCTTCTCCTTCTTTCATCATTGTTCCATCTTGTTTCTCGCAAAGGACTGAAACAAAAAATCAAAGCTTTCGTTTAATTATTTTCAGAAATGTTTAATGTGCATTGAAGAATTTAAAAAATGTCATAAAATTTCGGTATCTTTCATACCTATCGCAAATACAAATGCTAGAAGAAATAATGTGAAGAAAATTAGAAAAGTTTGGAGAAATATATAATCGATATAATTTTGTTATAATCGATATAACTGTTAAATCCATATTGCATTCATACTTATGCAAAATAAAAGTTTTGTTTATTATCCTTCAACAATCCGTCATATTGTTAACGATTCACTTTCTTTTGTAATTTACGGCCCACCAGCGGCAGAACGGTAAAGTCGCGGAACTCTGGTAGTTCGGTTTGAGGTTCGAATCCCGCGAACGGGCAACCTGCATGAGTGTTTTCGTGGTTTTCCCCCTGTGTAACTTATATACGAGCCAGTTTCCCTTAATCCTCCACGAAGGTCTCCCTCCCCTTAGACGAGATAGCCCTCGAGGCTTAATTAAATAACCTAACCTTTTGTAACTTACTATCCGTATTATCTAGGTCATTTTAATGAAAAGTTGTCAGCAATGGTAAAACTGCAGAAATAAATAAAAACTTTCATAATTTTTGCTCTTTTGTATTCTAATTGCTACCAGACTTTTGTACAGGAGTTTTTAAACTATGGGTCGCGACCTCAAATGGGGTCGGAAATCGAAATTTTGGGGTCGCAAAAATTCAATTCGATAGTTCAATTTTAAGAAACTGCATTTCTAAGAGTTTTAAAGAAATTACATTAATTGACGTTAATGAGATTAGACTTTTAAAGACATTACATCAATTGATTTTAATGAGATTAACTACCTGTTATATAAAGTGCAAAAGGGATTTGTAAAGCTATCTAGCAATTCAAACTTAAAACTTGGGTTTTACAAAAATCTTTGATCAATTCTGGATCGGAGTTAGAACTAGATTTCTCACTATTTCTGAAATGGCATTAAATGCCCTTCTGGCATTCAGTACCAGATATTTTTATAAAGCTATTTTTCCAGCTTCAATGTTAAACGTTGAAACATGTTGAAGATGCTTTATGTCCAGCAGTGTCAAATATTGCACCAACATTTAACTTGTTATGCAGCAGAAAACGAGCACATCTGTTTCATCAGAATTTTCTTTAATATTTTTTGTGCTTAAAATAAATCCTAAAATACTTCTTCGTATATGTAGAGTGTTTACCAATGAAGAAAATTATTTACGGGAGGATATTAATTTTTATATCTTTATATTATATTTAATTTAATATACGGGGTAGCGAAAATAATCTCAGTGATAAAAAGAGGTCGCGATTGAAAAAAGTTTAAGAAGCCCTGATAGACGAATCACAAAGAAATTTAAAATCTATGTTCTGTAACATGCTGATGGTGCAATTTTATAATTTGAAAAATTATTGTTGCAAATGTTTCGGAATAACCCGAATCTTTTGTAGGGTTTATATTTATTTTAACTAACATTTATTTTAAGTTTAAACTATCTTTCCTGTCAAGCCTTACTTTCCCCTGGAATTGCCAATGCCAGAGTATGTAAATTTTAGTAGAACGCGCAAGGATTCAAATTATCAGCGGAAGTATTCTGAGTTAAATAGAAAGGAAACGAGTTCGAAAGTGTGCTTTCTTGCTTCACGAGTGTGGAGGTGGCTAGTTAGAAATCGAAGAACCACGCGTCGGCTTGTGTGCTTGCCTCGGCAAATTGTTAATCTTTCAACGTAATATTCAGAAGTTTGCTAAAGTATCAGCGGTATTTTAGAACGCGGTGAGGTTAGTTACGTTTAGAGAGCCTCGTAGTTAGTCACTTGTTATTATCTCTTTCTCAGTTTCTTATTTTTATTTTACCGCCGGGTCGGCGTAGTTTGTGAGCGTCAAGAGCACGCATTTGTAATTTCTAAAGTTGAATAAAAGGGATTTAAACCCTTCTCAAGACTTTGGTCTATTTCCAGTTCTCAGCCGTCACCACTTTGTTGCGTGCAGGTTGGAAGCGCGCAACTTTACACTTTGTTAAATATAAAAAACATGTGACATTTCTGTCATTACTAAGAATCAATGGTTATTTCTAGAAATGTTTCTTCCATAAATATATTTATCTTTCGAATGTCCCAGGGGAACAGGATGGCAATTCGAGTTGCTTCATGTCCTATGAATTAAGTGATTTCATTAACGACCAACGAGCAAATTCTCGAAATTATTAGTCAGTTGGTGTTTACTCTATTGAGCAACAAATATGTAAAATTTAATTTTTAAATATTTTTTGGATGTATCTACAATAGAATCTTCAGATGAAAATTAATTTACTTATGTACTGAGAAAAATTTTCTCATTTGGAACTTAACCTTACACCTGCGCTGTTTCTATTTTCATCGAAAACTGCTTTTTGTAGTTTTAACAAAAGTCTATAAGCAGAAAATGTTCTCTTGTAGCTGATTTATAATTAATAATGTGTGGCGTTTCGAATGGGTTTTGCATGCGTTTCATTAAAGTGAATGAGTAACTTAGTTTCTGCAAACATCCCATTCCCTTTTCCAATTTGAAGTCGTGCTTATTAAGTTGTAAGGTATATTCTTCCTTCTTCCAGCATGCCTTCGTGGTGTAACGATAGCACACTGGGCGTGCACATGAGAGGTTCTGGTTCGAGCCCCAGCGAGGGCATTGCACATTTTTCATGTCTTCTGCTTTGAAAAACCTAATGACTCTATAAAGCCTAGTTCAAATTTCAAATCTTCCTGATTACCATTCAAACTTCAGTTTCTATTTTTCAAAATTATTTCAATTACATATTTTGCAATTTGTATTCTTATCAAACTATGTAAATCAAAGCTGATTTCTTATAATCCTTAAAACAGCTCTGAATCTCTATAGTAATTTATATTTAAAAATTCGATTTATCATCTAGTCATTTTACATCAATAGTCAACCAGTAATAACTATGATAAATTGCCATTTAAATAAGATTGCTTTAATTTTTTTATCATGCATTACAAGGTCTCAGAAAGCATGAAAGTTTTCATAGGAAAGGCTATATTACACATTTTAAAATATTCTATGTAATATAAATAGACGTATATTGAAAAGTAATAAAACTTATAATCTTCCTTAGGTAAAAATAAAAATTTTGTAATAACGCACATGACTTCCTTGCACGGAATAGTAAGTTATACGCATTTTTTCCTGCATTTCATTTGAACTTATTTCCTCAAATTTCATTAGATATATAGTTCTCATTCAATTAATTCAGTTCTCACTTCGCAGCAAGGCAAAAACACATAAAAACTCAAATTAGTTTCATTAAGTATCGAAAGATATAGATTCGGACTGCAGGCAAGAAACCAGATTTGTAGGGGCACAAAACGTAAAGTTTACTTTTGGTCCCACTCGGCAAACAGACACTGAAGGTACGGAAACTGACTTAATTCACTATTCTGCTATGTTTCAAATGTAAGCAAATATGGCTGCTATGGTAGAAAAAAAAAATTAGGCTTACCCGCACAAAAGCAACTTTTAAATTCTAGTCTATTTTAGTCTAACTTTTAAATTGTTGATAACTCTACGATTATAACATGAAGGTTAACTAAGGGCTTAAAAACCTTCACCGAAAAATAAAAACAACATAATTCACAAATTTTTAATGGAAAAAATGCACAATTTAGTAACGTATAAGAATAAAAAAGAACTGAGCTCACGGAGCCGAGTAACAGAGTGGGTATATATATACATATATGTAACATTTGGTACGGCCGATTGCAACCAAAAAGGGAGGTGCACAACTGCATATTATAGCAGTCCTATATACAAAATTTCAACATTCTGAGGCTACTCATTTTTGAGTTATGCGAGATTCACACATATACGTACGCACGCACGTACGTACAGACGCGTCTGTACGTAGTGCGACGAAAAAATCTCTTCTGAATCCATTTTAAATTAGTTTTATAATTCCTTTGGGGGAAAAGAGTGCTCTATTCTGTCCTTACGTTGAGATGTGACGCAAAAACATCGTTAAATTGCATTGGATAGCGGTCAAAAAGGATATTTTTGTTGAAATATGGTACTCGGAATTTTTCGTGATTACAATGCATTCTTTACTTGGTAAAAGAAAGTAAAAAGCACTCACCGCAATCCTTGGGCATCTTGAGAGGTACTCCTGCCATTTTGCACTCGGCAAAATAAGCAGCAGCGGACTGGCAAATAACAGCATCATGAACTCGCTCGTGAACAGCAGAGAGATCGTTGATGCACATCTTCAGGTAGTTTTCAGGATCAACCTGCATAAAATATTTAGTAAATCCTTATAAAAAGGAATAAATATCTTGCAAAAGTTATTGCATTCATGAAATTACGTTGTAAGATGAAACTTTCAGAAAATGTGCTACCAAGTGTGTTTTGAATAAATTCGAAAAATATTTTTTGAAAGTCTCGAAAAGTTCAAGACATTTTAAAAGTATATAAAAAACATAATTTGCTTCAATAATTTTTTGAATGTAATTAAAAACAAATAAATAACAAGAAAAATGTTACATGGGAGGGATTTTATAAATTTTAAATTAAACATCTAGTTCAGAAAGGCCTAAAATTTTAAACTCGTGAGTTCATTGAGTAAACATATTGAATAATAGCATTTAATTATCATTTAGAAATTAAATTAATCAACTTTAATTATAAGCGTTAGGATTACGGAGTGTGTTTGTGGATTACCTGTTTGAAACAAGCTCTGAATTCAGATGAGGATTTTTCAAACATGCCTCTGCATTTCTTCTGGACCATGTAATCGTTGCTTGGCAAAGTAGCCAGGTTCTCTGTGCTTCTGCAAGCCATTTGTCCTACTTCCCAACTTCTGGCAAAACTTTCTACGTCATCAGCTAAGTGTCTTGTTGGAGTCATCATATCAAGGCTTGGCTCATAGTTGAATGTACCAAAGAGTCCTCCAGTTTTTCCGAAGTAAAACCCGGATAAAGTTAAACTGCAGTAGTTGCGGACAAAGTTGCAAACAGCCGAAAAGCCTATCGTCAAATCATTAATATTAGTAATCTAACAGGTGTAATTAAATACAATAGAAAAATTTAAAAAAAAACTGTACAATTTTAAAAACAGAGAAAACACGCTTTCAATAATAAAATTTCAATTCCTATGAAATTTTAGCTATGAAACAAGAACATTCTGATTTATTTAAAAATTTCAACTGATTCCTCTGCTATTTTAGGTACAACTGATAATTTTTGTTTTTGTCTAAATTTCAATAATTTTCAGATATCTAGAAAACTTAACATTACAGGCACTGAAGAACCTTCAAAGTATAATTACTTAAAAAAATTTATGAAATAAAAGGGGAATTTAGAATTGTGTAATTTTGTTACTAAGTTGCTGTACTGTAACTTACAATTTAAGCATAGTTAATTTCTATTCTTGTAATTAAGTGACATAACAGAGGAAATTTATATATTGCTATTTCTTGGAAAAGAAAACGAATAAATTGTCATTATAAAAGAAATTAGTAATTCAAAAAAGAAATTATTAATGCTATTATTGACCACAATATTAAACATGTAAACTTTCATTGATAGGGAGGAATGAAAATATAATTGTAAAATTTCCGACGATAGACCTAAGTGAAGCAAAACTTTAAAAGAAAATGTGCTAAAGATGGAAGGAAACTATTAAACTATATTTTTTACGATTATTGAAGATAACTTTTATGATTTATCTCATTAATTTTTAACATTTTAAAACATTTTTCTAATTTTTAAGTATTAAAAGTGCGATATGTTCGTCAAACTCTAATATTGGAAAGAATTATGGTACTATATTCATTCAACATCATAGGTTATGAAATGCAATAAATTAATAATATAGCACATTTTCAGTAACACAAGTAAAATTTTAAACTGCTTGTACAAAATGTTACCACAAAAGTATTTTCAGAGAAGAAATGGTAACAGTTAAAAATAATTTTTCTTATTTTCAGTATCAGTTCAATATGTTTAACAGAAAATGTCTCTTAGTACGTAATTTTAATTAAGACAAATTTTTATGAAAACAAAATTAATTTAATATGTTATCTTATTTTTACTTTTTCTTCATTCGCAAAATCAATGTAGGGTATATACAATTTGGAATTCCTCACGGACTTTTAAGTAAAATTATCAATAACTTGTTAATAATTATCAATGACTTACCCAATCTTATTTAAAAATTCACAAAAGGCACTAATTACTGAGACTGTTAAGAAAGAATTCCCAATTAAACACCTCAATGGACTTTTAATATGATAATTATTCTTACAAGGAAAGATGAAAGGATATACGAAATGTAGTCTATTGTACATAAACATATTTTTATAAGTGACAGACAGCGTTTTTTATATCTACATCATTAAAAAATAGGTTTATACTCATCTACGTTTTAAACATCGTCAGGAAACGAATTTTCCTGTTATTTTACCGATGTTAACCCCAAAGTCATGTACAGTGGAACCTCGAGATATGAGCACTTCTATAAACGAGAAATTCGAGATACGAGGAAAGCATGAGCGAAAGAATCGTCTCTAAATATGAGCATTGACTCGAATAACGAGCAAGGAGCCAGGCTGTGGGTATGCGTGTTGAGTCTCCCGATCCAGCTCGACCCCGGGGAATCTCCTGGTCAGATCACTCAGTTTTCTTTGATCTACGTGTTTGTGCGCTTGTGAGTTAATTGTTTTTCTCATTTGACGTGAAAATAATTATTTCACGATGCCTCCAAAGAAGATTGTTGCCTCAGATAGTGCTGCAAAGAAAAGGGAGGAAGCCATAGTCGTTGAAATTAAGAAAGAAATCATAGATAAACATAAGCGTGGTGTAAGAGTGACGGAATTGGCATGGACTTACGGCCGTTCGACATTGACGATCTGCACTGTTCTGAAGAAGAAGGAAGAAATTAAGAAACTTGATGTGGCCAAAGGAGTTACCTTTATTTCCAAACACCGCCCAAAACTCCTAGAAGATGTTGTTGATGTGGATTAAAGAGGAGCCGTTAAAAGGCAATTCGTGACGGAAGCTATCCTTTATGCTAAGGCTAAAAATATGTACTTGGACATTCCCCGAAAAACACCAGGTACGTCGACTGAAGATGAGATGGCAATGAGATGTTTGGGGGTGCGGAACGAATTAACTGGCTTTCCATTATTTCCAATGGGAAGGTTTGTTCCTAGATACGAGAAATTCGCTATATGAGCTCAGTGCTAGAACCAACTAAACTTGTATCTCGAGGTTCCATTGTAAACTCAAACACTTAAAATATAAAGTTTGATTAGATAATTTATATGCAAAGTTATGCTTCTAGAATAATACTTCAATGGTTTATAGACAGGTTATATCAGCAAATAAATTATTTTGGCTATTAGAAATGTATCGTAATATGAATGAGTGCTTTCAAAATAAATAAAATTCTAACCTTTCTTTTCGTTCTCTATCCTGACATTAGCGCCTTCTCGAATGACGATTGTCTTGCCAATCTGAATGGGAAGTTCCGTTTTCGTGTCGTCTAGCGTGACTTTGTAATCTTGACCGATATCTATCTTCTTGCCTTCGGTCAGAATGGTCAAAGATTTCCTCTGGTAATCTTCCCTTCCATAGTTCACAATTACAGAGAAGTTCCCGTCCACAAAGTCACGAGCCAGCAAATAGCTGCATCTGCCAGCAAACTCAAATGGTAATTTGTCGAAAGTAATGTAGTGCTGGTTACCAGCTATCATAGCATGAGCTGGAAGAAAAATGTAAATATATATTATTAAGAGAAAGAAACAATTTCTATCTTAACGACAATTAATATAAGATATGATCTCTATTATAGTATTTAAGCATATGTAATATTATCGCAGGTTATAAAAGTGTTAACTGAAAATTACTCTGTCGACAAGAAGCTAAGGACTTAGAGACCACTCAAGGACTTAAGGACCACATAAGTTCCCACTTAGTGAGTCTAAAAACTGAGACCATATTCCAGACGCGGATATGCTAGTATCCTGCCCTTCGAGAGGTACACACATTTTGTTTACCAGTATAATTTATAGTCCCTAAGCCCGCATGCTCTACCTCTTAAAAATTCTATAGATTGAAAAAGTATTTTCTGCTGTACTAAACGAAATAGAACTCATTTTTTTTAAATAGATTTTCAAAACTACAGTTATCCTTCAGTGTTCACTGAATATGTATCTTCATATATTTCGGTATTTCACGAAAATAATTATTATAATTAATTAAAAAGTGTATCATCAGTCGTACAAACAATAAAATTTTAATTCTTGCATTGTACGTAAAAGCACAAAGAGAAAGAACCATCAGATTTTCACAATTTGTTAATAGTATTAATAGTACTATAAGGTATTTCTCCCGCCTTCTTAGCATGCCTTCGTGGTGTAATGGTCAGCACGCTCGACGCGTATTCGAGAGGTCTGTGGTTCGAGTCCCGGCGAGGGCATTGCACATTTCTTCAATTTCCTGATTTAAAACAATTCTATATGTCTCTACAAAGGCGCCCGAACTGAAAGGTGGTGGATGATGATTCTTCACCACCAGGATTTCTTCGACTGGGTCCCCTAATCCCCATTCGCCCTTTAGAAAGGGCAGTATATAAGGTATTTCTCCCTCCTTCTTAGCATGCCTTAAAGGTGTAATGATCAGCACGCTCGACGCGCATTCGAGAGGTACGTGGTTCGAATCCTGGCAAGGGCTTTGCATATTTTTTCAATTTCCTGATTTAAAAAAATTATAAATGTACAGTACAAATAAAGAAATGAAGATTTTTATCATTGCGACAACTTTCTTATTTAAATTATGTATTAGAAGAAAGTTCTGCTATTGAAAATTTAATTTTGTAATGTTTAATTCTATATTTTAGCCCTTTGCAAGCCTTAGTGAATTATCTCCAGCATTTATTAACTTATTTGAAGGAACAAATATTTACCTCTGTTGAGGTTCAAGGATAATTATTTACACAGAATGTAGTTAAACTATAATCGAAATGTTGATTACATGAAAATTCTGTTGGTTACAATCCTAGAATGTTTGGTAATTATTATTCTAAAGCTTAAAACTTTGCAAGCAACAGTTTACATCATATATTTGTTGATGTTTCAAATTAAAATATTTAATATTCGCTGTATCATTTTAAACAAAGCTATGCTACGATCAGAAATTAATTTCTGGAAGTTGTTTTCTTAGACAGACATTTGAAGTTTTATATGGCCATTTAGAAGTTAGAGATTTAATACAGGAATGTTTTATACATGACAGAACAACAAAAGATCGAGGGAAGAATACTCCATGCATCCACGGTGTATATCAAACAGTAGTCCTAAATTTTACCATCACAATGAAGGTACTTCTGTAGAATGTAAACTGTTCCTGTTTTACGTTGAAAACATACATCTTATAAGTGCATCGCCGATGCATTGATTTTATTAAGAACGAGAAAAAAAGCGCAGAGCGTTTGAAAATTCATCTCCTAAGCCATTCTGATATCTGATAGCTGTTAGAACATAATATGATTCATCACTATGCAGTTTATAAGATAATATGCTTCACTGTTTATTAGAGATCATTAAATGATAATTTAAGCGCTTGCATATGAGAAAAAAAAGACGACTACATTGAAAACTCTATTCGTTTTTTATATGTAAGATAATAAATGTGAGCCAGTTTTACTTGAGAAAACCCTCACAAGAGATTATTCCGTCAAAAAAAGTATTTTGATCATTTTTACGACAGAAACTTGTAAGTCAGAATGCGATGTGATAATAAGTAAGGCAGATGAGGAAAGCATATTTTTTCTTCGTATAAGCAAAAGGATTTGTCAAAATTTTCGAAATTTATTTTCAAGGAAATAATATAGCAACCCTCTTTAGAAAGAAAAATATACAGAAAAAAAAAACCCAATATTTTCTGCTTAAAATTTACATCAGTAGTTAACGTAATTAATTTAGTTTAGTAACAGCTGTCTGATTGATTATAGCGAGGGTTATATGTCTGAGCTACAACTTGCACGGAAGAAAAGGGGAGAGGGACAGGTCTCTATTTCTCATTGACGAAATTTAACTTGCATTTTTCGTGCTTCGAAAGTGCGACGTAAGAAATATATTATATTTACATATAGCCACTGTACTAAAATCGGACTTTTCTGGAATGAAACACCGATTTTTTTCCATATTTCGATTCTACGACTCGGATTATACCAAAGTGCCAAGTCTTGAAAAAGTAAGTTTTCGCACAAGTAGTTTCTAAAAACTAGCTCTCGAAAGTTTTGCTCTTCAGTGTTAATTAAATTTGGCATATATTTATTAATATCCCTTTTTTATTAAACTTACTTAATTTATTTTTCCACAGTTCAAAATTTAGTTTCATTGCAGCTATTTTCTGACTTGTTTTCAAAATTTGTATTTTTTTCTAATTTTTATAAATTAGAAAAAAACATTGAATTATAACCTATCAAATGTTTACAGTCATCATGAAAGTAGATTTATTTTTAAGCATACCTGCGAAAAAATACAGTTTTATTCAAAATTTCCAAAGATATACGTGAATTTGTAATGTTGGCGCGATTTGAAATTTGGAATATTTGTTATAAGCGATAACAACGCCAAATACGCACTTTGTTAGAATAACTTGAAAGTGTGAAGGAAGCAGCTTTTTTTTCCGTTCGTGCTCAATGAAAAAAGGAAAAGAGAAATAGGTTGCTATATATTAAGAATTTCGCCAAGTGAATTATTCTCGGGACAAACTGAAAACGTTCGCCAAGATAAATGTTTAAATTTCTCGATAAGTCTGTCACGAAATTTTACAAAAATTAATGTTTGAGAATAGATTGAATATCGAAAGACGGAAAAAAAATCGGCATGCAATTTCAGACAAAGTCCGATTTTGTGCAAAACACCTATGTTAGAACAAAGTTGTATATAAATCTATTATATTCGCGCTTTCGAGACATGAAAAACGCTGTCGAGTTAAATTTCGCCAATTGGAGCAATAGAACTGGAGATACAGAAATATCTTCCTTTTCGTTTTGTGCAAAGTGTACATGATGCCTTTCCGTAAAACACTTTAAACTGTCTTATATAGCAACCATTACCGAAGCAGCCAGCCCTTTCTGTAAGAAAAATTTCATAATACTTATTTTTTTAATAAACAAAGTTTTGGTGCTCTCAGATTAGTAATGAATCTTCCATACCTGTAAAGGATGGCAGCCAATAGCTAGGAGTAAAATATTTCATGAATTTATAATAGAAGTCCCATATGCAGAAGTCTTCGTAGAAGTTAACGGCCAAGGTATTCTTTACGTTCATCATCTTCTGATATTCAGGATAGCTCTTGAAATCAAATACTTCAATGAGGCTGTTACGAGTGGTAGGCAAGTTGAACTCAATGGCCATGTATCCTCTTTCAGGTGCGAAGTCATATTTAGCACCGCCTTTCATGTGGTAAAATTCGGAAAGAAGGTCTTGAGCCGTCTGCAGTGCAAGGGTTTTAGCATAATTGGATATAGTGTCTGATGCGGTGTTAACCAGAGTGTCCATTCCCAAGTTGTGATACACTTCTACACTCTGCAAGAAGGAAAAAGTTTCAATTATGAGACCTAAAATAATGTTTATGTACATTTGAGATTCGATATTTTATGTTTTAATTGAATTATAATTATTGAATTCATTTTTATTGAATTATGAATAGCTTTTAATTGAAAATTTAACTGAATTGGTTTTCAAATGATTTTTGGTTTCAAATGATTCAGGAAAACGAAACATATGTTGGAGACACATTAATCGACTTTTTTGAAACTTTAAATCATTTTCCCCTGATGAGTTCTGAATTAAGGTTTCAGACAAAGGAGATTAATTTTTATTTTTGTTTTCATTATTTTATCATTTGCATTTTTACTTTTCAGGTTTATTCTAATGATGAATCTTTTATTAATTTGAGTATGGTTAGCTAAAAAGCTTGAAAGTTTGACCTTTTCCGCGGTTGCAATCATTAATATTGTTAGGGAATTACGTTGTTTAGATTCAAATTTAATTTAAATTTAAAATTTGATTGCTTTCAGTTTAATTTACTTCAATCCAGAAGCTATAGCGCAGAACAGGTTTAATTTTTGATTATATATATATATACATTATATATATAGAGAGAGAGATACTATATATAGATATATATATATATATATAGAGAGAGAGATACATATATATAGATATATACATAGATATATATACATATATTATATATAGATAGAGAGAGAGAGAAGAAGAGAGAGAGATAATATATATTATACTATATAGCATATATATATATATATATAGATAGATAGATAGATAGATAGATAGATATAAATGTATATTATATATATATTGATAGATAGATAGATTAGATAGATATAGATATTATATATAATAATAATATAGATATATATATGTATTATATATAGATAAAAAGAGACAGTACAAAGTCTGTAATCCGGACGTCCATTATCCGGAATGATCTATAATCCGGAACTCAAAGCCACAAACTTTACGCATGCGCATAGAGAATGCGCATACATTACGCATGCGCGTAATGTATGCTTTACGCAAGCGCGCGTTGAAAGAAATGTTTAATAAAGTAAAGAATTAAATATTAAGCTTTTTTTTTTGTAAAATTTCATACCCTTTAGATCATAATTGCTCTTTATTTCATAAATTACGGTTTCATATTTTAAATCGCATACATTACGCATGATTTACGCACGCTCGCGTTGAAAACAATTTTTAATAAAGTAAACAAATAAATATTAACCTTTTTTTTTGTAAAATTTGATACCCTTTACATCATAATTGCTCTTTATTTCATAAATTACGGTTTCATATTTTAAATTGTATAATTTCGGCATGCCATCTTACCAGATATAAATTGATGATCTATAATCCGAAAAAACCCCTAATCCGGAATCGCCGAAGTCCCGACGAGTCCGGATTACGGACTTTGTACTGTGTAAGGTTAAAAAATGGGAAACGATTACATGTAGACTTCATAAGCTTTATTCTCACTCTTTTTATTTCATGGTTAATTTTGTTTTGTCCTGTCACATAACAATATTAAATAATAAAAATATCACCAATCAACATTTGGTACTCTAGGAAAAAATTGTATTTGAAACATAAAAAATATCATTCTTTTATGATAGAAGCATGTGGAGCAATTAAAATTTTTTATCAGTACCTTTCGAAGGGCAGAATTGGCGATGCCAGACATGTACTCAACGCTTGGATGGTTGATTACATTATTCAGTATTTCCGCATCATATATTCTGTTAATAAATGCCTGCGCTGATTCCATGTATTCATAATCACGGAAAGCCTGGATTGTATCCATTACACTATAAGCATAATTCCTCAATGCAATGTAGTATCGATTCGAGAAAATGCAGTCTGAAACTTCCGTCATAATACCTACAAGAAATAAATTTAAATAATTTAATATAAATGAATGAAACATCACCAGTAACAATTAATTTTCCCTAATTTTGTCACATCCACTTACCATTTACAGAGTATCGGATACTATCAGCTGCATTTTTGATGTAGTAATAACCATCGATGAAGCAAGGTGCGTAAGCTCGAACCAGTTTGTCCAATTTTAAAATGATGTAATCAGAAAATTCTCCAAGTTTCTTTGATATTAAGTTAACAGTCTGCTCTAGTTTCATAGCACAAGTTATCAAGCCCTTTCTGGCAGCCTCCTGGGCATTTTTAAACGCTTGTTTAGCCGTTATTGCCCACCGTGTATACATATATTGAAGGTAGTCTAAGAAGTCTAGGCACTTATAATATATTTTATCGTATGTATCCTCGAGGAATTCCATTATTATGTTGAATGTAACTTCACATGCGAGGACTAAACCATCGGCCAAGTCACTGAAAATAAAAAGAAAGTTAAAAATCTGGATATGTGAGCATTCTAATATTAAATAAAATCTATAGCAAGACCTGATTCTCATTTACAGCGAAATAGATTTGTTTACAGGTTTTGCTGAGCATTTTCTCTTTGGTTATAATATTTTCAAACTAAATTTATATCTATTTTAACTAACATGTTAAAACTTAATTTGAAACACTTTCCTATAAGCCTTCATTCCTCTAATTGCCAGTTCCAGAATTGTTAAATGTTGTAGCGCGCGGGAAGGAAAGCAAATTTCTACTTTGAAGAAAGTACTTAAAAGCCGAGTACTCTGCTAAATGTTTGTTTGGGAGTTAGTTTCTGTATGAAGAATAAACAATAGTTTATAACACTCTTTTATCTCAAGTTTAGGCTGGCATTTGGGGATTTGTCTCCAGGACAGCTTACTTCTGACTGTCATGTTGTTCTTGCCCACTGCGCAAGCAAAACTGGAAGCCAGTTTCGAATATTTTCAAACTAAAGATGAGAACTGCAGTTTCGAATCTCGGAAACCTTAGCTTAATGAGTTACCATAAAATGACTTGCTACATCAGCCTTACGCCTTTATCGGAATGTCATGACCAAACGTAAAACTGTGAAGAGGTCTTATACCTTCGCAAGGATTTTTGACCACAGCTTCGTTATGGACATTAGAGCTTCTATATGACTACTGAAGCTGTTCAAATAATTTCTAAATAAACTCGGAATTGCGATCTTGGTACCATTACCGACTGGAAATTAGTATTATTATGAATGACTGTATACATAACATGACTATGTAATTATGTATCCTGACTGGAAACTATTATTGTGAATTATATAACCTGACTAGAAATATTATTGTGAAAGAGTGTTAACTCATTCACAATAGAAATTCACCTCTTAATAATAAGTGTTCTTGGCATCATTATTAACAATATATCCTAACTAGAAACTATTATTCTGAATTATGTAACCTGATCAGAAACTATTTTTGTGAATTATGTATCCTGAATAGAAAAAATTATTGTGAATTACGTAACCTGACTAGAACTGTTATTGTGAACGAGTGTTAACTCATTCACAATAGTAGTTCACCGCTTAGTAATAGGACTCCTTTGCATAATTATTAGCAATGTATCCTGATCAGAAACTATTACTGTGAATTATGTAACCTGGGCAGAACTACACTAGTGTGAAAAAATTAAGGACGAAACGGTTTTTTCAATATAACTTTGTACGAAAGCTTTCCAAATCAACACATTTAATACCGTAAGATCCCCAATACGTAAGGACATGAGTAATGTAAGCAACACTTACTAAAAGAGAAATCAGAGGGATAAAAAGAAGCTTCATTGAAAAAGTAGCATGGAGCGCAATGCGACTGAAGGCCGAAACATCCCTCTGATGGGTGTCCAGCAAGAAACATCCGGTCTTTAATAGGGGATATGATCTCTCCCCTGACTGCTAGGCAGGTTCACAGCGTCTGCCCATGCTGAGAATGAGGTGTTGAGGCATTGCTGCCCATTCGTCTTGCAGCGCCAATCGAAGCTCCGGAATCGTTACTGGTGGTAAGGTACGAGCTGCCAAGCGTCTGCCTAGAAAATCCCATACATGCTCGATGGGATTGAGATCCGAAGATCATGCCGGCCAATCCATACGTTCAATATCCTCACTCTCTAAGAGCTGTTCGGCAGCTACTGTGCGATGACATGGTGCATTGTCGTCCATGAAAAGGAACTGCGGACCCATAGCGCCTCTAAAAAGACGCACATATGGAAGAAGAATCTCGTTATAATAACGGGTCTCATTGACTGAACCTGCGTCGAAGATGTGAAGGTCTGTACGACTACCAAGCATGATGTCCCCAAACGAGAAACACCGCCACCTCCATACCGTCCCTTTCAATGATGTTCGAGGGATGATTGCGGCTTCCCCGCTCTCTCCAGATGAGTATGCGATGAGAATCGCTACCAGACTGAATCTGCTCTCATCTGTAAAGAGTTCTCCCCATTCATTGTCTCTCCAATTCCGGTGTTCCCGGCCCACAGAGAACGCCTTCTCCGATGGGCAGGCGTAGAGGTACACACCGTACAGGGCGTCGTGCAAAAGACCAACCACCGTGCAGTCTTCTGGCCACGGTAAAACGCGATATCGGTCGTCCAGTCGCCTGTGTCGTGTCTAGCGATTTCTCCCGCTGTCTGCCGCCTGTTTCTCTGGCCGTAAGGCAATATCATCTGCGGGTGTGGTTCCTCGTGACGACCACTACTAAACCCCTCGGATAGCTGTTCCTGTAGTTTGAAATTGTCTCCAAAGTCGTGAAACGATGCTGTGAGCAATTCCGAACTCTGCAGCCACACTTGTCACACTGCGGCCTTCCTCCAACTTCCCAATGATTCGACCTCGGGTAAAAGCATCCAGATGTCGTCTAACAGATTGATTATTCGCCATTTCTCGCTGAGGCAGCAACTCGGTGTGATTTAACTGCTATACGGCATGCAATCTCTTTGCCAGAAATATGATCTTACACGACAACATGCTTATACTACTCAGACCCTCCCCCATTACGTCTACCTGCATATCTGCGCATGTGCTACCGTACATCGCCTTACTTAATCTCCTGATTGGTCTTTCTGTCCGCTCTGCCTCTTCGTTCAGCTGATATGCTAATTTTTCGACTTCGTCCTTAATTTTTGCACACCAGTGTATTATTTTGAACGAGTGTTAACTCATTCAATGGTAGTTCACTGCTTATTAATAAGAGTCGTTAGTATCATTATTAACTATTCATGCCTTTTATATTCTTTGAAGAGTCTTTGGTAAAATATTTATTTGCTAATAATATAATATGAAAATGTTCAACATGGAAATTTTGGATAATTTTTGATTAACACCTTTGAAAATTATTTTTATGTTATTGTTCATTTAAAACAAATTTACATCTAAACGTTAAGAGTAATAACCAATCATTGCAAATTTGTTGTCCGACAAGATAATGACATAATTTGCACAAAATTATAAATTACAGATTTATAAATCAGATATTCACCGTGAAAAAGTTGCCTTTCTTGTATAACTTTCAAATATAAAATTCAAGTAATAAATTGATAATTTTTAGTAATGTTTAGAACAAATTTACCTCATAAACTTCTTCAGTGCCTTTCCTTGTTTGACCATATCTTGCATATAGAATTCATTTCTGTTGTACATATTCCAGAAAGCATCCCTTGCGCTCTGTAAATCATTGGCAATATCAGATGCACTATTCCTCAAGTCTTCAAAGAATGGAGATAATTCTTGCGACATGGACTGAGCTAGGATTCCAGATCTTAATACCCACTCATTCGAAAGTGCTGATTTCATATTCGTATAACGAGACTTCGCGGACTCAATAAAACCTCTCAAAGTTTCACCAGTGTTTACCTAAAAATAAAAGCAATAAATCAATAAAAATTTTCACAAAAATTTGCTTAAAGGAAATTCTTTAACCGAAGTTTCACTAAGCCAAAGTCAATAAGTTGCAGCTCTTAACTTAAATTTGTTGCTTGTCAGCCGACATATTTTCTTTTCCTTTCAAGTTAACTTGAGTATTATTGAAAGAAAATCCGTTTCCTTTCACTAATCAACAAAATGTTCTTCAAAGCGATCTGGAAAAATACTCCAAAAATTTTAACTGAACTTCATTTAATCGAAATGTCGCTTAAAAGAAACAGTTTAGGTAATTTAAAGTCTTTGTTCATCAAATTATTTTTCTGGGGTGGAAGGGAAAGTAAACTTGGGTGCTACTGGAAAGCAAATTTAAATGTTTTCACACCGAATTCAGAACTAATTTCCACATATAATTAGCATTCAAAGGCGACAAAGTAAGTATTGATAAAAGATACTTAATTAGTGAAGTCATAAAATTTAATAATCATAAGAAGAAGGAGTATGTAAAGAGTATAACTAAAAGAAAACCTTCGGTTTTTGAATTTTCTGATCTCAAGAGACACTAAACCTTTCTCATCACTTACCCCGTTATCGTTTAGGTATTGTTTGAAAATTTAATAGCAAACTAAATTTAATTGAGGAAAATAAAATAAATTCTAAAAACATAGCGCACAAGTATTATTTCATAATACTTACTGGAGTATAACTTACTAGTTATAAGATGAGTACTTACTGGATTACTTACTAGTTGTAAGATGAGACTGGAGTGTGTGAAGGTTTCCCCTTCACACACTCCAGTCTTACAGATTTAAGTGATGTGATACAAAGCATATTTCAGTATTTGTTTGAGTTTCTCTTCACAGAGTAATTTATGCTAAAACAAACAGTTGTCAAATCTCAGTGCTGGAGAATATCTACTTAGAATATCTACTACGTTCAGTGATGGTTTTCAATCAGTTATCTTTTGGGCAGCGAATATCCTACCAAGAATGGAAAATCAAAGGTTTCAATGAATTATTAAGGGAAATCGTGTGCTCCAGAGGATTAGGGATTTTTTTTCTCATTTTGTATGGAAAAGTGTTCCCCCCCTCGTTCATCTGAAACAATGGAAGGAAAGTTCTCAGATGATTGTTATATGAGCCCTGTATAAAATGTCTTCATTTTTGTAAATACAAACGCTTATTATTTATTTTATTTCGCGTAAATTAAAATAGGTTTAAGGTGTACATTTTAGAAGTTATATACTCGAAATATATTAAAAGCACCATTGCTATTAAATATGATGCTGTAAATCGAAGAATCCTTTCTTTTCAGAAAAACAAATCTGATAGAAATTATAAGGAAAAGAATTCCATCAGGAATTGTAATATTTCAGTAAATTCGGATCAATGCTCATTGTATGTGATACTATAATTAGTGTTTCATAACTTTCTTTCCTTCTTATTTCGCTGTATATACTAAAAATATATTACATATATTAAAAATAGTTTATCTACTGACTGCGTCATCGAAAATAATCATTATTGTTTAATATTTATTGTAATGTATCGATTTCAAATGCATATAAGGTTTTAAAAATTTTTCTGATGCTGAAATAAGAAAAATTAAAAGGTTTAGTGCACAGTGCAAAACATTTATTATTAATAATTGATATATTATGGATTAGGTTATTGAAAGCATATTACAAATGAGTTAATTAGTGTGAGCTAGACATGAACGATCTTATATGGGATCATGGAGACTAAATCCTCTTCTCATAAATAATTGTATATTTTCTCAAACCAAGAGACAAATGCAAAACAGTTTAGTAAAATTCTGACTATAAATAACTTCTAAAATAAAAAATTCAGTCTATTACAAATTATTAGATGACCGTCTAAATACTATATTTAATGAACCTCAAAATACACATTTTTCTTTAAATTCTAAAAATAAAGCTCGTATATTTTGATAAAAAAATATGTTTATATTATCCTTTCATTGCAAAGCTGATGTAAAACTTACTTTTATTTATTTTCTCATCTAAATAATTTCTAAATCTAAAATTAAATAACCATAAAATTTACTAGTTTCATTCATACCAAACAATATCTCAAACTGTGATGCCCAACGATGTGAAACTCGAGCAGATCGTCTCGGTTTCTTTTTCCGCCATCTAAACCTGTCAGTTTCTGCCAAGTTTTGTTAAGATCTGGATAACAGTGATAAGAACAAATTTAATTTCAAAATTGTTCCATGAAAGCCTCCCTTCCTTTTTTTGTTGGCAGCCATCAGATGCTCTGCTTTATTTATTACATTCAAAATCCCAAATGGAAATAAAAAATATATTTGTGCCTACTAGCCCTGTGCTCACTGCACGGATTCTGAAAATTAAGTGTATCTTAGAATGAAAATACTTTAAATGACTGGGAACTGTTAACTGCATCACTTTATGAATTGGAATTAACTCTTTTAGAGCAGAGATTATCACAACCAAACATATTCTTCACGGCCAAAATTTCAACCAGTTTGAGAATCTGAAATGTTTCTTGTTTGTAATTTCAAAAGATTGCTATCTTTTTAAAATTTTAAATCTAGATTATAAAAGAAACGTGCGATAAATTCTCTAACAGTTGTATATTTCTGCCTCTCATGCATTTATTTCAAGACTCTTTAATATCAGTAAATTTCTTTAGATAAATTTGAAAGTTTAATTGTTTCTTCAGAACCTCTTATTTATGGCAATAAATATAGGTTAAGTGAATAAACAATGCTTAGTACATACTCTTAGTTCTTCCCATAATCTTGGTCTCCAGTTCACCTGAGATTTCAGGACTTTGGACTCTTCTAAACCTAGGTATAGACTGGCATCGTTTATAACATTTCCTCGTGTGCTGTGTGAGACTTTCAGGCTTGCGGAATCCTTAGGGAATGCTGCAGTAAATTGGAATCCAGAGTTTTCTGCAACAAACAAACAACATTGTATAGCTTATGTAAAATTCATATATTATTTGCCTTATATTTGGCAATTTGTGAAAGTCTTTACCTATTTCACATTAACACTTTGGTTCATCGGACCTATTGGACAAATCCTACCTCGATATCAAAGATACTGTCAAATAACATCCGAAGTGGTTGAAAGATAACGTATCCCCAAAAGTGCAGTATCAATCCCTCGAACTTTAACGCTTAAATCGTGATTCGGATCCAGACAATTTACAAGGAAAGCTTGCTTCTTTATCCACCATAAAGAATGCAAGGCTTTGGGATGATTTTCATTGCTTTTATTTTATTTCCAATTTTTTTCGTGTTAAAACGTATCTCTATATTAGGTACTTAAATAATATAGCCGAGTTAATTCACTGAAGTTAATATAACTTAAAAAGATATTTACAAAACATTATAGGCTGTTTCTTTTAATTTTCTTAAATAATTCATTAGAAATTTGAAATAATTAAGAAGAATTTTAGAATATAAATAGTAACTGAAAGATGAAACGGTAACTGTTAAGATGGCGTAAAATGTAAATTCAAATCATGGTAATTATTAGCTTAGTAGTGTTTCATCTGAAATAATAATTAACATGAGTGCTTTACCTGCATTACTGACAGAGACGTCTAGCATCCTGTTACGCTTGCTGTAACGTATCTGGGATGTCAAATCAATTATCTCGTTCATTTTCCTCGTGATCGATACATTAATGTCTCCATTTCTGCCAGTTACCTGACCAAGCACTGTCATTTGATCATCGTTGTTTCTCACCTAGAGAAATACATATATTATATTACAAACTGAAACAAAACAGACAAATTGTAATGATCTTAAGTTTTACTAACGTTTATTTTATTTTAAATCTTTACTATCACTTCTCATTTTCTACTTCCGGCCAGAATTAAAAGCTTTAACTTATTTATGCAAATTTGTCTGGCGAACGCCAAGTACTTAAGTTGTGGCTTTTTGCCAAGCAAGAGAAAGGAAGGAGTTAGTAGAAGCAGGCCGCTTGCCTTAGCAGTTTTTACTCGGTTGCTGGTTGCCTTCCAGGCCAGAGGCTTAATCCTCTTGATAATTTTAAACGTATCGTAGTGTTAACAGTTCTCTGTACTACATACGGCTTCCTGTTAATATACGGCCAATCTTCTCGGAGGCCCTTTGTTTGTTATTCCAAAGTTAAGTTAAAGTTTAGTTAATATTTTTATATTCTTACGTTCAGACCACAAGTGGTTGGTCTCTGTATTCTGAAGTCCGAAAATCATTGTAAAGAGTGAAAAATAAAGGGTTTCGTATACCCTTCCTGTGTATCTTGTATACTTCCCACATTTATTGAACATAGCTTTAGTAAGCTCCCTGTTCCTGTTCCGAGTCAGGTCTTTGAATGTTCCCAAAGCAAGTAAGGCGGAACACTGAACCTGATAAAATATCAACGAACTCTCGTAAGTCTTAAATTTTGTTTAAGATACATTTTCGCTCTGTAATGTACGTACTTCAAAACACTTTGTAGGTTGAATGAAAAATAACATTTCTGCAACTTAATATCAAAAGAACTGAGGCATCATTGAAGCCTTTTTTTTTAATAAGCACCTTTTACATTTTTGACCGTCAAAGACGTACCGAATTCTTTACATAACTAACCGTCAAATTGATGACTCATCTGTATTCGAAAGCATAACTTAATGATATCAAGATTAGAAACGTAATCCACATAAATCGTATGAGATATTCAAAAACTCAATTAAGTACATGGTTTGGATTTCCGTAATGTATTGAAATAAGTTTTTTGTATTGAGAAAGGATAAAGAGAGAGAAATGGTCGTCAAAATATGTAGGCAGGGAATTCAGGGGTACAGCCTGGTTTTCCTCAATTCAATCCAAACCTCTGCGACAGCCTGGAATATTTGCTTCTGAAAGTTGCAGTTTTTTAATACAGCTTCCGAGAATGCTGTTTGTATTTCAGCTCAAATCTTCGGATGACTGAAGGTTTTCATCAAAGCAAAAGAAAGCGTTGACGAAAGAGCACATTTTATCCTTCAGACTTCAAGAACTGAGACCAATATGATTCATATAATCTCACTGACTACAGCTATTCAAACCTTTGGGGGAAAGCTGAGGGCGACCGCCCTCGAATTGCTTAAGCAATTTTGAATAAGTGAATTTGTGTGTAAAAAATCGTCCTGACACTTTTCCATCTGCTAAAAAAGGCCTTTGCACGATTTGTTTCATCCCAGATGCTCAAACTTCTCTTCAAATCACATCATGTTTCGAGATTTGTTATTATACAGGCAGCTGTGACGAAAGATTGTCAAGACTTCAATGTTATGCTGCTGCTTCATAAGGCATCGATTTCGAAGGTTATTAAATTTCAATTTAAAGTGCGTTTGATAAATATTTAGTCCAGAGCGGCAATTCGCCTACAAGGACAATAAATTTCGTTTTGGCATTTTGCGTTGATTCACTATAACCGTTGATTCACTTTTCAAACTGTCACTTTAAAGAAACTAAAAAATAAGTAATCTGCATAAATATATGTATGTTTCTCGCATTGTGATAAAACGAAGGTACCTAGAGCCATCCCATTTTGAATAACGTAATCTTCCACCGAATACGGCATTTGAAAGCCCCTTTAATTTAGAAATTAAAACTTGTTTTATGCTCTATTTCATATTTTGTAACGCTTTAACGAATTTTTCATTAACAAAGTCAAAGATTTCAAAACAAGCTATGGAAACAAAAAAGTTATTTTCTTCAGCGTGCAAGACTGTGTTTCGGAAATTCTAAAGATAAGTTCATTTAAAAACTATTTTGTGATATTGCTGTCGAATTAAGTTTTATGTTTTAAGTGCAAAGAACATGATATTTAATAAAGAATTTATTATGGAATATTATACAATAATTAATAAATAAAGGTAATCCATAAAACGTTAGAAAACGTCCCTTTGGGCTTAATGTAAAATCTGAAAGCTTTCAGATTATATTAAATATTATTTTCAATATTTCTGGAATTTACGATATAATACTAAACTGAAAAAGAATTCATTTATTCAGGCCATTATACACCTTTCCACATAGTTCACATCTTTAATTAAATAAAGATTAAAAATAAGTTTTAATTTAAAACATCTTATTTAAAAATTTTGGTTAGCTCTGAAGGGCTATTAGTCTCAAAATGGCATTCTGCGTCGGTTCACTATGAACGGCGTACCACGTTTTAAAATTTTCCCAAAGATTACCTCCCTGCATTATATTTAAAGACATTAAATAATGAAGAATCTGCATTCTAAAAAGAAAGTTTCTGAATTTCTTACACATTGTCATTTATTGCTGGTGGAAGAATTGAAAAACGTGAGGGAAATTCTTTAATATTGCTGATCGTTTCCCATTTCACATTAAACTCCCCCCTTTTACTCCTTAAGATTTTTGATCGCAACATTTTAAATGGTTTTAACGTTGTTAATGGCATTGTTATAAGCCGATGAAGCCTCGAAACATACAGCTGATCTCGGGAAAGTTTTCAGCAGCATTATTGTTAAGACTAGTTCTTCGCTCAGACTAGTTAGTTATTTAGTTCAGACTTGTTTGTTAGGTAGGTACTGAGTATGTGAAATAATGAATCGCATGAAGAAATTAGTTTTCGACGGTTGACAAAAAATACCTTAGAACAGAGAGCTTAACTCTTTGAAGACTATAACGGCCCAGACGGCCTTTCGTTCAAACGACCATAACCGACCTAAACAGCCGAAATTATGATGTTAGTTTCTTCCCTCCCCTCACACGTGTATGTGAGTCATGCTTCTCTCATTTCGAGTAGAAGGTCTAATTTACATGCATCTAAAACCATATGGACATACAGTGCCATCTTGTGGCAGAAATTATAGTTTGAAAAACGTTCCAAAGTACTGGCACAAATACGTGACAGTCGGTAGAGAATGGAACAATCCTCTGGCACGCCTGCGTGTCGGCCTGTAGATAAGTTGCTGGCACGTATACGTGACAGTCGGCGCGAAGGGGTTAATGGATGGGGAAGGGCGGAAATTGCTGTGAATTTCGAAACCCCTTTCGGGCAGTTCGGTATTTTAACATACAGGTTAGCGAAGGCTTCGGTTTTCAAAGAGTTAAAGTATGAAATGTTATTTCATAGAATGGTCTTTATTTTTCTTTAAATTGAAGAAATGAAGATATGTATTTCACAAAGTAAAACTCGGTAACTCTCAAATTTCTAAACAATCCTCAGTGTTTTGCATTCTATCATTATCAAAAATTCCTTTCCTCTAATTTAAAACCAAAAGTAAACTCTGTTATTTTTGGAAATTCCTTTAAAATATAAATGTATCTAAATTGCAATTTAATCGAATCAAAATTAATTATCATTTCGAATCTGACGACTACTTTACCATAACATAACAACTGGCAGTAAAACACAAATCTTTAAAAAATATCCAGTTAATTTCACATTTATCGAATATGGTTTTAGGATCTTACCACCAAATCGACTTGCTGCCTTGTCTTCAGGATCGTTGCTTTGATCTCTCTGACATTTTGGACCTGTGGTCTATAGAGATTTTCTACTTTAAAGTGAGCAGAAGATTCTATTCTTCTGTCTGTTATTTCGCCAACACACTTCACGTTTAGCATGTTGACAGGATGTTTTAGAGAGAATTCTCCCTTATAATGACTTTCTCGTCTTCCATCTGACGAATCAGAAGCTTTGAACTCCATGAGGATGTTGTGATGTCCATTAGTTGAGTAAATCAATTCACTTTTACCATGAATTTCAGATGGTCTGAAGGTGAGGGTATTGGTTTGGATTACAGCCTAGAATGCAAAATCATAAAGATATATATATATATATATACATATGTAAGATAAAAATATTTTTGCCATTTTGCACGGGTTCGTGGATTTTGAGTGATTGACAACACCACATGATGAAGAATCAGACACAATTTATTTAGCCCGTATTACTCAGAACAGCTTCATAAACACGTTTACAGTAGTCGAAAACTACGACGAGCAAGCTGAAACAATCAGCAACACAGCCTTCAGGCCGGTGGAGAAAGCTTCACCACGGCAAAGCACCAGAGTACAGCTCCCGACTCGGTTTAGTCGTTCTCGGAACTCTACGCTCTCTCGAGCCACGCTACAAATCGCTATGCACTCGGCGATAGGCTAGGGTACAGCTCTCGCCCGTTTCGGTCGTCCTCGGAGCTCTACACACTCTAAGATAAAACTCGAAGATGCAATAACTCGCGATACGCTGCGAAACACTCTCGACACTAGACTGAACACAAACGTGCTAGGCGAGACATTGAATGAGTGACTCCGTGTGCTGGCAGGGCTTATATAGCTTTTGGACTGCCTTTCAGAACATTCCGGTCCAAACCGGTAAGAATTCGTTCTAGAAGGTTCTCCATTTTCCAATTTTGTATCAAAATGTGCGATTTCTCGCCAGATATAGCAACCCTGCCTTCACGTGCCATTTCCCGGCAACCGTAAACCTGCTTTGTGGGGAAGCTATCTTACCGCGTGGTGGACATTTCGTAACAATATGTAAATCAAAATTATAATTCAAAAAGCCTCTAAATTGCTCATTTTTAATCTGGGTACTTCCTCTCTATTAATAACTTTCTCGAAATGACACAGTGCAAAGAGAGAGTACTCTTTTTAGAATAGAGAAGAAAAATGAATTTATGCTGCTAATTAAAATTATAATTTATCTTTTACATATTCTTAATTTTTCTTACACACACACACATATATATTACAAAGATAAAAACTGGAATAGCATTTAATTAAATAAATACTATTAATGTCGAGCAAAATACTACAAAATTAATTCCAATAAATGTTTAAAATACCAAACGAAAATCTAACATGTTTAAAAATCGCCAGCATTTGAATATATCTAATTCTTTTCATACCAGCATTTTATGAATTAAATGAAACTCACGTGTAATATATAAACGTTAAATTTGAAAATACTTTAGTACCACTATGTTTAAGTAAAACAGAAAATGTTAATATATGGTCTACAGTACCACAGATTAAAAAGAATTACGGTACAATTATTAAGCAAATGTATTAGATTTTGACATAAAATATTTAAGTTGACATCCGTGTTATTATTATCCAAAGTTATGAAAGCTTACGCACAGTACACGTCCTTGGTGTGAAAGAAGTTACTTTTTAAAAATAAAATACTTGGACATTTATGAAATGTCCTTTGTTATTTTATATGAAAGATTTTACAGAATTAGCATAAATTCCACAATATAGCTCTCACTTCCGTATATACGCAATATATGCAGTTTACTAACCGAATATATTTATTAACTAGATACGAGGGCAATCCCCAAAAAAAAGGTCTCCTATATTTTTAGATATACAAAGAACCGTTTATTTTCTATAATTGCTACATCACTTTAAAGACTGCAGAATGCTTTATTTTTCAACATAATCGCCATTTCGGTCGATGCATTTTTGTAGACGCTGTGGCAGTTTTACAATGCCCATATCATACCAGCTTGCCGCCATGCCCTTCAGGAAGTGTTGAGGAGCTTCAGGAGCATCCAGATGATCCTCCGATCTTTACGCATTTTACGAACTCAACAATCGCGAAACTCAACGAATACGAACTCAATTCGTCGGCAATTGACGGCCTCCCGCTCCTTTCTTCATGAATTTCAGTACGACCGGCTGTAAACTCTCTACACCACCTGCGAACGTTTTTGACATCTATGCACGACTGTCCATACACTTCCGTCAATAGGCGGTGAATTTCAACCGGTTTAACGCCTTTTGCGTTCAAAATCGAATAACTACGCGCATTTCGCACTTGGCGGTAACGTTTATCGGGAGCTCCATTTCGATTGGCTGCCAAGCCAAGACTGAGCATCCGAACGAAGCGCCTGTGTGCTTATGTGGTAGCGGAGAAGGCACCACTCACAACAGTGTTGCCAAACAACCGTATTAAAACTTTCTCTACGTCCCCAAAAAATAGGAGACCTTTGTTTTTTCGGATTGCCCTCGTAGTTACTGAAGCTCGGCGCAGTAGCTAGCGCATTGCGCATCACCACCACAGGTCCGGGGTTCGATCCGCGGACTGGGCAAGGTCGACTCTGTCTTTCATCCCTTGATTTCCATTCTTTGAGTCGATAAAATGAGTACCAAGTTCGCTTGGGGGCTAAACACTGGGGGTCCTGCCATAGGCAGGCCACTTGTTCAGGACATATGCTTACGCACCCCGGTCAAGAAAGCAGATTTCAGGCATTGGCCCGTTAGGGCTGTTACGCCACTGAGTTCAGTTTATATATTTACTAACCGCATATATTACTACTAAATTTTACAAAACGTTTTAAACTAAATAAAGCAAATGCTTGGTATTCAAAAGAATTAAGTATAGCCAAGTATTCAAGGAAGATAATATTTTTGGCAGCGGATTCAAATTTGAGAGATGTATGGAAAAATAAGTAAAAGCATAACCATAAATCTGGAATTTGCTCTGTAAATCGTCTGCAATCATGAATCAAATATAAAGCATTCAAAAATATAGTTCTTAATCCACATATGCTCAGTCTTAAAATCATTCTTACTAGTAATAGTTATTCAATTTACAATACATTTCGTGTGGTGTATCAGTTGTAAAATAAATTATTTACTTGAAAGATGCATGGTTGATTTTAGTGTGAAAATGGTAACCTACCTTTGGAAGTTTTGGATGCTCTACAGTAATTTGTATGCGATGAGATGTTTCTCTGTAACTGCTCATGTCAGCATGTTGAATTCCAACTGCCATGCGTTTCTCTAAGCTTCGAGATGCATCCCAATAAAAGTCCACACCTCCAGACGAAGCTCGGCTAGTTCTGGTGAAGTTCCCTTTCATCATCAGAGACCTCAAAGGAGTGTCAAGCCTACTCCATAGTTCTTTTCCAGTTTCAGTATCAGCCATCTTAATGTCATAGGAAATTCCTTTTTTACGGCTCTCATCCCAAGCGAATGATGCATCATGGCGGAATTCGTTGTCTTCGGCGGTATAAGATGTTCGAAAAGCGACAGCACGGTTTTGATAAGTCGACATAAATTTTATTTCACGACTGTTCCTATCTTTCTTACTATCAGCAGTTACTGTCAGGGGCAAAACTGGAATATCTAACGTAATATGAGCTGTTTTATCGCTTTTATGTAGAAGGCCTACCTTAAGATGTTTGACTTTATTGTAGTGGAATTCCAGATTACATTCGCTGGTTGAGGATTTCTTTTGATGCGTATAGTGAAGTTTTATATCTTCAGTTTTGGTATAAGGGCAAGCTAGTTGAATAACTCCTTTCAAGCCATCTCTACTAATATGATTTTGGAGTCTAAAAAGACCATGACGGCCGTTTTTCCAGCATTCGACAATAGTCGAAAAATGGTGGTTGAAAATGTACTCCTGCTTTATTTTGGCTTGCATTGTTCTGTACCTGTTGAAAGGTGTTTCTACTTCGAATTCGACTTCAAAATTTCCGAAATTTCTGAAACTTAGCGATGAATTAAAGTTATAGCGTTCATTAGAGGGGCTGCTGTAAGTAGCTGTGAGCTGCTGACGATTACCTATGTTTCCATAAGTACCCCCGAAAATATAAGTATTTTCACTGGGAGTAGTAAGACTCAGAGAAACATCTTTTTGCTGAGCAGTATTTTCCAGTCTTCCGGATGTCAGCCACTTAAAACCAGCCAGTTCAAGCTCTGCTCTGCCCGATATTCGGTTTTTACTTATTCCATATTGAGAATATACAACATACCTTGATTTGGGGAGACTCAATGTTATTCTAGAATCAGCATTTGAAAATTCGGCATTGTGGTGAGCATTTGCTAAAAGCTGAACCGATTGATAGTTTGCAACAGGCAAGCGAAGCATTAAGGACATTTCTTCCGATGACTGCGTCCGACTGAGCTTAGAGGTGAGGCCTAATTCTGGAATGTTTTCGTTAGAAGTTTCCAGCTGGAAGTTGCATTCAACATTTTGGAAATTGTCGTTTAAATACGTTCCATCAATTCTTAGCATTCGGAGGGATTTTATTGGTGTGGTGACGGTTAAGAAAGCTTCCACATTTTTCCAGCTATAAAAAGAAAAAATATTTATTTTCCAAATAAAAAAAAAAAATTCAATACAAGAATTTAAAAAAACAATAATAATAAAAAAAAAATTAAATACTTAATATTCACTAATCTGTTCTATCAGTTAATGCAGGATAATATTTTAAGACATAATTGATATAAAAAATAAAATAATATTATGTAGAACACATTTTAGTCCGTTTTCATTGTTATCTAAATATGCACTATATTTTGGGGTGAGTTCGACATATTTAATCAATATATAAATATATTATGTTTAAAAAACACTTAATACAGCTTTCACATCGCGAGTAAAATAAAATAAGAAATTTTGTACTCTTAATTCCAAAAAACTAATGTATAGGCATAAGGAAAATGTAAAATAATGCATATTTGATACATTTTAAAGCAACGTGTTACCATTATTAATACCCTTGACAATATGTTTCTATTGTTTGTAAATCTGACAGTTTAGTGGAATGAAACTCGAGAACTAAACTTTCAAAAAATTTAGTTCAAGATTATTAATCTAAATCCACTGATTGAAATTGAGGATTTTATTAAATAACACTAAAATGAATAAATTAATATTATACAATGAGATTAACGCTCATTTTCAGTTGTATAATAAAGGTTCAAAATAAACAAACACAGGTTTTAAAAAAGGTTATGCTATGAAAAGCTTTAGGAAAAGGTTTCGTTTCTCTTATCATAATTTCCTTCTTTGTACGTCTAACAACTGAAACTTGACTAAAATTTCATGACTAAAAATGTTATTATATCCAACTTATTGTTTGGGCAGACTTTATTTAGATACCAATTGAAGGAATTAAAATTTATAGAATACAAGGAATGCGAATAGACTTACCCAACTTTCTTCATGCTTCCGGCTACACGGACTTCATTACCGGGTGTGGTAACGATCAGTGATCCATCCATAGCATCGAAGTTCTCATTGTTCAGTGTTCCTGTGATAGTAAATGGATTCAACGACGCTGCCAATGGGCATTCCAATTTCAACTGAATTAATTTTTCTCGTTCATAATTCTTTAAGCTTCCTGTAATTGCGTGTGTTGTTTCAGGGGTGGAAACAGAAAATGCTGCTTCAATGTCACGACCGTTATTGTTTATGTATTTAGCCTGAACATTCAGTGTTGAAAAGGATAAAACATTGCTGTCTATTTTTAGCGTAGAAGCGATTTGATTTCCTTTAGTTTCATAATTGGCAACAATTTGGTGAGTTGAGCTGGGAACGATAAAATACATCTTACCTTCCAGAACTTTATTATTACGCCTACGTGAGTATGAAGCGGAAAGATCAGCCTTGTTTTCTGGAAGTAATGAACTTTCCATAGTTACTTGTACATCAATATCCCTTCCAGAGTCTTTAAACTGGCCATTAATGTAATGTACTTTGCCCATTAATTCTATAGAAATTTCGGTTTCGGTTCGCTTTGGCAAATTGTAACTTGCTTTCCATGAAACGATAGCCGTTCTGTAAGGTAAAGCTGATGAATCAGCTTTTAGTTCAAAGCTTAAATCATCATCATCTTTCTGGAAGGATACATCAAATGTATGAGCAAATATTGGTGATTTAGTTGAAAATTTAAATTGTGCATTGCTCCAATTTATCATATTTATTTCGGCATTAGTAGAAATTTTTTTGAAAGTTGTAAAAGGAGCATTGATTTCCAGCGATGCTGTTAATGGGCGGAATTGGCTGTTAGACATCTTGCCTTCGATATTTAGACTTTTGTGAGGTGTTTTACATTTGAGGGAAATGAATCCACCATCTTTGTTAAGCTTATATTCGCCGCTAGCTTCGAAGCTGCGAAGAATTTCAAAGGGTGTTACCAAATCTATGCGTCCCTCGATAACACTGTAATCATCGTTGCTTAAAGAGCTGTCTAAGCTAAATACTCTGAATCTTTCGAAATTGGTATTTACTTTCACTTTGCATTCCATGTATTCATTTCCTTTTTTGCTCAAATAAATAAGGGAACTTATTTCATTATTTTCCATTCTTAGATTAGACGAAAACTGATAAAATCCGGGTTCAGCATCAATAGAAGACGTTAGCTCTATCTCTCTAAAGTTAACAATAGGTGATACGAATCTCAGGTTTAGTTTGGCTATATTGTTTCCACCATACGTTACTGCTAAAACTCCCTCGTACGTGCTCCTTCGATTGATAGTAGTTGTTACTTTGCCACTATACTGACCAGATTTCTTTTCATAATTAGATTCAAAACGAATTTCTCTATATTTTGGAAACGGACTCTCTGCCCGGAAAGTGACGAAACCGCTTCTTGGATCATACTCTGATAAAACATCAATTAAAATATTTTTACTTTTACTCCATTTTAAGTTAACTTGAGAATTAAATTTACTACTTTCGCAATTACCGTTAACTTCAAGAACTACATTTTCGTAGCCTTCGACTGGTGTAACGACTCCAAACTTTGCTTCAACGGAGGTGTCTTTAAGTTCGTACTGTCCGTTCATTTTATACGTATTTGCGCTATTCCAGTCCAAAAACAATTCACCGCTGATACCATTTCTGAGTCTATCATACTTTGCTGATGTTTTTAATTCTCTAAGTGTTCTGTAAGGTGTAGAAAGCTCAAAATTTATTGAGGCTCCGTCGCGACGAATAAGTGATCTCCCGTTTAGGACGAAACTGTTGTCATTTTTAGAATAAATCAAACTTACGCTTTTATCCGCTCTACTGTAGTTACATGTAGCGCTGAAAGAGACTTTTTTCATTTCATCAAAGGGGGTTGCTAAAGTAGTTTCCAGATTCAAAGAACGATAGCTTTTTAAGAAATTAACTTTTGCAACTATTTCTTTCCTATTTGCAGAGCCCCAAAGGAAAGAAAATTGTGCAGTTTTCTGTGCACTGGACAAATCATATTTAGCTAAGGTGGAATAAAACTCATGCCCTTTAAAGTGACTGGTAAATTCCAGATTGGCATTGACCTTTTCCCATCGATTGTAATTAAAATTTCCGTTGACTTCCATCTTATTTCTGCGGTCCCATAAAACTCTCAGCAATCCTTTGAGCTCAGTGTTCAGATATTCATAACCTGAATTAACTTCTAGCTCCCTGATAGTCCTGAATGGAGTAGATATTTTCGCATTAAATGACTTTGAATAAAACTTGCTGGAATACTCAGCACTCAGTATAATTTCCTTGTTCTTGTCCCAAAGCAATGAGCTAGTGTGCTTTAACAGAGATCCGTCGCCTTCATGATGGATTGAAATTTTTCCGTTGAGTATGGGCGAATTTGAAATTAATTCCGCCTGTGTATCAAAATTTAACCAATCTCTAAAAATGAGCATGTGATTCAAAGATCCACTCAGTTCATTTTTGGTGAGATGCAGTTTTGTCGAGTATTCAGCATCCCTTTGGTTATGGGTTAAATCAATATGCAGCTCTTCATATTTCTTAAAAGTTGTTGTTATTGTTGCCGAAAATTCAATATTTTTGTAGTTATAAGTAGATTCACTTAAGCCGCTCAGCAATATGGTAACCTTTTCATTTCCAAAACCAGCATCAAGAGTGCTTTGCAGTTTAGAATTAATAAGTTTGTGCACAAAATCAATGGACCCTCGTTTGGGATCCATGTATTTAGGAGATTCTGCTGTTAACAATGCATTAAATTCAATATCATTAAAACTGTTCATCTTTCCAACAGAACTCAGAGATAATTTTGAACTATAAGGCAAGTTAGTAGCCACATTTAATTTATACGAATTTTGACGTATTTCTAGTGATGATGACAGATCGACAGCTTCATAATTCCTAAAAGGAGTAGTAAATTGTATCTTGCTTTCAAAATTCTTATGATATAAAGTATTCATGATCACACCAGAGACAGATGAAGTAATTCTGTTTGTGTTCCAGATTAATTCTCCATCTGTATTTAAACTAGAGCCATCATTTCTGTAAATTACCTTTGCTTCCACGTTTTCGTATCCGCGATACGGAGAAGTACCTTTCAAAGATACAGTACATGTTCTTCGTCTACCACTTAGTTGCTGGTTGCCTTCAAAATTTAAGGTTATTTGTCTGCTTGGAGCCCACTGCAGTGAACCATGTGTTCTATAATAATTATATTTTACATAGCTATGGTTTATTTCAGCAGAAATATCTTCCATATAAGAAAACGGAGTTTTGAATTTGATCACACCTTTTAGTGTGTTAGACTCGATATGTCGATTACCTGATAATTCTAAAATTATTCTATCATAATTGTTCCATCTAATCTGTGCTTTACTTGCAAGGTCGATTGGATTATGGTTATGATTAAATTCCATATACAAGTTTTCTAATTGCATAAATGATGTATGAATTTTCCCCTTTGCATCGACATTAGCCCCACCTCTTGCAAAGTTAAATCTTCCTGTTGATGACACGGAAAACTGGTTTCTTCCCGGCAGATTGCTAGAAATTTCGCTATCCCACTGCTTATTAGCATATAAATGTGTTATACTCAAAGTTAAGTTCTCATAGCCATTGTAAGGTGTTGCAAGCTCTAAATGACTATTGACTTGTTGTTGAGATCTGTCTATTTCGATATTGGCGGCCAACACTGCTGTTACCTTTTTGTTTGGTGCCCATTCAAATTCAGCTCTATTATTGGTTTTCCATTGGGAGTTGCGTAAATCTCCTTGTAAGCCAATGCTAAGTGCTCCAGTCATTCTTCTTCGGTACACTTCCAAAGCAAGTTTTCCATCATATCCGTCGGGTTTGTTTCGCAGTTCGCTTGTTACTGCAAAGCGCTTGCTGCTGTCTCTGTCTGCATCCCATAATATTTCAAAGGATCCTATTCGGTGATTATCTCCCATCCTGCCTTCCATTTTGGTGGTAATTCTCTGGCGGTTTGGCATTTTTATCTCAGCATTGCAGTTTAATTTATTTCTTTGATGCTGAATAGCTGCTTCTAGAGCATATATGTCATTATTTGAAGACACCTGACCTGTAATGCGATGGTTAAGAGAATTTCCTCCTATGTAGTCCGCTCTCATTTGATATTTGTTAATACCAACATTTAATTCTGAAGACAAGGCGAACTGACTTCTATGGAATCCAAGTGTTGTAGCAAATAGTGTTGGTCTTGCTGATGGAAGTTTTAGTTGTCCATCGACTTCGTATTTAAATCGAGAACCTTCACTTTTATCATTGTAATGAATAATCATTTCAGTACTTCTTTGTTGCCATTGATAAGACATAGTTGCTCGATATTCTTTTGCATTTGACTGATTGATGGCCAGCCGAGCAGCACCACTATGTCCTGGATAACGAAGCTTTATATCACTTGTGAAGCTTAGTGGATATTCTGTATCAAAATTAAGCTGAACTTCTGTGCTGATCTGCTTGTTCCTGTCATATTGAAATTTCAGAGCACTTTTCAAATTTTTATCTGTATTTTCATGATTTACATAAATAGAATAATCTATGTTTTTCTCGGGATAAGCTAAGCTAAGTGAGCCATCAATTTTATTATTTTTCAAGGTACCACTGTAGCCAAGAATTTCTTGAAATTTAATAGTGTGCGCTCTGCTTCGTATACCATCTCCAAGAGTAATGGATACAGTATTCTCGATGTGTCCAGTTGTCTTCATGGTCTCGAAAGAAACTTCAGTGTTCCATTCAGGCAAGAACGAGGTTTCGATATTTAATAAGCCATTGTATTTAGTAAGAGCAGAAACAGAAAGATTTCTCATTTTCCCAGTGATGCTCAGTTTATTCATTTTTCCTTCCATAATCCTGTAATCCGCAGTCATTTTTGCAGACATACTACCACTTAATTGAGCAAAACCTCTCACAGTACCATCTACTGCATAGCTACTTAAGCTCATTTCAGTGTCATAACGATCTTGCCCGCGGAATTCCAAGTTACCTGTTTAAAAAAAATAGTAATTAAATTTTATGTTATAAAAATTAAGATTTAATTAATTTGCATTTAAATCTTTTAAAATATTCAATTAATTTTTTAAATCAATGTGACTAATTTATATTTATTTCTACGATTAAATAAACCTCACAAGTTTCAAAATCTAATTTATTCTTTTGTTTTCGAAAATATTTATTACACTTTATGAGTTAATTTGCCTCAAAAATGATATAAATTTTAAACACACTGTTCAGAGTTATTAACAACTCGTAAATCATCGAATAAAAGAAGATCAACTAGTAGAGTCATTAGGTTATTTTGAAGCAGGAGAGATGGAAAATGAGCGATGCCCTCACCGGGACTCGAACTACAGACTTTTCGAATACTACTTACTCCACCTTATAACCTTTTGCCCCGTGCTGACCTCTACGCCACGAAGGCAAGCTAAGAAGGCGGGAGAAATACCTTATATACCCCCCTTTTAAAGGGAGACTAGGGTTATGGGACCCAATCGCCAAATCCTGGTGGTGGAGAATCATCATCCACCACCATTTCTAGTTCGGTCGCACTGTAGAGACATCAAGATTTTTGAAAGCAGGAGATATGAAAAAGGAGCAATGTCCTCGCCTGGACTCGAACCACGGACCTCTGGAATACGAGTCGAGCGTACTGACCACTACACCACGAAGGCAAGCTAAGAAGGCGGGAGAAGTACCTTATAAACTGGCTGAAAGTAAAAGCGTTGTGAAGTCTATTTTTGGGTTAACCAGTAGTCCAGTGGCAAAGTCGCTGAACAGTGGCAGTTCGACCAGTGTTGGAAATACGGTAAACAGGCTGGCTGCACGGACGTTTTCATGGTTTTCCCCATGTGGAAAAGGGGATATGAATCCCTTTCCATTGGGAATTCCTCTCTGAAGGCATCCCTCCCCTAAGGCAGATAGCCTTGGAGTATTTTGCTGTAGTGATACTAACCAAACCTTTTACAATACGCTATTTGACAATAATCATAGTAAATAATAATTTGTACTAAATTTAAAAGAAATATATAATAAAATTTTACAATTCTAAAGAATTTGGCTATTTTAGTATTTAAGAAATATACACATTAAATGTGTTTTTAGTTTCAGATGGTGAAACGACCCACGCAAAAAAAACAATATTTAGAGCTTACTTTTTAATATTTTTATCCATTAATGCTAAAATGGGTCATAAAAAGGCCTTTTTAGGCGTTAATATTAAAATGTCAATAAAGATTATTTTAACAGCTAAATTATAATTGCTCAGTAAGAAATTCAACTCATATGTTACTTAATTGCTTAAACTCCTTTTGTCAAACTTTTAAAGCAATAAATATAACTAGAATTTGGCAGAACTAATTTTTAATTGTATAGAAGAATGTTATTTTTAAGTGTGTTGTTTAACCATTACAATAACGCACATGAATCTTCAGTACTATTAAATTTCATCAAGATATCTAAGTTCATTTGTAGAATTTTAGTTCAAAAGTGGTAATTACAGTGAAATCGAAGATTTGATATTTTTCAGTTAGAAGTTCAGATTTTTTAATTTAGAAATTTTAAATAAAAATACCAGGCCCAAACTAGAAGGCGAAAAATTTATTTCATTCAAAATGCATCCAAAAATAAAACTACAGTCCATAGCATTTAAATTTTTGAAAAAGAATATAGTTTATATATATATGTGTGTGTGTGTGTGTGTGTGTGTGAAGTATCAGTTTTAGTCGTAGTTTAAATTATCAGACCATAAGTTTGAAAAAAAAAAAAAAAAAAAAAAAAAAACAGGATCCATTTATTATTATTCAGGAGAAATAGCAGTTACAAAAATCAGATATCCGAAGTAAATAAAAAAGAAGTACTAATAAATTTTTGTATGAAGTTTACTGCATCGTTACATTAAAGGAAAGATCCCGATATTCCTTTGCGAGTCCTTTTATAGCCTCTGGAAAAGCGGAGCTTCCAAGAAATGACGTCAGCCTCGTCAGCCAATCCAGTTCGCTTTAAATATTTCCAGAACATTCTATAACTGTACGTGTAGAAAAGGCGGGAAAAACAACTTGACTACGGGGCTGTGGATTTAATTCCACGTACTTTCAAATAAGAGACCGTCGCCATTAAAAATGAAAAGAACATAGAGTTAGAATTTTAAGTGTATTCTTGACTATGGAATTTTATTATTATAAAATATATATAACTACAAAGCAATGAGCCACAATTGGTGATTTGTAGGGAACAAATCAAATTTAAATCAAGGAAATAAATCGGGTATCAATAATAATCACGTATTTTCAATTTACCGGACGAGAAATTATGATCGTTACCGAAGTCTGATATAAGTTACAAACTAAGAAGAAGGATTCAGTATTCATACAAGGTTTGGTTATTTATTTATCTTTTTTCTTTCTTTGTGAGTTTAACATGAGATTCTTTGTCCGTTCCTGAGCAACGTTCCTAATGGTAGGTCAGTTAAATAATTAATGTATTTATTAGGCGTTATTCTACTGATCATTAAGTAATTAATAGTTAATAATAAATCAATAAAGGGTTTTACAGTCGTAATCGTTGTTAACCTGTATCCTTGAATTCAGAATTTTTTGAAGAAATTTTTAATTCCAGTGTTTTAAAATTATGCTGTTTTGCTTGTGTTTTTGTCCGCTAAACCATCGATAAGTTTTTAGAGGTCTGCTTAATTGCTCCAATTACTGTTATTATTATTGTTTAGTGTATAAGGACTCCTTGCACGCAAAATAAACATCTGGAGTTCTTAAATTTTTCGTAAATGATTTTTATATTTAAAACTCTTTTCACAACTACTAACATTTACAGCAATTGTGAGGAATGTTTATAGTAGTGTTACAATATGTGATGCATTGTTCTGGAGACTTTATTTTATAATAAATTGCAAAAATTCAAAATGGCCTTCCACGTTTCTGTTTTGTTTTATCAAGCAGTAACAATAATGAAACTCTAAAATAATACTTTTTTTAATAATAAGTTCATCCTCATTAATATCTCGTGGCCATAATTTAGGTGATATTTGATCATATTTAGTTGATATTTTTATTCAAATGTCCCGACGGAATAACAAAAGCATAATTTTTTTAATGGCCGGTTGCTTTATTTAATAGCCATTAGCCTTGCGCGAAACACAAGGACCTAGTTATGAAATTTTAAGTATAATATAAACACTTAAATAAATGCACTTAGAAAACACTTCTTTTAAAGTTTGTAATGTGAATTGTTTATGAAGTATTCTAAGTAGCAGGTCAATTTGAGAGGGAAACTAAAAAAAAAAAAAAAGAATTTAATTATTTTAGGAATTTAGAAAAGCCAGGACATCGGTGATAATGGTCAATGATAAAACTACCTTAAAGAATTCACTTGTATTATTATATTAATTTATATCTAGGTTTTTTGTTGTATTTTGGAAGACATGGTGTTTCAGTTGTAGTTATGATAGTCAATTTGCGTTAACTAAAATGTATAATGTTATTAAAGTAGAAAGCATTTATTTTACTGCTATTTATAAGCGCTGGCTATTTCATTATGGAAGCACCTAATAAGTGGCCATCGTTGCCCCCTATGAACGGACGAATAGTTACAACCGTGCCTTCTCTGGGATTCGAACTCTCTATCATTACGGTAATCAGGGCCTCTAACCACTGCACCAACTGGGGGCAACAAAAGTATAATAAGAGCATGTAGCTGCTGAAATTTCATAGCGATTTATTTGAACATTTTATCTAGAGTTAACTAGTTCTAGGCCTTAACAAAATTTCCTCTCCGTTTAATTTCGGTATAGCAATTCAGAAGCTCGTTGTTCTTCGTTCCAAGCGATCCACATGACTAACTCTCATAGAATAATGTTTCAAGCGAAAAATGTCGCCCCAAAAGTGTGCCGCCTGGAGCGAAATGATCTATATTACGATTCAATTATGATCACAATAGCAACATAGATTTGGTTACCCTTTCAGGAAATTTTTAATCGAGAAGAGTTTATTAGGTAAAAAAAGAAAACATTTATTGTTAATATTAATGAAATCTTAAGCAACTAAACTCATATGTACATGAAAAATCATTATGGTATTATTGCTATCTGACTAATAAGTTAGGATTTTTGTGTTTTCTGGAAACATATCTAGTCCAGCGTTTGAACGAGTACTGATTCAGTAAAAATTCCGATTTTATTTAAATATAAGTATTAAGGAATTTTGAATTTGTATGAGTTCGAATCGTAAATGTTTCGCAAACTTTTCGAATTCTCTATATAATAATAATAACCCGTTTTCAATATTATATGTTTTTAATTAAAGTAAAATTTTGAATCAATATTTTATGAAACAGAAATTTAAGAGTACAGGTTTTTAAAATGCATCTGAATTTACTAAGGAGAAATAAATGAAATTAGGTACATGAACGTTCTCAATTCTCAAAGAACGTTTTTTTTAAGATACTAGTTTGTGAAAGAAATTAATGAACAGTTAAAACGTTTTAATGTTTTTCAGATTCCTTTTAAACAGAAACAACTGCAGGAGGAAGATTATTTCGACCGTTAACTTAAATAAGCGGTAAACATTCAACGATGAATTCTCTCCACAGAATCTTTAAAAATCATCAAATTTTATGATACAGTTTATAATAGCCCACTTGCAACGTGATTATCTAGAAGTTCCCAACACGGTCGATAACCTCTGAAAATTTACCAAGCACAGTCTTTTTTTAATGAAAGCTTCTACTTGACTAGCAAAAAAACGAAGAAGTCCACATTTTAAGTATTTCTTTAGATTAGCATTCGAATGATTTAGATGATTAAAATAGCAATTACTTTCCAGTTTTTTTTAATTGGAATCTTTATACAAATTCTTACAGTTTGAATTTTAATTTTAGTTAATGAAAATATCATTAATTATAGTTAAAAATCATTTGATCCCCTTACACAAAAAATGAACTGTAAGTCTGCGGAATTTAAAGAAATGTAAATACAAAATGGACTTGTATTTACATGACGGAACTGTTTCAGTTGATTTATTTACTAATGAAAAATCGCTATACCTGAAGCAGATAAAAACATGGTATTTCTTACCTTTAGCAATAATAGGTTTTTGAGTAAGATCTTCAATCTTCACCTCAGCGGAATATTTTTCTCCGAACTTTAGGGTAGTTGATCCACTCATGGTTACCAGTTTCTTTGATGGTGCCTTCATTTCTAAAGACGCCATGTAACTGACTGCATTTTTCTCATTTACAGTACGAAGTCCTGATTCCAGACCAAAAAAGAATTTGTCATCGACGACTATGTTTGTAGTCAATTTGCTCTGACTATTTTCATGCAAAAACATTGCTGAAAAATGAATGTCTCAATGTAAAATCTTAACAGGGTTTAAAAACTTGCATTTTTAAAACTTTAATGTAATATCACAGCATTTAATATATTAAAAAATATTTATGCAAAAAAGCAAAAACTAATAATCTAAATATCATAGGTATTAAAAATGAGCATTAAAAATTAATTATTTCTTCCAGACATGAGAAATTGCTTTAGCACATAGTCAAGCAAAACTGTGACTAGAATATCAGTCATCAGTTACTGTTTCCTATTTAGCACTACTTCAGTAGATAAATATAGAAATTATAAAAATTTTAAATAACAGTTAAACTTATTTAAATTGGAATATTTAATAGTAATATATAAGAAGTTTTTTTTACACTATCTGCAAGTATTATTTCGTAGTATAACATTAATATAAAATAATTTCAATTCGTCTGTCACAGCTAAGAAATTTATGATGAATGTAATTAAAACTTACCATTTATATCGAGTTTCTTCAGAGGCGTTTTCATTTTCAAGCTGATGGAATTATCTTTTTTACCGACACTCACTTCAAATTTAATATTTCTTTCGATATGTGACCGGGGTGTTGCAATGGATATCATACCATACCGGGAATATGCTCCATTTTTCTGCAAAAGTGACATTTAAAGATTATTATTTTATTTCCTTAAATTTAATTAAAAGCTACGTAGAGATAATTGTCAGCTATTGCTAAATTTTGCTTAATTATAATATATAGATACCTAGAATATTAAATCATAACTATATTTATAACATATCACTTAAAGAAAAAGCCAGACGGAAGTAAGTTCAGACCACTATCAGTAAAATATTATTATGAAATGTCCAGCTGGGGTGACATAGATTCTCCGCAAGGCAGTTTTAGGGATGTCAGAAAATGGCAAGGGAAGGCAGGGTTTCTAGATTTGGCGGGAAATTCCCCATTTGGCGACAAAATTGAAAATATGCCATAGACGGATGGTATTCTGGAATGAATTCCTACTGGTTTGGCCTAGAATGTTCTCGAAGGCAGCTATATAAACTCTGCCTGTACATGGAGTAGCAATCTAGTGTCGAGTTGATCGTTATCGCGAGTTGGTGCGTCAGGAGTGTGCATCGTTGAGGCTATCGAGTGCATCGTGAGTTGTAGCGTGGGGAGTCTGGAGAGTACGTTGAGTTCCGAGAACGACCGAATCGAGTCGGAAGCTGTACTTTAGTGCTTTGCCGTGAAGCTGTCTTCACCGTTATAACCTGAAGCCTATGTTGCTCATTGTTTCAGCGTGTTTGTAATAGTTTTTCGACGACTATAAACGTGTTTTTGGAGCTGTCCTGAGTAATACTGGTTAATAAATTGTGCTTTTATTCTTCATAAAGTGCTATCGTTAATTATTCCTAATCCACGAACCCGTAAGAAAGCAAAAATATGAAAAAAGGAGGCAAATATTTGCACAAGGTATTCAGATAGTATTAATTGTTAAAAGCTTTTCCTGTCCTCAGTTCGTTAACAACCCAATCTAAAATTATGCTGACTGAGTTGACATCTAAATGAAGCACCGTGCACCAGAAAAATCATCTGCACTTAGAAACTTAGAAATTAATGCGTATTATAGGCGGCACTGGACATCTGCGCATAATTAATTCCTGAAAATGCGCGTGAATGCAGACTATTTGAAATTAGAGGGATATAAAAAGAAAAGCATTAAGCTTGTATTTGAAAATATTTATTCATCAATATTGTAAAGTATTTATTTATTTATATTAATTATTAAACTAAATTTAAATTAATTAGCATAAATTAAATCTAGTTTTTTAAATTAATTATCGTAAATTAAATCCTGTCATTTAAATTAGTTATTTAATCGATTTTAATTTAAATTAAATAACGTAAATTAAATATATTTATTTAAATTAATTATTTAACAAACTTAATCAATAATTAATTCTTATAATTATCAATTAATCTTATGTCATGTATCTCTTCTGCCATTTCTCCCCTTCCGATTTCCTGCCAAAATGCATATTTTAGTCCGCACGCATTTAAGTGAGGCAGAAAGATATATCATTTAAAGGGAAGTTTTCGATTGTTTAGACAGGGCGTGTTCCTCTTGCTGAAGGCCACGTTAATAGCTGAAATATTACGTTAGCAGTCGGTCTTTGGCGTTGCTTTTTTCTTGCCAATACTGATTTTCAGGCGGATGTACGTTCGAGCCACCTTGCTTGATACTATTTAAAAAGCTTTAGTGCTCTTAAAACTCTATGAAATCTTGAAGTAAGATGTCGCGCACCACGAAAACATATTTGAAGCAAATAAAAGTACACTTCAGTGATGTAATGTCTGTTTTTAAAGTTATGAAAAATTGCATCTCTACACAACACTGTGAAAGCGTGAAATATAGCAAAACAAATCTTACCAGTTCTTTTTTCCACTGAGCGTCAAAATTATAACTCTTCAGAGACAGATCGGTCTTTTGAATGAATAAATTGAAAGCTGCAGGTCCATTAATCGGATGAAGGTAAGAATTGGGTCTGTAAGGTGGGACGCGAAGTTCTGAACAGAATGAAACTCCGAAAAGATTGCTGAAAGTTTCTCCTGAGCAACTGGACAGGTAAGTTCCATCTTTCTTGTCTACCTTTTGCTCCCTTTCTTCATGACCGTGGACAAGGTACACTTTGCTCCTAAAATATAAATAAATGATAAAGAGTGAAAATCTGACAGCATTCGAAAAGTTCAGTTTCTCTAAGCGGCAAGACCGTATATATACGGCCTAGAATACTTTTTGTGGCATCTGTAAGAACGTATATATACGTGCATATTAAAATATGTCAAAGAAATTAGCGCAATATATCAAAAGTATACAAATCCAGGTATGTAACTCCAAGAGAGTTTTTATATTAAAATAAAAAAAAATAATTTGTTCTCATAGTAGTTTTGGAAAATTTGTGGTTTCTTAGCGAAAACCCTGGCCGCTCAGAGTGTTAACAAATTTAATTTCAAGAACATACAGTACGGTCGAAAGTTAATATATAAAATATTTAAAAAGCTTAATTAAGAAAAACCATTAGCGATAGAAACACAAAGACACCGTTAACGGTAATAATAAACAGATTTTATCATACAGTCAAAACTCGCTATAACGAACTCTGTAACAAACGTAACTTACAGCTAATCCCAGAATATAACTTATTACTTACAAATTATATCATTTTTAATATTAACAGTGTGCATATTATATTTATATTTAGCTTTCGTAAAGCTACATTAATTCAGTTCTAAATCCAATTGAAAATAAATCCCCTTGCAACGTGTTTATATACATGAGGTCCGTGTATTTTCAAATTATTTCGTATACAATTTAAAGCTGCAGTTTTGTGTCATAATTGCTAGGAATTTTAGTACTTACTCCATGTTGAAGACATCTATCCTGTCTCGGGGCATGTTAAGTTGAGCTTTCACCACTTCGCCATTTCTCACTTCCAGTCGACCATCAAGAACTGTAGAAGAATGCATTGTGCCTACGACTCGCATTCCGGATTTGGCCACATTACCAGCATCAACAGTCAAAAGACTAGCGATTTCAATTGATCCACTGTCAAAGAACATTTAAAAAATCAATAAAAATAGCAAACAATGAGTTTCTTTTGAAAGATATACAGTATTACTTGCATTTTAATGTAAAACCTGTAACAGTATAGCATGTAAAAGGATATTCACATCATACATGTGTTAAAATTTTATTTAAAAAGTGTGTGTAACAGTTAGCTGTGTTACTTGCTTTGTCCAAAATACACTCACATTTCTGATCTAAACTCATTCCCTTCAGATAATGCAAGTTAAAAGTATGAAAAAGTATGAATACACCTCAGATTCATGAAAAAGTATGAAAAAGTATGAATACACCTCAGAACCATTCATAATTATACATGGTTAGGAAGAACTATCCATCTATTGTGATCTTAATATAAGTTCGAGTCTGCGACTTTATACGGTGCGTCCAAGAAGTCTTTATAATCCTACATAATACTATTAACGAAATATTAAAGTCATACATTTTGGAAAGACCATCACTACTGTACGCCTAATTCATGCCTTCGGGTTTAAGAAAATTAAGTTGATTACTTCAGGAAACAATGCAGCACATGAGGAAATTTTCCAACATGGTTTCTGCGATAAATTTTGTGGAAACTTGGTTTTATCTTCTGAATCTGGGGCCCAGTCATACTTAAAATGCTGAAACGATGTCACAAAAGGAAGGTCCATAAAACCTGTGCTTCAAGCACACATTATAAACTTATGAACCCCTTTGACCCCTACTGAATTGAAGTGATTGCATTAAATTATCAATGAAAAAGGAGTTAGTTAAAAGATACACTGTACAATAGAAATCTTTTTTACACTATGCTTTTTTAGTCACAGATGGCAGTTTATTAAAATTCCTTCCACTAAAAGATGGCAGTTTATTAAAATTCCTTCCACTAAAAGAAGAACATGCTCATTTTATGAACAGTTATCTAGATCTTACTGAATTTTAAATTAAATATTCCATATTAATTAATTTGCAAATCAGCGGAATATTTTGCATATATATATTTCTTTAATTTTATAAAATCTTAGGTTACCAATAAATATTTTAGTTATATTTTTGTTTCTAGTTTGTCATTATAAACCGCAAGTTTAACTTAATTTCTATTAAGGAAAAAATTTAAACCTAAGTAATGAATATTCATTTAGCAGTTAGCTAACCAAATGTGGAATATTAAAGACTTAACAATGATAATTATACATGGTTTCGTGTTTTGTTAGGTATGCATCAGAGTGAGCGTAAATGGAGCACTAACAGAACTGTAAATTCATATCACTTTTCTCAGCTTCGAGAAAAAAAACTTCTGATTTTTTTTAGCAACACTGTAGAGACATTAGGTATTTTTTCGAAGCAGGCAAGATGAAAATTATCAACGCCTTCGCCGGGAATCGAACCACGAACCTCTGGATACCAGCCCAACGTGCAGAATCATTACACCACGAAGGCACGCCAAGAAGGTGGGATAAATACCTTATATACTCCCCCTTTTAAAGGGCGACTGGGGTTTTTAGGGGACACAATCGCCAAATCCTGGGTGTGGAGAATCCTCATCCAACACCCTTTTAATTCGGGCGCCACTGTAGAGACATTAGGTTAATTGGAAAAGCCGGAGAGATGAAAAAGTAGCAACCGCCTTCGCCGAGAGGCACGCTAGCAAAGTGGGAGAAATACCTTATAACACAAAAGACAATTATAACATATTTATCGTGATATTTCAATGGAGTCTTCTAAAACGTTAACGTTGTCTAGAAATTGATATTATATCTGACAAAAATTTTTATTATTGCAGGACTAAAACAAATGATTAAATTTCATTTCTAATATAAAGGTTGCGTATTTCGCAAAGCTTGTGCACGCAGTGAGTTTCAGTCAATTATCTAAAAACTTAAAATAATTTTGAAAGGAATATTACAATGTCCATGTAAATATGTCTAAAAAGGAAAATTTTGCAATAGGTGATGCAAATTACATAAGTGGTATCCATTGAAAAATTCAAAAAGCAACATTTAAAATAGCATTTTTGGATTAATTTCCATTTATGATGAACATGTGTCTTTCACATTCTGAGGATTATGTATGTCTAAAAGTATTTGAGCTCTTATGTTAATATGTGATTAATAGGTTTTCAACTAATTTTATCTATTTTCAGTTCTGCAAGTAAAAGTCTTGAAGCAATATTAAAATTAATTATTAATGAAATCTACATATTTAATTCAAAAAATTATCTTAAAATTTTCTGGTATCCTTATCACTTCTAAAGTAATTTCGACTTAATTCTGAAGTTAGGTTATTTGTATATGGACACACACTCGAGGCTATCTGCCTAAGACATTGGTTGTCAACCTCCTCTTCCTCAAATACCTTTTATATCATTGCTTTCCTGTTGTTGTTGTTTATATTTACTTGTCTGACGTAGTCAGCCCAAGCCCACAAAACGCCCCGTGGCAAGGAGCGCTAGAATACGCTTGGTGTTGGCAACAGCCTTGAGCACCAGTCAGGTGAGAGTGCAGTTTAGCTCAGTTCCGCCCCCAATTTTGATGAAGAGTGCCCTGGGGGGACGTGTCCAAGGGTTTCTCCTCCCTCTCCCCTTCCACCCAACCACACGAGAGGTTCGTCGCATATTTAGAATGCAGCCATGCCACACCGACACTATACATTTACGAGCGTTCATGCCTTCTGTGGGATTCGAAACCGGCCCTTCGGCACGACAGTCAGCGACACTAACCACTATACAGGTTAGGCGGCACTGCTTTCATTCTTTTCAAAATTGCAAAAAGAAGTGAACAGATATTTAGATTTAGATTATTTTCAACAGCAAATCCGAAAACCGATGGTGTCAGAGCGACAGCATTCCTCCTTGAAACTATATGAAATATCTGCTACTTGAAAACCCCTGGACTAAGAGTAACAGCACAGCAGAAGGCAGGTGGTGTCAGAGTGACAGCATTCCTCCTTGAAACTATATGAAATAACTACTACTTGAAAACCCCTGGACTAAGAATAACAGCACAGCAGGAAGCAGGTGGTGTCAGAGTGACAGCATTCCTCCTTGAAACTATATGAAATAACTGCTACTTGAAAACCCCTGGGCTAAGAGTAACAGCACAGCAAGAAGCAGGGTGGTGTCAGAGTGACAGCACTCCTCCTTGAAACTATATGAAATAACTGCTACTTGAAAACCCCTGGGCTAAGAGTAACAGCACAGCAAGAAGCAGGTGGTGTCAGAGTGACAGCATTCCTCCTTGAAACTATATGAAATAACTGCTACTTGAAAACCCCTGGGCTAAGAGTAATAGCACAGCAAGAAGCAGGTGGTGTCAGAGTGACAGCATTCCTCCTTGAAACTATATGAAATAACTGCTACTTGAAAACCCCTGGACTAAGAGTAACAGCACAGCAGAAGGCAGGTGGTGTCAGAGTGACAGCATTCCTCCTTGAAACTATATGAAATAACTACTACTTGAAAACCCCTGGACTAAGAGTAACAGCACAGCAGGAAGCAGGTGGTGTCAGAGTGACAGCATTCCTCCTTGAAACTATATGAAATAACTGCTACTTGAAAACCCCTGGGCTAAGAGTAACAGCACAGCAAGAAGCAGGTGGTGTCAGAGTGACAGCACTCCTCCTTGAAACTATATGAAATAACTGCTACTTGAAAACCCCTGGGCTAAGAGTAACAGCACAGCAAGAAGCAGGTGGTGTCAGAGTGACAGCATTCCTCCTTGAAACTATATGAAATAACTGCTACTTGAAAACCCCTGGGCTAAGAGTAATAGCACAGCAAGAAGCAGGTGGTGTCAGAGTGACAGCATTCCTCCTTGAAACTATATGAAATAACTGCTACTTGAAAACCCCTGGACTAAGAGTAACAGCACAGCAGAAGGCAGGTGGTGTCAGAGTGACAGCATTCCTCCTTGAAACTATATGAAATAACTGCTACTTGAAAACCCCTGGGCTAAGAGTAACAGCACAGCAAGAAGCAGGTGGTGTCAGAGTGACAGCATTCCTCCTTGAAACTATATGAAATAACTGTTACTTGAAAACCCCTCGGCTAAGAGTAATAGCACAGCAAGAAGCAGGTGGTGTCAGAGTGACAGCATTCCTCCTTGAAACTATATGAAGTAACTGCTACTTGAAAAACCCCTGCACTAAGAGTAACAGCACAGCAGGAAGCAGGTGGTGTCAGAGTGACAGCATTCCTCCTTGAAACTACTGTAAATGAAATAACCGCTATTTGAAATCCCTGGAGTAAGAAGAGAGAAGCTTCCGTGGAGGACGTAATGCTAAATTTTCCTTTGATTTGGTTTTCATTCATTTTTGGGTTTAATTACACATAGTACAGTATTAAATTATATAGGTGGTTTAATACAATTGAATTTGTAGGCTTTTGGACCTTACATTTTAAGACAAATACACATGTTATGAAACAGAATAATTAAAGGTCAGTTTGGAAACATTATTAATCCAAAGGGGCTTTGTCCCTGAAGGACTATTGTTTTTGTTTTGCAATTTTGCGTCGAATCACTCTGAATGTCCATTTCACTTTTCAAACTGTTGCCACCAAATATTATTGCCCTGTACTATATTTCAAGAAATTAAATAATGAGGAATCTACATAAATGTATGTATCTTTCTCGCATTGTGATAAAACAACGGTACCTAGAGCCATCCAATTTTGAATGACGCTTTCCTACTGGGCATCTAGAAGCACAATATGGGCATCTAGAAGCACAAATTTGAAATTTGGAATTTCCTTTATTATCGATTTCATATTTTGTAAAACTTTACCGAATTTTTGATTAACAAACGCAAGGATTTCAAAACGAGCAAAGGCAACGTTGTACAGAAAAATCATTTTTTTTCTTCAGCGCGTGAGACAGTGTATCCGAAGTTCTAAAGATATTTTCAATTTAAAATTATTTTGCGATATTTTTCTTGAACTTAATTTTTTTGTTTGAGTAGGAAGAACATGATATTTAATAAATAAAGGTAACACACAAAATGTTAAAAAAACGCCACTTTGTACGTATAAAATCTGAAACTTTCAAATTTTCTTTTTTTCTCTTTTTTTAGTCTTAAAGTCTTAATAAAATATATTTTACAATAGTTACTTCTTGACGGTCGTAGCTTTCTTCTTCATATCAATTAACTAAGTTTTATATTCCGAAATTTAAATTTCCCTGGCAGTTTTAATTCAAAATACCTTATCAGATGAAAGAAGCAAAAGTAGATTTAAATCCGATAAGAAAATGCTTACCTTGGCTCTATGTGTCCCATTATGTCAACATGCTGGAGAGATTTGACATTAAACTTTCCACCGATTTTCAATCCCACATTGGCTGTACCGTTAACCGCAATGCGAAGAGGGAGACCACTTGTCATAGGAACTGTGAATGTTGTGTCCAAGAACATGAAACTCTTAGAATATTCCTTTTCCTGCTCTTCTGCTAATTTAGTAACATAGTCTAATAAATTGATTTCTGGCATGCCATCTTCATTTGCTTTGAACTGATTGTACCACATTGAAGTACCAAAGATTTTAACATCCAAAGAGCCATAGGGCTGTTGTTGGAAGCGGGATTGAGCATCAAACTGTAATGATATGTAATAATTATATAAAAAAAGGACATCTATAAATGCACAATAAACAATTATGAGGAGTACACAGTTTCAGAGAATTATTTTTAATAAATTTTAAAATTTATTTCTTTGTGCTTATAAAATTTGAAATTTTTTGTTTCTAAATTTAAAATTCAATTATATTGTTTTAATTCTTTTTTTATTTTTGACATTTCACTTATGTATAGTTGCATCAATTTAGAATGCTTTAATTCGCGCAGTGCAAAAGGTCTCAAATTTGCGGTATGAAGTTTTGTTTCATGCTCTCGATTATTCATAAATCTCTTCTGTCAAAAATCCTTCATTAGGATAAGCAAAATAAAAATCATGAGTTAGCTCTATTAACAGGTAATGAATATTCTCCCGTTTTAATACGTGTAGAAATAAGAGAAAAGTTTCATTTTTTGAGCTAGATAAAACTTTAGTTTTAGCCGAAATTTTCTAATTGTAGTTCTAATAAGAACCAGATACGTGATTTGCTTTAATTTCTTTCATGAAGACCTTTATTTGTGACTTAGTTCTTATCTTTGTTATGGTCACCAAATAATTTTTGCAAGTAGAAATAATTAATTTCCGCGTTCCAAACCTGATACCTCCATAATTCGTTTTCCTATTTTCAGGTTTCAGAAGAAATTACAAAACATAAGCTTACAGACGATTGAATTTTAATTATTGCTTTGTAATCGAAACTATAAATAGTTCATATAAAATTAAAGAAAGAAATGCTTCCAGCATATTTTGTAAGCAATCCATATTGAAGAATTCTGCAACACTCAAAAGAACTTTGAATAAAATAAATAGAAGAAAATGGTTAAAATTATTGAGAATTTATATCAAGTAACCCTATCAAACATTTCTAACTAGAAGCTCCAATTAACCTGATTTCGCACCATGTTTGTAAGAAAGTATAATAATATATCGGCATATTCTTAAAAAAAGGTTACATAATAATTCAAGCTTATAAGGTATTTCTTCCGCCTTCTTAGCGTGCCTTTGTGGTGTAATGGTCAGCACACTAGGCGCTTATCCGAGAAATCCAAGGTTCGAGTCCCGGTGAGGGCAGTGCTCAATTTTCATGTCTCCTCTGCTTCGAAATAACCCAATGCCTCTACAAGATATCACTTAATATTATTATCATTAGCAACTGTCATTCATAGTATCGTTATATTTATATAACTCAAGTAATGTGAAAAGAAACTTTTGTTCGTAAATTACGTAACTCCATATTTTAGTTGCAACTATATGAAATAAATTAAATTTTTTTAAATATAATTAATCATTACTTATTGCAATTATTCTCTGTTAAACGTTACATTTTATTCAAGTATGTTGCCATCATTAATCAGACAAAAATATCTTCTCTGTTTGCGAAAGTAATAGCCAACAATTATCTTTATGTTCGTTATTTATTTGAAATACCAGCATAAGTGTTTTAAATTCTCGATTTGTGTAAGTTTAAATTTTATTCATAAGTTAAAAGTGTACGATGCTATTAGATTTATTTAGTTTTATTCATGATTTTTATTCTTTAGCAATAAAACTTAGCACACTTCAATTTAGTTAGATTTTGTTAATGTATGTTTGAGTTACGTTTTTAGAACTGAATTAGTGTTTTAAGAAAGTCATCCTTTTATTAGCAATAATAATTTATTTTTTAACTTCTAAAATGTTACCTTTTCATCCAGCTCATCTATTTTATTGTTAGATATAGATCGCTTTTCTCTTAGTAACTTCGCAACATTCTTCTGAGGGAAGTAGCCATGGGGCCCGAAGAAACTTTCGACGACATGTTCTAAACCTTCCATTCTTCCATCTATCTATATAAACATGAAAATAAGAATTATAATTAATACTCAAAAACGCATGAACTCAAGCAATGTAATTTTAGTTTTAATAGTTTATCGAAAGGAAGATGAATTAATGCATATCCGCATATCCATTACACTTCATTACGTGTTTTATACGCATTCACCAACATAAATCAATTTTCGAAAGTGTAATACATTAGCTAACATTTAATCTAATTAATTAACTTAATTTGCAATAATATCCCACTTAATTTGAATAGTTATTCGTTAATTAATTCTCAACAATTGAGAGAGTTCTACGAGAATAATATAAACAATAATTACAATTGTAATACATCTATTGGGTTAATAGAAATATGCAAAAAGTGCATTATAATCCACATTAGAGGAAAACCCAACGGAATTAATAAAAACTAATTGTTTAAACAGTTATTTAATGACATTTCATTTATATTCATTACCAAATTTTAAATGAAAAAAAAACGCATTAAACTATATAAAATCTGAAAGCTTCCAGATTTCAATGGTCGCCCAAAATGTCTTGTTAAGGTTTTTTACACTCTCGCTGAGATCGCAGTCTACCACTTTTCTGTTACATCCGTTCCTAAATTTTTCTTTGCCATTTTAGCTTTATTTTTAAGCATCATTTTCTTCGCTCTTAAGCCATATATTATTCGACAGCAAAATTACAATCATTTTAAAAGCAGCATAGAATTATATGTTAAGAATTTTGGATGCAGCGGTTAGAGTTTGCATACATTTTTCTGTTTTGTTTTCGGTTTTTTCTCAGTTTATTAGAACAATGTTTAGTTTTCTTACTAAGACAGCTTTACGAAATCTTTCTTTTTTTTTTTTTTTATTATTAGCGCTTGTTATTAACATTTTGTGTGTTTATTTTATCTTTAATCTGTTTATTTTGTGTGTTTATTTTATGTTTAATCTCTTTATTTTGTGTGTTTATTTTATTTTTAATCTGTTTATTTTGTGTGTTTATTTTATTCTTGGCGCTTACGCCATATAAAATTCGATTCAACAGCAAAATCACAAAATATTTTAAACAGCGTATCTTTAGAATTTCCGATAGGCAGTCTCGCGCGGTAGAGATAAAATTGTTTTTTACCGTGCAGTTATTATGTACTTCTCGCTTTGATATCGTTGATGTTGTTAATAAAAAATCCGTTAAAATTTTACAGACTATGAAATAGATAATAAAAAAATTCCAAATTCATAATTTCATGTACATAAATTCATAATTCATGTACTTCCAGGTGCCCATTTTCGGGTGGAGGACTACGTTATAAACAATTTGATAACTCTACATACCGTTATTTTTTCACAATGCAAGAAACATATACATCCATGATTCTTCATTATTTAATTGTTTCTAAATATAATACAAAACTATAATTTTAGTGGCAACAATTTGAAATGTGATACAACACATTTAACTGTTTCGTCGCAAAATGCCGTTTCAAGTCTGCTATCCCATTTAGGACTAACGTAATTGAACAAGGGCTTTTCGTGCTAACAAATAAAGAGTTCTAGATTTAATATTAGATAAAAGCGTATGCATACTAAATGTTTCACACTATGAGAAAAACTCCTAAATGGATAACAATAAGGGCATTTTAAATATTATTGAAACTTCACGCGACATTACTATTACCATATAATAATCTTTAACCCTTTGCGGCACAGTGTGTCCGGTCTGGACACACCTAAAATTTCCTTCTGTACACACAGAAAAATTGAATGAAAAGGATTTATATGTTACTATAGGCTACTATATTTCTATGAGCTATTATAGGTTACTATAGGCTACTATATTTCTACTATATATTAAGAAATTTCTATGTCTTTATTTATAGTAGATGGCAGTTGAACACAAAACAGTCCATATGTTTTAGCCATGTTTAGTTTTTTAAGACCCTCATTTTTCAAAGAAATCTTCCAGATTTTTTTTAGGGTATAAAAGGAATTGTTTGAAAAGAAATTTCTATATTATTTTTTGGCTGTGCTAATCTCATTATTCTATATTAGTTTTAAATTTTTACCTTGAAATCTTGCCTAAAATCAAAAGGCGAACCCAAGGTGTGCCCAGACCGGGCTCACCGATAATCTAGGACAACTGAGAGTCTGCATTCTTTATTTCTTCGCATCTCATCGGTCAGTTCATTGACAACAATGCTCGTTTCAGCACTCTTTTCGAAACTCTATTCAATCAGTGTACCCACTTTGGGCACACCCGCAGAATTAAACGATAAGTGCTATCTTCACAAAATTTTACTTGTGTACTCCTCTAGGCCTAATTAGACTGCCTGCCTTCTTTTTTTTAAATCAAAACTTTAAAAGGTAGCGTTCCGGAAAGGGTTAAATCTCTTACGTCACTCAAAATGAGCAATAGTTCAATACGTTTTAATAAAACTACACATTTATTGGCGAATATCGACAACGTATATTTCAGTGTAACAAATATTTTTTGTTCTTATTTTAATAATATTACTAGATTTAAAGAACATATTGTTTCAGATTTACTACAGAAATTCAGAATGTGCAGTATAATACTTTTTTCAACAAAAACTAAGAAAACTGTCGATTAATGATTTTCGAATATTCAACTAGTAACTAAATCTTATTCAACTAATCATAAAGTATTTACAGAAGCACAACTATAGTGAATATAAAAGTAATACGAATGACTAAATTATGCTCAACTAACCTGGAACAAGTTACATGTTTTTCCAAAGATATCAACTGTGAGATTGAACATAGCTGTTCGCGGTAAATAAGAGTCTGTGGAAAATATTATGTGATTATCGATGTGAAATCCAGAATCGATGGATTCCAAAAAGAAAGTGGCTTCCCGTGCACTTGAGAACTTCCTCGCATCCGATTCGTATTTGTTGAGGAGATACAAATTTGATACTATGTCACGAATATCTTGCCTTTCTGGATGTCTGCTCTTTGCCAATGCATTCATATGAGTCCAGATGAAAGATCCAACTATAACAAAACATAATAATGTGAAATATTATATAATTTATCTTACTTTATCTTATGTAAATTTTAGATATTTCACTGAAATTAAAAAAGTAATCATAAAATGAAGTACAGAATTACTTTGAGTAAAATACTGTTTTTTTTTTTTTTTTTTTTTTTTTTTTTTTTTTTTCACTTTTATTAATCTAAAATCTTGTGTACAAATTTTCCTTTTATACTTTTCAGAAGTATGTTTTGCCAACTTTGAAAATTATTTATAAATATTGTTGTTAAAACTGGCTCAAATGTGGAACTTTAAGACAGATATGACACTGAATCTTAGTCCACAATAAAAATACATATAAATAAATTCACATTTAAAAGTACTATACATTCTATGTAACAAATTATGCTGTTATCATTCTATTGTCTTTCGTTTTCATTTTCAGAGGACCACCAGCGGCCGAGCGGTAAAATCGCTGAATACTGGTAGTTCGGTCCGAGTTTCGAATCCCGCGAACGGGCTGGCTGCATGGGTGTTTTCGTGGTTTTCTCCATGCGTAAAGTGTATGCGAGCCAGTGTCCCTTAGAAAGTCCTCCACGAAGGCATCCCTCCCCTTAGGCTAGATAGCCAGAGTGTGCTTCGCCATAATTAAATACACATACACACGTTTTCATTTTCACATTTAAATAGTATGCATATTCTTACTATTCAGGATAATCATGAATTATTATTCACATAATTTCAAAGTTGTTGTCATTATAACCTTAAAATTTTACTCCGTGCTACAAGCTGTATTTAGTTACGCAGAGACGCCCTCGCGGGAAAGCAGTTAGTGACGCTTGACTGACATACCGAAAGGCTTGGGTTCGAATCTCGGAGAAGGCATGGATGCAAATTGTCTGTCCTTTCATCGGAGGCAAAGGTGACCCACCTTTCAGGTGCCTCCATAATAATGTAACCACCGCCTCAGACCTTAATAATAGCCAAAGCCTTTAATGGCTAGTGCCCGGCAATGGAAAAAAAATGTTACACAAATGCAAAACTAATCAAAACTAATCAAAACTTGCTTGTTGCAAGCAATTATATAAACTAGATTACATTCGCAATCAGTCACATATTTATAATGGCAGTTTCTAAAGAATTATTCAGCAATTTTATTACTATTCTGAGGTTTAGTTTCCCAATATTTATTTGAATTCGGAAATTTGGAACACGCTTTGAATAATAAGCAGAAACAATAAAATGTTTCATTTTATTCTATTATTTATGCGCCAAATTTGATCCATGTTATCATTCTATTATTAGCTAAAATTCCATTTTTCGTTTCTTTTTATAGGTACTTGCTGATTAAGCTAAATTGTAATACTTCACTTCCAAATTTGATTAGTTTTGTGTTATAGGAAATCTTAGCGCAATTATTAGATTCCGTACGATTAAACGATTTATTCCAATTAACTCGTTTGGGTAATTCGAAAATCGATTTCTTAAAAGTGCAATTTTGGGCGACAATCAAGAAATTATTGTTCATTTAGTTTGTAATTTGTCAGATTTGTATTTTCGTCAATTTAATATTTGTAAATACTTGGGGTTGTCAACTACGAAACATTTGATGGGAGCATCAATAAAATTAATCTCTTCTTTCCGCATATATTTTTAAAACTGTATATCAATATGGCATGAAATTCTATTCATTGTCGTATTGATTCACTCTATTCTACTATTATTGTTGATATAGATAGCAAAGGCATACAATAACAAAAAGCACATACAGTGGATGGACAAAAATATGGAAACACCTTGTGAAATGCATGTTGGAAAAGAAAGATTGATTTTAATGAAATATGTTGGTGGCGCTGGCGTTTTTGACTACTGACGCCACCTATAAAACTTCGTAAATGGGCTAAACAGTTCAGTTGTTGTCGGAGTACTGTTATGTGATGTTGTCATTGCATTATGTCAGAGTTAACAGACTTCGAACGTGGGCAAATTGTTGGAGCACGTATGGTAGGTGCATCCGTAAGCAAGGTAGCCGAGGTGTTTAGTGTTTCAAGAGGTACTGTATCGAAGATTTTATTCCGCATATTTGAAAAAGCAGAAAAAAACATCATCTGCTAAATCACAGCGCGGACGAAGGTATGTCCTGAGTGATCGAGACAGACGATCATTAAGGGCAATTGTGACGAAAAATAAGAAGACCACAGCTGCAAAAGTTACTGCTGAAATGAATGTTGTGTTACGGAACCCTGTGAGTACCAAAACAATTAGAAGGAAGCTTGATAAACAGGGAATTGCTGGCCGTGCTGCAATTGAGAAGCCACTCATCAGTTATGCTCATGCCCGTAACAGGAAAAGGTGGTGTTTAAGTCATAAAGCCTGGACTATAGAGCAGTGGAAGCGAGTAATATGGTCTGACGAGTCTTCTTTCACATTGTTTCCCACTTCTGGCCGAGTTTACGTCTGGAGAACGCCATCTCAAGCCTATAATACAGACTGCTTCTTTCCAAGAGTCAAACATGGGTGGGGTTCTGTTATGGTTTGGGCAGCCATATCGTGGTTCTCTGCTAGCCCCATGATAACTGTGTCAGTGCACATGACTGCCAAGACTTATGTGAACATTTTGGCCGATCAAGTTCATCCCATGGTACAAACTTTGTTCCCCGATGGTGATGGTGTCTTCCAAGACGACAAAGCCCCTGTTCACACAGCTCACATTGTCCAGGACTGGTTTTCTGAGTACGAGGATGAGTTGTCCCATCTCTCCTGGCCACCACAGTCACCAGACCTGAATATTATCGAACCTTTGTGGTCTACATTGGAACGGAAAGTGCGTTCTCGTTATCCACCGTCAACATCGTTATCTGAACTTTCCACCGTTTTGCAGGAAGAATGGTATAATATTCCCTTGGCAAACATACAGGAACTGTATTTATCCATTTCGAGAAGACTGCAAGCTGTTTTGGATGCCAACGGGTTTCCTACACCATATTAAGCAAAGAAACATGTTTTTTAAAGGTGTTTCCATATTTTTGTCCAACCCCTGTAGGTTAGTTCAAGACTTTTTCTTAATGGCTTCCTGAAAAGCAGGGTTTCGTTTTATTAATTGCATTAACACTTAGAAAACCGAAGCTTTCGCTAAGCTGTATGATTAAAATATCTAAACGGCCGAAAAGCCTTTCGAGATTTACAGCAATTTCCTACCCTCCACCTTCATTAATGCACAAAGAGGTGTGAAGATTTCAAAACAAAGAAGCTTCCTTTAGCATTTTAGGGCAAGCTGTCTGCAATTGACTGATACAATGCATTTGGGGGAACTGCACCTGCTACTGCATACCTTAGGGGGAAGGAAGAGAAGTTCTCTCCCCCTTAAAGTATGCAGTAGCATGTTCAACCACCGCCGTAGTAGTAGGTTCCCACCTCAATCTCCGTTTCGGGCGGTTGTAGTCGTTTGAATGAAAGGCTGTCTCAAGCGTTTCGGGCTTCAAAGGATTAAATAGTCTTTCATATAATATTTATTATTTTTACTAAATTGGACCTTAAAGGTATGATTTGAAATAAATGGCTCTTTTATTTTCAAATTATTTTATTTTTATTATCTAACAGCAACTAGGAGAGCTGACATTAACGTTTAAGGGGACTCATACACCTTAAAACCCATAAGATGTTCGAATGGGTGACTGTTGCAAGAATTGGGATAACCTACTTATTTTAAAAGCAATTACTACCAACTTTTTACAGCTGACTACATAATATAGCTGCTTTCTGAAATAGTAACCAGAAAGTTTGTGTTGCCACAGATATTTTTATAATTTAATCCGCTTTGTGACAACATTTTTCGTCATGTTTCCAAATTGCACGCACAGTTTAAAACATTCTGTTTCATAATTTAATTCCATATTTAATATATAGCTTTTATAACATTTGGAAACTACTGTGAACCTAAAATTCTAAAAATTTCATGTTAAATTGTTATTTTATTTTGAGTTGAGTTTATAAAATGTATTTTATTAAAAAAATTGTAATGTTTTCGTCTATAAAATTTTTCAGTATTAAAATATTCATCAGATTGTTGGTTCAGTTAGAAAATAGTGCCCATATAAAGAATTCCATGCAATTTCAAGTATGTACCATTAGCCATTTTTAAAATATCATGTGCGCAAGCTGGAAACATGGCGAAATATTTTGTCACAAAGAGAATTAAATTACAAAAATATTTGTGGCAACACAAACTTTCTGGTTACTAGTTTCCGAAGCAGCTATATTATGTAGTCAGCTGTAAAGAGTTGGAAGTAATTGCTTTTAAAATAAATAAAATATTCCAATTCTTGCAACAGTCACATATTCGAAAATCATGAGGGCTTTAAGGTGTATGAGTCCCCTTAAAGCAAAAAGTATTAACGTACCTTGATTGATCTTTTCTTTCATGAAAACATTCTTGATGTCTTGAATCGTCTTAGAATTGGGACACTTCATAATCGCCAAGTAAGCTGCTATTCTGATTTCAGTATCTTCATTATAATTACTGTACATATTCATTAGACTTTCTCGCTGAAATTAATTATACATCAGGTTTTAGTTATTTATTTTGCATATAAAATACCTCATTTGCATGCGTTTCATTCCAAACATAAAAATATTTCTCATTTTATAGTTTTATTTTATTTATAGTTTTGCTTCGTTTACACAATTTAAAATCTGCATCTGAAATACTCATGTTAAATTTAATAAATTTGACTTACATAAATTTTTAAATACTACAATGGCACAATATAGAAACTTTAAAATTCAAATATATATCCTGTATTCTAAGCTAATTTCTATTATTAAGCAAAATTAGAAGTATAAAAAGTAGGTATTTAGCGACATAAAACATTATACAGTATAACGTCCGTAATCCGGACTCGTCGGGACTTCCTGACTAAAGGGTTCCTGACTAAAGCGATTCCTGACTAAAGGTTTTCCCGGATTATAGATCATCAATTTAAATCTGGTAAGATGGCATGCAGAAATTATACAATTAAAATTTTGAAATCGAAATTTATGAAATAAAGAACAATTATGATTTAAAGGGTATCAAAATTTACAAAAAAAGCTTAATATTTATTTGTTTACTTTATTGAACATTTCTTTCAATGTAAGGTGTTTAAGATGCTTCCACAAAAAATTCAAAAAGTTCCTTTTTCTAGTGTCATATATAGTGGATTTTCCAATGCCATACTTCTCGCATAATTTTGAGATGGATAGGCCTTTATCCATTTTTTGCAGCAATTCCACTTTTTGTTCAATGGACATCGAAACATGCTTTCGCTTTGTAGATCCTTTGGCAGCTCCAGAATTGGAAACTCTTTTCGACATAATCGAAAGCTCAAGCTTAATTTTTATAAAATTGTTCTAACATTCTGCAAAAAATAATAAGCCGGATCTAATTAGAGATTAAGAAACAGCGCAATCTGCAACATTAACTGAAATGCCTTAAATAATTTTAACCTAGCTTATACTGTCCGTTATAAATTAAACGCGCGTGCGTAAACGCATTATGCGTTTACGCCTGCGCATAAAGTTTGTAACTTTGAAGTCTGGATTGTAGATAATTCCGGATTATGGACGTCCGGATTACAGACTTTGTACTGTATCTCATTCAATATATTCTAGAATTCGGGATAAGAAGTAATTATGGTAAAGCTAATGCTAATTTAATATTGCTTATTAATAACAACTAAAAATTACGTCAAGAAAATAATTAATTAATATTTGATGATCTGGTTGTCTCTAGTTTGCTTCTAAAACGTTTTTAAACAGCTTTTTTCCCACAATATTTATTTAGGTGATCTCAAAATATTTTGCATTCCTACTTAATTTAAGCATATATTAATATTATAAATCGTACATTAAAAATTGTATAAATATTTTAAATCGTACATTAAATTGTATAAATATTATAAATCGTACAATCGTACATTAACTTTAAAATGACATTTTATTCCAAATTTTGACCTTTTATTAAAATTTATAAACAATTTAACGTATTAAATGATGTAAAATAGGATTTTTAAAATTATGAAAGTTAAATTTTGAAACAACAGTCAACTAAGTGAAAAGACATTTTTTTCTTTAAAAATCATTTCTTAGTAAATAAAATGTAATAAAAATTTTATAATATTGCATAATGTAAAATAAATATTTTTTTTCATTTTTACGGTGGACATTAAATTTATAGTATTACCTTATTCCCATACACTCGTATATATAGTATATATATACATGCTATATCCTATCCATATATAAAAGGGTCTACCATAAGTCTGGAATTAAAGGATTGATTGCTTTGTGTTATTTAATAATATATTATGAAAATATAATGATTAATTCCATGGTGTTTCGGAAAATCTCTTCTAAAACGAAAGTATAATCTTCATTTATTTATGTCAACTAACATCTTATTTTTAAAGAGATTCTTTATCCCAAAATGGTTCCATACTAATGAGACACCCTGTGTATAACCTATGTGCAGATACATAACTGTGAACTTACAGATACATCACAGCTGACTCTCCGGAATGTATCGATCGCTGCCAGTCGAGCCTCAGTTCTGATTTGAGGATTCTTATAACAAGCTTCCACGATATATTCTTTTCCAAACATGTGGCCAATGTTACCAAGGGCTTTCAGAGTTAGAATGATCTGCAAAACGAAACTTCAAATTTAGTCATTTAATTCAGATATTGCAGTAGAATTTATTACAGAGACTAAAGAATTATATTCACATATACATACACACTCACACATACATATATATATTAAATTCAAAAGTATTCGTTTTTAATATAAATATCCTTTGAATATTTTAGAATTACCTTCTTATCTTCTGGTGTGTAGCAGTTATCTCCTAGATTTCCAACCAGTTTGTGAACAGCTTCTCTCACTTGAGGGTAGGAGGAGCATTCGCGAGATCTACAGAAATTATGGATGAAGGCAGAGATTCCCAACAATGCTTGTTCGTTACGTCCATCCAGTAGAGGCTATTGGAAAGAGGTATAGCTAAATGATTTTCGCAAAATATGTTTTCATGCTTAGTTTTGTTTCTCATATTTTCAAGGAAAATAACTGATTATACTATTGTGAAATGTATAAAAATTAAGTAAAGTAATAATAGAAAATGAAATTTGGATAACGCATTAACCTTTTGAGGCCGGGTCTTTGGTAGCAGTAAAAGCTACCAAAGGACGGAGAATCTTGAACCGAATGCTTTCCCCCCCTTTAAGAAATCACCTCCTATTTGCAACAAAGATTCTTGTGTGTAGTTTAATGGATTCTCAGAGGGGTGCATCTATGTCGCAAAAGGAAGACCTTTGAAAGAGATAAGTGGTTAAAACCCTAGGGACGTCAAATTTGACATTTCACCCCTCTTTTCAGCCTGGAAAAGGGGGGAAAAAGACATGGCCACTAAAGTGGACAACCCCGTCTTTTCAAAGAGAGGACTCTATGGCCACTGTAATGGCCATCCCGTCTTCAAAAGGTTAACAGATTTTCTCACGAAAATCTGGTGAAATTTTTTAGTTAAAACATTTGAATGCGTTTTCTACTAAAATGTCATTTTCTTAAAACTGTATTGCTAGTAGCTACAACGTCAGTTTTTAACGGACATTTCAATTCAAAGTATGCAAAGACCTTATTTTATTGTAACCAATTATTTTTAGTTTAACTTTCCTTTCCCTCCTGATTTCAGCTTCCTGCCGGAATGTAAATTTTAATGACGTAGTATGCAAAATATAAGTGTGCTCAGAGTATTTAAGCTGCGGTTTCAGGAGTTCGTGAGGAGTAGTAGCAGAGTTGGTTCCGGGTTTAGGCTGAATGTTTGAAATAGCTCTCTAATTGGTGCTAGCCACCCTCTTCAGTGCCGTTCCCACTGGGGTTTATCTAACGAACACAACTAACGTAGTTGACCAATCTCCAAAACCAGTTTTTTCCCATAGGGCAGCAAGTTGAAAAGTCTGAACTGCACTGCAGGCACAGCGGAGCTAGTCGACACATTGAACCAATTCCGTTAGCTCACATAAACCCCAGTGAGAACGGCGCTTAGGTTATACTGATATTCTAGACTCGGGTTTGCTGTGTTCAGCCTATTTAGAGGTTTAGGTAAATAAGGAGCCAGTCGTTTAGCCATCCTAATTTATTGTGATTTTACATTTTTATTTCTATTTAACCACAAGTGGTGGTGAGTTGTAAGCACCGAGTGAGTGCATCTTGTTACGTTAGCTCAAATATAAAGATTATTTAAACCTTCTTCTGTAGCATCTGTTCTTCAAAGATATAGCCAGTATTCGCTACTTCGACTTCAGTAGGGTCTACAATTTATGATCCCCAGAAGACATAGACTCTATAAGTATATAGAAAAACTTCTGAATTTTAATTTTATCTTAATAATTTAACCACTGATTTTATAAGCATCTCACGTACGCTACAGTTTAAGGACGCATCACCTGCAAAAACTCACTAAAATATTTAAGTTCGTTTGTTTTGTTATCCAGTTTTAAAAGATATGCTTAATTTTGAAATTTGGATCTTTTTCGGTTTTTGCTTCTCTGATTTACTAACATTTACGATTTATAAATAAATGAATACAAAAGTAATTTTCATTTCTTACCACTCATTTTAAATATCTTAAAATATCATTTGAAGAACTCATGGGTTACTAACCAAATATTCCAACTTGAAAAATGGTAAAATAAGCTAAACTTTAAACTCAAGGCAGCAGTTACTACAATCGGAAATTATACAATATTTGACGCACACACACATCAAAGTAAATCACACATCAATGCGCCTACCTGAAAAACATTTACCAATGTGATTTTTTTTTAGTTGGATTAGATTATTTAAAACAATTCCATTCTGATGCAATCAAATTATTCAATATGTGAATTAAATTGCTTGGTGTCTATTTATAAGCAGTCGTAATAAAAATTGTGTTTTTACGTTCTTAATGTTAGGGACAGCTATGTAAGCTTTTGAATGAAGATTTCTAAATGATAATCTTTGCATCAGAAACAGGCCGAAGAAATGGTTTCAAATTTTATTCGGTTAAATGCTAACTCGATTTGTTTTACCTAACTAAATTTAATTTTATACGATACAAAAAAATCAGCGTTTTGGTTTTTTATTTCATCAGGTTAAGATTTGTAAGTCCTTTTTATAGCCTTTTCTGTACATATAGATTGGAATATTTGTTAAACATCTGTACTAAATGATTGTCTTAAGGAATCTGATAAGTGACAACTCACTAGTTAGGAAATTGTTTTGCAGAAAACGCGTGTGCAAACTTTGTACGTTTTTACTAAACCATGGAAACAAAACACAAATCCATGCACGAAATGCCGCAGGTTGAAAAGCAGGCTGACAAGGTAACACGAGCCTATGGGACTACTGTTCACTCGATATGTATTTGCAAAATACTATTTTCCTACCTATTTCTATCGATAAATTTCAGATTAAAAATAGCGAAAATGAAAAATAAAATTACCGTAAACGTAGCAATCATTTCAGCTGTTGGTTCATTAACGAAAGAGAGAGATGTCAACCAGAAATTGCTTTCTGATTCAGATATATCTCTTTGCTTGATCATTTCATACATAAAACGGGCAGATTCAGAGGTAGCTACCATAGGAATGGCATCTATGAAGAATTTCCTGAAAAAATAGCATTTTTTTAAATTCACTCTTCATCATCATTACCATCAAATACGAATTCTAAAATAATACTCTCCAGCTGTTAATTTTATGAAGTATTTTAATTGCATTCATTTAATTAAATGTTCATTTACATAAGTATATTTTATGCGAAAGTTTTGGAACATAATAATTTTTTCCAAATTGAACATGCGTTTAATTTTGCATAAAATGCATACCTAGCTTTTGGATTATCAGGGCACATACTATCAACTTTCTGGTAGAATGATTTCAAGGATGCAAATGGAAGTTTTTTCAGTTTATACACGAAAGCAGAAAATTTCCTTGGAACTGCCATGGAGATGTCCTGTTTAGAAGAATCACAGAGTTCTTTCAACGCAACTTCGCTTTCATCTGCAATTCTTGCAGCATTCAACTCTTCTTTCGCATGGCGATAGAGCAGAGGCTCTTGCGTGGGACGGTAATCTGAAAAAAAAATTACCCATTAATGATTTACACCCTTATCAAAATATGCCTGTTAGTTCAGTTAACAACTTCTATCTTAGTAACTTAGAATACGAAAGTTCCCAAGCTTGCTGTTAATTACAATAAATTTAAAAGAAAGCGTCTTGACTTTGTTGTATACCAAGGATAATGACTTGACAGTTCCAACAAATTGCTATGTTTTAGGGTGGACTACAAGTTCTAGTCAAGGTAAAATATTAACTACCAACTAGAAGAGAAACATGTTAATATAATATTTAAAATTAGGCTTAACAACTACCTAATTTTAGCGAATATTTTGAATAAAATTCTATCGATTTCGAAGACGAATATAAAATTCATTGTTAGATTCTTAAAGATTCCTTAGCTGACTTTAAATTATTGTGTAATTTACAGCATATCTTCTCAGTGTGATTTGGGATACGTCGAAACTAAAAGTGGGTTAAAGTTTCTTCTCAGGAAATTCGAATCTTAGGTCCGGAAAGGAGAAACACAAATCTTTGAAAGCCAGTCATAGTTGGAACCTTAATCACAATTCTGAATTGGTTCTATAAAAATTATTAATAAAGCTTCTTCACTGGCTGAATTAGATTTTATTGAAGCTTTACACATTCACAAAACCTTATTTTATTTAGTTAATGACATTACTTCCAATCCACTTCTCCAGGATGCTTTTAAAAGTCAACTGTAGTTGTTTTAAACGTTTCATTATTGTTTTACTCGAAAGATGGCGCTACGTACACGCTCGCTTTGTCCGTTTTGCTTACATATGATATAAATACGATCGCCACTCATCTCGCAGAATTTGCATGCCTCTTGCAGCAGGGTTTTAATAGCCCTACAAAGCGATGGAATTTATTCAAAACCTACGTCAAAACATGGTTGCTATTTATGGTAATTATAAATATTTAATACCTACTTAAAGAAATGAGACTTTTCTTGTAAAAAATATGGTTTTCTCAAACTACATAAATTCTATATTATTTCAGCATAAGGGTGTAATGATTAAAAGGAGGGAAAATAGTAAGAAGAGATTAAGTAGAAATATCCTAATAAATAAGTTTAGAAATCTTTATTAGTCCAAAGGGATTTGAATCCCGAAGGACTATTAGTTTCGTTTTGGCATTTTGCGTCGGACGGATAAATGTCGGTTCACTTTTCAAACTGTTGCCATAAAATGTTAGAGTCCTGCATTATATTTGGAGAAATTAAATAATGAAAATATGCGTAAATGTATGTATATTTCTCACATTGTGATAAAATAACGGTACATAGAGTCATCGAATTTTGAATAACGTAATCCTCCAACGCATATGAGCATGTGGAAGACCAAATTTGAAATTTTTAGTCCAAAGGGATTTGAATCCCGAAGGACTATTAGTTTCGTTTTGGCATTTTGCGTCGGACGGATAAATGTCGGTTCACTTTTCAAACTGTTGCCACAAAATGTTAGAGTTCTGCATTATATTTGAAGAAATTAAATAATGAAAAATCTGCATAAATGTATGTATATTTCTCGTATTGTGATAAAACAACGTTACATAGAGTCATCGAATTTTGAATAACGTAATCCTCCAACGAATATGAGCATGTGGAAGACCAAATTTGAAATTTGTTTTATGATCAATTTCCTATTTTTAAAACTTTGACGAATTTTTGATTAACAAACTCAAGGATTTCAAAGCGAGCAATGACAACGTTGTGCAGAAAAAACATTTTTACCTCCAGCGCGTGAGTCTCTGTATCGGAAATTCTAAAGATAGGCTCGTTTTAAAACTATTTTGCGATATTGCTGTTGCACTGGATCTTATGGTTTAAGTGCGAGGAACATGATATTTAATAAAGAAAGGTAACACACAAAATGTTAAAAAACGCCCCTTTGGACGTAATTTAAAATCTGAAACATTTCAGATTTTTTTTTTTTTTTGAATCTTTTAATTTGTAATGATAAACCTGGATTTTTCCCCTAATGATCACATTTTGTACAGCAAACCCTAATTGTTTTTTAAAATTTGTAATTTGTGATAAACTAAGAACTCTAGTTAAAAATATTCTAGCCATACTTTAAGGTAAGAATCACTTATAATTAAATAAAGCAAATGTATATCATATCTATCATCTATACTATTCAAATCTTTGAGCGTTTGTTTGTCAGTTTGTGACTTCATCTCCTCCGTAACGGCAGGAAATTGAGTTTCGAGAAAAGTCCCCCCTCCCGGATTCCAAAATTTCGTTCCACGTCATGTCGACCATTCTCTTCGTAACATTTTAATAAATCGAGATTTTAATTAAAAACTCAGAAAACGTTGATTTTTGTACTCATTTTCCCCAGTGGCAAGAGTCTCGCTCGCGGCGAGATAAAAATATGCTTTATTTCGGAAAGCGTTGCGACTGCTCGTTTCAAATCGTAGAATTTGTTAATAAAAGTGTGTAGGTTTTGAAATAAAATAGCATTGCCAAACAAAATTTGAAGTGAAAATAGCATTGCCAAACATTAAATATATTATTATTATATAAGGTTATATTCTGACATTGAAAGAAATTGTATGTGACGTCATTGTAGGTCGAAAATGTTTCGTTAATGTCAGCATTTTAAATAAATAGCTGCTGTTAGAAACCTTTTTGTTTCGAGTTAGGATAATTGACACAAAATATTATTGCCACGTTAATTCTTTTATTGCTACTAAGAAAAAGTAGTTATATTACATTAAATTTAAAACATGACATCATACGTATTAACCTGAAGAACCAAAACGTTTTGTTTTCTGGTTTGGCAATGAAAATTTATTTACGCATTGGATGTTGCTCCGAAAGAATGAACTGATTTCATTTATATTGAAATGCTTTTATGTATTTTCTTCTCAGGTGTACATAGAATATATAAGTTTTGCTTTGGGCGTTGACTTCTACTTTTATGTAAAGTAAGATAATGAACTAATATCTTTCCCAGATTATTGGATCTCTGCTTTAATTTAGTTTATTATCTTACAAACTGCAAAAAATAGGCTTAACTTAAATTTCATGTTTACATTCATTTTTTGAGAAGTAGAGAAGGGTGTTTTTGCTTTTCAAACGTTTTAAAGAGAAAGAAACTTATCATATTCTCTCAAAATTCATAGTGAAAGAACCAAAAACAAAAAGGTAGAATTTCCTTAAATTTTAAGCGGCGCACTTCTCATCCACTTATTAAATAAATAATTAAAGTGAAATCACTTTTACAGTGATGGGAATAATGCAATACTGAACGCAATTCATTACCATTTCCTGTAAATGTCCTTGAGCTGGTCGTAGCGTGCGACAGTTTCTGTGTAACAGTGGTAATGACGCCATTCCCTCCATTTGAAAACGGTCTGAAGACGATCTCCTCGTTACAAATAGAACTCTGTAGGTATCCATTTCCAAGGACTTGTTCACACTCCTGCCTGCCCTTAAGTAAGGGTAAAGATCTTGTCATCTGTAACAAATAACACAGTGATTTTTCAGTAATAAAAAAGGGCTTTTTGACGACATATCTCTAAATTATAGATTGGGTTTTATTAAATGATAGGATATCTCCTTTTCGTAAGAAAAATGATGATTTGATGTTTTATATAAAATGTATCATCTAAAATGAAGCTTCCTTGCTTTTATTCTTGACTCCTTACTTGAGAGAATTATATTACTTAAAAAAATGCAACTTACGTATAATTTTCAGAAGGATTTTATATCTTTTAAAATGAAGAAATAGGTTTCTTTCAATCCAGAATGCAAGAATATAATGCAAAATTTTTTACGAAAGTAAGCAACATTCAATTTTTTATAATAAATATATAATCATCTCAATAAATCTTTCAGATTCAAAAATTTTGCCTTGACTAGTGTTAGCTTTAAAATTTCCTAGGCTTCTGCAGAATTTTAGGAAATTATAAAGTAAGTAGGTAGTCTGTGTCCAATTTTAACTGCGATTTTTACTTTAAATACACAAAATTTATCTTTCATATTACAGAAGAAGGCTCGGGTTATCTTTCTTCTCCTTTCTAACTGGAAGAGTTATCAGCATCATTCCAGCAAATCTAACCCAAGCAAAATATCTAACCCATGAAAATGCTTTTCGAAATATTTTTGTTGCCTCTGATATTATTCAGTTTGATTAAAGAACTCATAATGCTATTTTCTTAGTAGTGGAGGTAATATGTTACTTAAAATATACCTCTTCTAATAAGACTTTAGCTCAATTACTATTAGAAGCACCAGTTGTCTAGTTATATATAAGAATGATTTTTAAATACTCCCATGATTTCATTTAATTTGTACTCGACTGTTTTAAAATATCGTCACCAGACGATTTTTGCCTTATCTTTCAAACTTTCTTTGTTTTCTTTTCTTTCAAAATTTTGTTGTCATTCCTTTCTTTCCATGAATTAGCTATAAAATTGCACATATTTTACAGAAATTTAACCTTCGGGTCGTTTATTCTCCTATCAATGAAATTCCGAGTTCCATATTCAAGGACCTCATTCCGGATATGAATTCCTGGGGTGTTTATAGGATTCCTTGCCAGTGTGATTTAGTTTACATTGGTCAAATTAAGACAGCCTTAAAATTTCGCGCTAAAGATCGTTTATATGTTAGATAAAAGGAAACACAGAAGCCCTCTGTTGCAAAGCGTCGTTGGTTCGAAAATCACACTTTCAATTTTCCTGCAGCAAAATTATTCAAAAAACATCTTCCATTGGTGAATTAGATTTTTTAGATTTCACATTCAAAATAAAATCTTTCTGTTCTAGTTAACGACCCCAATTTCAATCCATCTTTGCCTCCAGCCTTTAAAGAAATCATGTTTTAGTCCTCGCTCCATCAATAGATGGCGCAGTAGCTTAACTTCTGTCCAGCTCTTCTTATCTTATCTCATCTAATCACTATATCTTATCTCGTTCAGTTGCGCTTTGGCAGCTGAGGATGATGATTCGGTAGAACCATCAAAACTAGTCCTGTATACATTGTCAAATATAACGCTGATTTTTGTTGTTTAGCTTCTAAAATAAAAATTGTGAATAATTAGTGTGCGTTTGTCATTCTATAAGTTGCAATATATTCAAAAATGAAATATTTGGGGAGGGATTAACTGCAATGTTCCATGCTGTTGATACCCGTCTTTGTAAAGCTCTTTAACTTTTATTAGGGTTAAAAGTTGCTCTAAACAAAAATTTACAAGCTACAGCTTAAGAAACTCTGTAGAACGAAGGTCATTTAAAGGTGGAAGGCATTAACCAACCAAGTATTAGAAATTTCGAGTGAAAGCTTTATAAAGATACTTACGAAGTCTTGCGTGTAAGGTGTTCCTTGCAAGTAAGTTTCGACATTTTCTCTGTCAGTACAAGTGCTGAGATCTTTCAGTTTACGAACGGTATGCATTCCTTGCCAGCTGCGTCCCAAAGAGTGGTATTCAGCAGTACATTTTCCCAAAATGTCAGTCTAAAACAAAGATCAAAATTACATATATTTCGAGAAAAAATGCAATGAAAGCATGCGTTTAGAGTACAAAGAAACTGTATTTTATGAAAAACGTGCAATAGGTAGCTCACAGATTTCAATTTTGTGAAAGAGACGTATACAGCAGAACTCCAGAAATACAAATTTAACATATAACAGTTTTGTTCTATTATTTTCAAAATATGGCGCACCATTTTTAGTGTGAATATTTTCCTCAAATTGAAGGAAAGGAATATTATTTTTCTTTTGATATTGTTCATATTAGTTTTCCTTTTAATTTGTATTGCTTATCTCTTATATTTTTTAGGTTATTAATGAAGCCTTCCTCAGTTGCTGAAAACATTTAACCCTCCGAGCGTTACGGGTTTAGCCCCGAAATTTCAAAGTTCGTAAAAATGTCATGAATAAGTGGAATTTTCTCGATTTTAATTAAAAAATGACTCTCCATTTTGTACCTTGATTCCTTTTTTTCCAATATACAACCAAACCGAAATCTCATTCACTTTAATTCTATCCAAGTAATGTAAAAAATCATTTAATAGGCAATACGTTAAAGTACTCTAAAGGTATGTTAAAGTACTGTAAAGGTGTACGTTAAAGTACTGTAAAGGTGTGGTACATTAAAGTACTGTAAAGGTTAAAGTACTGTAAGGGTGTACGTTAAAGCACTGTAAAGGTTGATTTACTGTAAGGGTGTACGTTAAAGTACTGTAGTTACTTTAAAGTGCAGTAATGGATTAATGTCATGTTTTTCATGTTTCTCTCATTCTAATTGCAGACACATTTATCTTACGTTGAAGTGCTGTAAAAGTGTACATTAAAATACTGTAATTACGTTAAAGTACTGAAATTTTTTCCATGTTTCTCTCATTCTAATTGCAGAAATATTTATCTTAGCTAGAGCAACAAACAGAAGATTTTATCTCTGTAAGTAGCTAGTCTGAAACGCAGAAAAGCAGACATTTGGCATGAAAATTTAATGTAATTAGTATCCTTGAACAACAACACACTGATTTGTCTTTTGAAACATTAACTAATCTGCCAACGAAAATTACACAGGTGACAGGTGACGGAGGACGGGGACGCCTGGTGTTTAACAGGGGTAAGCAGGCATATGTCCCACGCCTTCCACTAACCAGATGCAACAACTCCCTGGAGCCGCACAAGGCCGCACCTGGAGCTTATTGATATTCCATTCAGATTAAACATGGCCATACAAGGGCGACATTGTGCTACATTGAAATTTGATGTACATTTGTGGTGGGGGGGGGGGGCAGTCTTGTTTGTACATTAAACAGAGCATAAACACACATGAAATGTGCACATAAATAAATAAAAAGAATACATGAATACTAAAAACACCTATAACTTTCAAACACCTAAGACGCTTCAGACACGTAGACACCTAAACACTTAAAGACACACACACATATTTCACTGATGTCATGTTCTAATAAAAACTAATCAAAACAAATATAAAATAAGACTACGCTTACCTCCAGTGTTCTTGTGGCCCAGTCTGGTCTGACAACATGGGTCTGGAAAGCTGACAGCACACCCTTCTGGATGTTGAGAACCCACGCTGGAACATCTTCTGTTGGGCAGACATGTTCAATTTTGCCATTTTGGAATGAAAATCTCAGAATATGTCTCTCGATTGTTCTCGCGAAATCTCTTACTCCTCGTATGGAGTTCAAGTAATCTGGTGTTTCAGGATCAGATAACTTAAGATTCACACCTCGAAGCTAAAATATAAAACAAGATTAACTTGTTACTAATATGCATATAGTAAACTTTTTATATATAACTTCTAAGCGGTTAAGAGCTGCTAAAAATTGAATTATTTCAATGAAATAATTTATGTTGTAGGCATGAAATTTATGAATGAAAATTTGAAAAATATATTCAATCTTCATCCCCATTTGTTTAGGCTCAAAATTTAATGTGAAACAATAATTTTCAGAAATGTTTTGTTATCTTTTCCATACCTAATTAATTTCTCCAGCGAAGTGTAAAAACCTTGTTTAACCTAGGTTGTTAACAATAATTTTTAGTTAAAGTCACTTTCCTGTCTTTCCTAATTTAAGCTTACAATTTCCTACCAAAATGTGTTTTCAGATTCGCAGTTAAATGCAAATGAAGGAAGAGCAGTACTTAAAGTCGAAGTTCCACTGACTTCGTTAGAGAGCCAGAGATTCTGACTAGCGCGCATTCGTCTTTTGGCTACACTCTCTTCAAGCTATTATTACGCTCGGCAGCATTTCAGGCCCTTGATAGCTTCTCCGTTTAGTTAGCGTTTAAGGAGCCAACTCCGGTAGATAGCTTCCGATATATCCTTTTAGTTAAGCATTACTTAAGTTTTATTTCTTAGTGTTCTTGAATTCAAGCCCAAGTGGAGGCTTTTACGTTCTATGTCCTGAGAAAGGACTGTCTGTAAACTTAATTTTGAGCAATTAAGGGTAATTAACCCTTCTCAAGTTTACGTGTCTGTCTCCAGAGCTAAAGCGATTATTGGCTTACCAGTTCTCAAGGTTCCACACATTTAGCTGTATATTCTAAGTTGGAACCTCATAATCTAAAATTTATTTGTTTTTTTATTTATTAGAGAAACTTTAAATTTAAAAGTTTAAAGATAGAACCTTCCCTAACGTTGAAACAATGAAAATTTAAAATTCATACTTGAACTGTATTTTAAATCCCTTTTAGTTCTTATTTTTTCCAGGTATTCTGTTTTTTTTTTTTTTTTTACTTCCTTGTACGAAGTAAAAAGGAAGTATTGTAATCGCGAAAAGTGTTTCAGGCAGCATATTTCAACGAAAATACTAATTTTAATCTTCCGGTTAAGGTTTTTATGTCTTTAGTAAATCTGTATGCAATATTTTTAGAATTATCAACAATTTAAAAGTTGTTTAAGTGCCGCTAAGCCTAATAATTTTTTTTTTGATATCGGCCATTGCTTGTTTACATTTGAAACAGCAGAGTAGTGAATTTGTTGAAAATCTAGAGAAACGTAGCTTTGCAACAACAAAGATAACGCCTTCATTTATTATTGCGATTTAAATCATGCTTAATCCTTTCTGGAACTTTTTCGAGGAAATAAGTGTTTAAGATTTACTTAATTTTTAATAATTAGTAATTTTTAATACAGATATTTTGAGTTTTTATGTATTTTTGCCTTGTCGCGAAATGAGAACTGAATTAATTGAATGAGAAATACTCAATCGTCTGTGAAAAACTGTTTCTTTTTTGTTTTGTTTGCTTAATTTCTTTTATACATCGTTCTAGCTTTATTATAGTATTTGAATACACGTGAATAACACGTGGCAACGATTAGATAATTCTTCAAATATAAATTTTGTGCATTCTGAGTTATAATATGAACGAAATATAATACTGTTAAGCGAACCCAGTGCCAGAGTGTCGCTATGGTAAACAAATGGAGTGAATTTTAAAGAATGCAATTATTCTATTGTGGTTTATGCGCTTTCGGTGAAGTAGATTTAATTAAATCCAATATGTTTAAACGAAATGCAAGAAAAAATGCGTATAATTTAATATTCCGTACAAGGAAGTCATGTGGTGTGCACATCAGATTTTTTAAGGTTGATTAACGAAGTATTCTCCTATGCTATTTCATTCTTTCACTTCTCAGTTTTCGGAATTACCTCATTCGTTACAGTGAAGTGCGCATTAAATTGCCATAAAAAGGAAGACGTGATGCAAATTAAGATATGATAGATATCAGTTAAGTTGCTGAGTATCTCTCATGCTACTAAAATCTTACATATGTTGTTCAACTAAATGCTATACGGAACTCACGTGAAAATATACAAGATATCGGAACATAATCATCTACCTTTTTTTGGTCAGTCTGATTTAATCTGTATGTAAATGAATAGTTCAACTAGAGTTATAACGTATTTCTCATGCCTTCATAGCCTGCCTTCGCAGTGTAGTGGTCAGTACGCTTGGCGCGTATTCCAGACGTCCGTGGTTCGATTCCCGGCGAAGGTGTTGCTCATTTTCATCTCTCCTGCTTCCGAAAAAATACCTAATGTCTCTACAGTGGCGACCGAACTAAAAGAATGGTGGATGATGATTCTCCACGCCCAGGATTTGGCAATTGGGTCCCTTAAACCCCAGTCGCCCTTTAAAAGGGGAAGTATCTAAGGTATTTCTCCCGCCTTCTTAGCATGCCTTCGTAGTGTAGTGGTCTGCACGCTGGGCGCGTAATCCAGAAATCCGTTGCAGACGGTTCGATTCCCGGAGGAAGCCGTTGCTCATTTTTCATCTCTCCTGCTTCCAAAACAACCCAATGTCTCTACAGATTTAAACTAGAAAATATTCATGATAGGTATAGATTACGTATATAAAACATTAAAAAATATGAGGCAGTTTAGAGCATTTGATTAAAACTACCGCGCGGAGATGCTCGAAACAGCTCGCCGCATCTTAAAGACGTAGTGTCATTACTAATAATTATTTAGTGACTAAATGATTTTTGCAGCAAGAATTATTTGCAGCAGAGAACAAAACGACTTTCTTTGAGCATCCACATATTCGCGCTTTAGATCCATTTTAATCTGATTCTTTTCTACAAACCAAGCAATAAATGCGTAAACGTTTTTTTAAAAATCTTGAAAAACTGTTGTGCTTGTTTAGAGGAGAAAAGGGAAAGAATGTAATGAAATTCAGGAACTGTAAGAAGTGATAATTAAAATTTATGTTCGTGATAAGCCGTTTTTTCCTCCTTTCCGCATGCCTTCGTGTGTAACAGGAATCACGCTCCACGCGTATTGGAGGCTCGGGGTTCGAATCCCAGCGAGGGCACTGTGGATTTCTTCAGTTTCCTGACTTCGAAAATTTCTAAATGATTCTACAAGTGACTCCCTAACTAAAATATGGTGGATGATAATTCGTCACCACCAAAATTTGGCGACTGGATCCCCTCCTTTCCAATAGCCCTTTAGAAGGGGTAGTATAGTTCGACCGCCTCATCCGCGACCATGAACGCAAACACGCATGCGCCATTCGGACCGAATTATTCTCAAAATAGGGTGGAAGGATGGGGACTTTCTTTCCCTCCAGCATAGCTCTTTCCGGAGAAGAGAAGACCTTTCACGTCGCAGCAAGTAATACCGCCCCTTTTGGACGAGTCTATGTGTTTTGGCAGAATGCCAACCAGGGTTGCGCTATAGACGTTCGAACTATATACAGTAAGACCCCGCTTAACGCTGTTTCGGTTTAGCGCTCTTTTATTTCAACCCGGGTATTCCTCGAAATCGCTCGCAGCATACGGGGATTCCCCGGAATATTATGCAGCGATAGATTTCAAATATATATCCGAAAGAGTGTACTTGTATTTCTTTGTGTGGTGCGGTATTGTACAGACATATTTTGAAGGGGTAAATGTGGAAGATGTCGAAGAAATAATTCAAGAAGCAGCGGCTAGTCTTTCTAATGATGAGCTCAAGGAATTAACTGAACAAGAAGAAAACAAAAATGTTGACAGTAGTGATTCAGAAGAAGAGCAAAAGGAACTTTCGATGGCGTTTGTAAAAAGGAGTTTGTCTACCATAACTGAAATAATGGATCAATTCATTGAAAATGATCCGAATTTTGACAGGAGCTCAAAAGTAAGGCGTGGTGTTAGAGATGCTCTATCCGTTTATGAAGAACTTTTAAGAGAACAACGCAAAAGAAAAAGGCAAACGACATTAGATGCTTTTGTCCCAAAAAGGCAGAACACTGAAAACGCGGAAGGCTAACTAAATATGACTGACTTAGAATTTTATTTGTTTTTTTTTTTAAGAATAATCGTTTTGTTATTTATATTAATTTTTTTTTTATTTTTGCAAGAAATAATAATGTGGTATTAATTTGGGCTTTAAGAAATAAATGTTTGGTTATATTTTTATTAAAAAAACATACTTTTTAAATTTAATACCTAACCAGTTTCCTAGCCATCTTCCCCTAACCCCAATATTTACATGTAAAGATAGCCTCGTTTAGCGCTGTTTCGCATTACGCTCTACTTTGATGGAACGTGTCCCCCGCGTTAAGCGAGGTCTTACTGTATACGGTATTTTCTACCTCCTTTCCGAGTGCCTTCCTGAAGTAACAACTGGAAGCACCCCCGACGCGTAATTAGGAGGTCTGAAGTTCGAAACTTTGTGAGGATATGGTACATTTTTAATGTTTCGTGCATTGGTGTAATCTAATTAATCTACAGGGCAATAAATTATAACTACATCTTCTGACTTTTTACGAATAATATATTTAAAGAATACTAAATGCTAGTGTTCAGAAATCTTAAAAATTTCATCATTATGCTCGAAATCGTTCTCTTAATAACAAAATAACATTTAAGTTATTAATTTGTGTCAACTTAGCTGAAAGTGTTTGAGGAAGTGGAAATAAGTATAAATTTATGTTTTCAGAAAACGGTTGTAGAAGGAAGAAAATCGACCTAAAACGTAATAAAACTGTACAAATACCCACAATTTAAGGAATACAAAACCTATATTTTTAGTTTAGAAAATATTTTACGAAGCATTAAAAATATTTCAGAAATAATCTGTCTATTTTAGCTTAAGATGGCAAGTGAAAAAATATTTGCATATAATGCTATTTCTTTAAATTTTTTCCTTTTTTTTTCAAATTCAAAAATTGTTCTTTTTTATCACTTACCGAAAGTGCTCATTGAAGTTATTAATACAGACATTTAGCAATGTTTTTCAATAATTCTTATACTGATCTAATTTACGCACGGGAACAATTTAAAAAATAATTATAATAATGATAATACATATTTTTAAAATTACAGTTTTAAACGTCAGATCTAGTTTAAAATTTTAACATTGAAATCTGAGAATGCAATCGTTTTTATTGCTTGTTGTATTAAATACCTAAGCAAATGAATCTATGCAATGCCGTATGCGATAGCAGATACGACTATGTTCTAACGCAAATTGAGATAAAATGTGCAGTCCATCGCCCGATAACAGCAATGGCCTTTTTTCCAGTTAAGTCTTGCGAACTGCGTGCCCAATCCCTTGTCCAATCCTGTTAAATCATGCAGTCCTTGATGTAATTACTGATACCCCTTTTAACGGCGAACAGTTCAATCACCACGCATTAATCACGATTGTTTATTTCGAGCATTTCCCTTCCTTTCTGTCCCACGATCCACCGCGAAAGGTCAATTGCTCTTGGGTTCCAAAGATCGAGGTTATGGTTCTCGAAGATTGTGAAAAGTAAGCAAATGCCTTTGTTTTTCGCTTTCGCTGTAAACAGATATTAGCTATTGATTGATTCGATCACTACTGGAGATGTTGGAAATTTCCGCTCTGTCACCTTCAAACTGTTTCGCAACGGTAGAACTAAATAAAAGTTAATGGCGTGTTTCAATTGATTGAAAGATACAGTAATGATTGACAATTTGTAGCAATCGTTTCTCAAAGATACACAGCATTCACTTAGCTTTCGCTCGAGGAGACAAAATTGTAGAGTCATATACAATTTTTTCGAACGCAGGAAACCAAAGAAATCCGCAATGCCTCTGCCGAGATTCGAGCTCGCGACCTTCCAGTTGTTAGCTGGACGTGCTTTCCAGTTACACTATTTTCAGTAAGAAGTAAAAAATACCTTACCTGTTTGATCATTTATAGGGCAACTGTGAAAGCGGGGATACAGTCGCTAAATCCTGGTGTAGATGTATTATTATCCACCATACTTCGGGCACCGGTTTTAGAGTCGATAAAATTTCTTCAATTCTAAAACACCAAAGAATTCAATTCCGTCACCAGTACTCGAACTACGGACCTTACATTTGCGTTACGAAGGTGCGCGCTAAGAAGGGAGAAAATATTTTACAAGTTCACAACTACATCACTTGGAAGAATTGAGGTATTTAGAACGTCGTATTTCATAAATTATTATTACAAGGTGTCTTTGGGATAAATTAACGATAAGCATTTTTGAGCTTTGGAACTTAATTCTCAGCTTTCTTTAACATCAAACTACATTAAGATTGTAAATCGTGGATTATTAAAATGAAATAGTGACAAAAATTGTTAAAATGAACTTCAACAATGTGCATCACTATTAAGCAAGAGTTCAAATTTGTTAATTTATTATATCTTATTATACGAATAAATTAACTTATTTGCTGCAAATTTGAACTTCCAAAAAACAACAGAAATTTGTAGGAGTAAATTGCTTATGTTACATGTTGTTAATGTCTAATTGCGGAAGAACTTTTATATCTTCTAAAACATATATCTTAGACTTAATATACATTAAGCCTTTCATATTTATTCTGAGACATTTGATATTTGGCAGGTAGTAGATATCGGAATGAATTGTAGGCATGACACTATGCAAATGCAATCTTGTAAAAGTGTCATGAAAAAAATTTTAAGAACTTTATTTTCAGTCGCTATTGTTTAAAATCAGACTATTTAATTAAAACGAGGGTTTACCTGTGAATTTTTTCATTAACGTACAAATATCTGCTCGCTGAGTTACTCAAAACGTTTTGCTTGTAGGTAATGAATGAGTAGAAAAAGGCGCAAATCAAAAATCATTCGGAATTTTCACACGTATTTGTGAGGTTAAGTCTCAAAAGTAAACTGGAGAGTTATCACAAGCGTCAATGAGGTTTTCGAAATTTAATACACACAAAGCAGAAAAAATAAATATCTTAAATGCATGATAAATGTCATTTCGAATTTACTACGTTCACAGTGAAAGGGGAAGGAGGTAAAATTCGAGCGAGGGCTAACTGAAATCACATGACACGAACTTCTTATGGATGCAAATACAGGTTAGTCAAAGCTAAAAGTTACCACTGAGGTACACTGCGAAAAAAAATGGGACAGTTCCTATATCTTCCGTTCTACTGGGCCAACTGACAAATTTCAACTTCCATTTTTCATATCGCGAAAGCGTGGATTAGGATAAGTATTAGATTTAAATACAGCATTGTTCTAATATAGGAGTATTTTGACACGAAATCGGAAATTTTCTGAAATATCATTTTTTTCCATATTTCGATTCTACGACTCAGGTTATGCCAAAGTGCCATGTTTTGTAAAAATCGCACGAGTAGTTTTTAAAAGCTTAGCTCTCACAATTTTCTCTCCTCAATGTTAATTGAATTGGATATATACTTATTAATAGCTCTTTTTTTCTTGAACTTATAGATTATAGAATAATATTTTTATTAAACGTATTATAGAAGGGTGTAAAAAACCCTTTTTTAAAGAACTTTAATTGAATAGAAGGCGCTTCTTGTGCTTACAAAACCAGACAGCATTTATGTCGTAGCTCAAAATTAAGGAATTTCCAATTAACTAATTCCAAGTGCATAGTAGAATATCAACTAGTAACGTGGCCTTCAGCAGGCGGAACACGCTCTGACTAAACAATATAAAACCTCATTTTAAATACTTTCTCTTTCTACCTCATTCAAATACGCACGAAGTAAAATGAGCATTTTGGTAGGTAAACGGAAAGTGGAAAATGACAGTATTTATACTGAATAAAAATTAACTGGTTAGGTGAAATAAATAAAGACTTTACAACTTAATTCTCTAACTTAAGAAAAAGGGCAAAAAAGATGCTTTTAAGCTTCTTTTATGGAAATAAGACTGTTTTACATTTTTAACTGTCGGAATTCTGCTGAAATAAAATACGAGAAGCAAAAAGTAAAATTCCCTCGTTTACATTAAATAAGCATTTGGCGTATGACTAAAAGAAAAACTGGTTCGTAATTTCAAAACATCCAGATGTATTCAGATCAAATTTTAAATATCTAGAAGCTTTTCCTCTACTAGGGAGTACAATGTTACTATTTTTGACTTCAAAATGTGACGGCTGTATATTTGCCCACAGCTATTTGTGTTTTCCGCCCAATATTTCTTAATGAGGATTTGCAGTTGCAGCAGACCTGGTATTAATATGATAACGAATTCAACTTACTCTGAGTGAAAGATCACATTTTGAGAGAACTTCAATGTCCACTTGAGCTGACATCTGAAGTTGAGTCTTATCTTGAGAGGGTCCTTGGACGGTGGTAACAGTAGTTGTTTCATAGTCATATGTATATGTACTGCCTGGCCTTAATGTAAAATCAGCTTCATCTGAAAATTGCATCAAATAAGAACACTGAAGATTCGATATGATTTCCAATATTTGTATGAAAATTATGAATGACGGTTAGCTTCCAAAACCCTATGTGCTCTGCAATCGATTTGACTTTAAAATTTTACAAAAAAAAATCAAAAATTTCTATCTAAACTGTACTCTAAAACACAAAGTGTAATTTAAAATGTTTTTTCGGCCATTTCGGTAATATGGAAACATGGAACATTCTGACCGTATTAATATTTCGTCTTTAATGGCCAAACATTTTGAACAATAAGATTTCTATTAGCAGCCATTGTTTAAGGCATGCCAAATTCAACTGCTTTTTAATTTTAATGAAATATAGATACATAGTTTTTGATATTTATATTAGTCAATTTTTAAACATCTTTTTTTCTGATTTCTTTAGTTTCTTTTTTATGAAAGTTATCAAAATCTTCTCTTAATAAGAGCTAAATAGAGTAAATACAGCATCTTTCAAAAGGCGATAAGCACTAGTCCAGAAATTTATTTGCCATTTTTTCTCGCAGTTGTCACTTTCAGAATCAAAATATGGATATTTAAATAAAATAATATTTACCGTTTCATAATCAAATTTTAGAAAGCATCTAGCGTAAATTAACTATAAAAAATTTATTTGTTTTAAATTAAATTATATGTGATCAGTGTTTGCAACAATATATTTATCTTTATAGTTAAATTATAAAACTGGTTTTAGGACATAAAATTTAATATTCCTCGGAAATATTTGGATCAAAGTAAAAATGATTACATTGCCGTAACTTAAAGTTTAATAGCAGAAAAATGAAGGAATGCTAGGAGTATTTCTTATTTGGATTTGATTTCTGTTAGGGCGATAAAAGTATTTCACATTCCGAAAGACAATTTTAGCTTATAAATAAAGAAAAGATGGGCATTCAAATAATGCAATTAACATTAAAGTTAAAATATTAAAATGAAAGTTAAGGTTAAAATTAAACTACATTAAAATTAAAACTAATATGCAAAATAATTATAGTTCTTTAAAATATATATTTTCTTTAAAATATAAAAATATATTTTAAAGATATAAAATTAAATCTTTAAAATAAACGTTTAAAGCACACATATTCAAGACAAGCATAAATTTAATGTATTCTTTAAAATTCATTCAATGTATGCAGCTGACCAGCTGGTATAGTAGTTAGGGGATCATACTGCGGTACGAAGGACCCGGGCTTGAAGCCCGGTGATGTTTGTAAATGTATAGTGTTGTGCGGTATGGAGGCACACTAAATATTGCGAGCCTTAAGTCCTCTCAAGAGATTGGTGGTAGGGTGCTCTTCATTGAAATTCGGGGCGGACCGAAGGCGTACTGTCACTTGTATGGTGTTCAAGGGTATTGCCAACGATAGAAGCAATCTGCCTCTGCAAGCCACGCTGCATTTCGTGGCCTTGTTCTGATGTATCTGTAGGAAAAGTGAGATATGTCACAAGAACACAACACAAATTTATGCTTTTCTTAAGCATACATGTTTTGAGACTATTTAGAAGGAAGAAATAAGTTTCTACTACGTATTTAAAAATAACTTTCCCCTTTTTGGATCTAATAATTATAAAATGAATGGTTTTGCCATTGAGAAAAATATTACAAAAAGGTTTTATTTGAACATGGCAATGTTTAAGTAACTTACCTGTACAGTACCTTGCACATTGTTCCCTCTTTCTCGTAGGAACTGAAAGAGAATAAATAACATTAATTTTCGTAGAAAAGAATAATTGCAAAATGTTAACTTGATAATGCTTTGAACCAAAAGCTCTAAAAATTAAAACTTATGAAGCTACTTAATTAACATTTATATAAGACATTAAAGTATTTATAATTTCTTAGGAAATGCATATGTAGCAGAAGATTACATTATGTAAAACGATCTGAGGTGTATACTAGATAATATCAGTAAAGTTAATTCCATTACTTATTTAATATGTTTCATATATTAACTGAATTTAAAAGCAGTATCATTGGATCGTAATATGCAATAAATATATCTGCATCAGAATAACTTCATGAAAAATTTTTCTTCGATTCTAAACGTCTTCGAACCAAAAGGGTCATTTTAGGCGCTTTTGAAAACTTATAAATTTAAAGTAATTTTTTTCCAGATTACTAATTTTACTAGTGGTTTTACAGTTGTTAATAAACTGATTTATTAATTTTCAGTAGTTACTGAAAATATCAGAAATTATTGAATATTTTTTGTTTTTTAAAGCAATTTATTTTTCCAAATCGTAAATTCAATAGCTGTTAATCAATTGAACTGCTAATTTTTTTTCAAAAAATTATGGAAAGTATTCAATAATATGAATTACATTTTCAATAATTACTGAAAATTTCTTTTTCTGTAATTTTCCATGTCTCAGCATCAAAAATCCTAATAGCTCTACAGTGGCGCCCGAAATAAAACAAAAATGAGGGGTGATGATTCTTCACCACCAGGATTTGGCGACTGCGTTCCCTAATCCCCAGGGGGGTATATAAAGTATTTCTTGGCATGACTTTGTGGTGTAATGGTCAGCACACTCGGCGCGTATTCGAGAGGTCCGAGGTTCGAGTCCTGGTGAGGGCGTTGCTCATTTTTCACGTATTTCGCAGCAAAAATATCTAATGTCTCTACAAGATGAACTAGAAAAATTCCTATAATTATCATATCATTACTTGACTATAGAAGCAAAGGCCAAATTAACTGTGTACTCCCTCAGATTTCACTTGTCTTAGTAGTTGAACGTTTTGTACAGGAGAAACCGTTTAAAAACATTAACTGCCCTTTCATTACCCTTATATCTTCTATAAGCTATAGTCCAAAAAAAAAAAAAATACGTAATTTGTTTTCAGCATTTGCGATACCTGCAAATCAGTTTGAGCTAGGTTATAACACCAGTAGTTCCAAACGTGTAGCTGTGGTCAGCGTTGAGCAACAGATATACAACAGGATTTAACTTAAGTTATGTTAAATTATCAGGCTGTTGTGCTTAGCAAAAAAAAAGTTAGAATATTTCCTTATCAATTGGCAATTTAATAATAACAAGTGAACTTAGAATGTTAAAAAAAAATTACAGGGCTACTTATAACATGGTGATCCACTACGATTTCTTTCGGTGAACTTAAGCATTAATAAATAGCAAGCATAAAAGTTTCAGAAATAATTAAATGCTGAATAATAAATTGATTTTCACATGCAGTTAAAATTTGGTTGAATATAATATGGTAATAATTTAACATTTGGCAAAAGTTACTCGATATGCGCGTGAATCAGTCAGCACGATATAGCTTTTTATGGTTTGGTTTGGTTTATTAGATTGGTTTGGTTTATTAGATTACGGAAAAGCACTCGAGGGCTATCTGCCTTAAGGGAGGGATGCCTTCGTGGAGGACTCTTTAAAGGAAACTGGCTCGTATACACGTTACACATGGGGAAAACCACGAAAACACCCATGCAGCCAGCCCGTTCGCGGGATATAGCTTTTTCTGATAATTATTTATAAATTAATGTGATTATTTTGCTAATACTATGCCGTTTGTCGCTGCAGACATTTGTAAAAATTTCCGATAAAACGTTAAAATACCATTAATTTTGAAAAGCAGTTGATTAACCTGCAGAAAAGTCTCGTTTAACGAGACTAATTAACTCATAGTTCACGTTAATGTGGTAAACCACGGTAATTGTTTTATTTCCTCCACTACTTAGCGTGTAAATTTTTGAACATCAGGTTCTAAATAATAGAATCGTAAAATGCTTATTGTTAATCATTAATGTAAATGATTTTTAATGTCTGGTTGTTTAATTTAGCTGTTTCTTACAAAATTAAGTAAAAGATTAGTACTCAGTTTCTTTCTTTTTTTTTTTTTATTTCCTCATGTAGTTTGCGATAGTTGAATAAGGCTCGACGTAGTTCTTGTTATGCAACTTGCGATAGCTGTCGCTCTCTTTATCAAGATTTTGTCGGATTTTGAAGCTTCGTTCCATATCAGGATAAACATTAAGCAACATTTCGTCAGCATGTTGAAGGTTATTGAAATTTAGTTGAATCCTTCTTTCTGGTTAACGTCTTAAGCATGAGTTTAGTTTCAGAATTTAGTTCAGGGAATATATTCTAAAATAACTTATTTCATAACAGAGAGTGCGCGGTTTCCTTTGTCTTTAGATTTTATGAAATTAGATCGGAAAAGGGAATTGTTCCATTTACGTATCCAACTTACTTATCCAACGTTTAGTAAATCTTACTAAGGAAATACAAGAAAATCCCGCCTAACGTAAAATCGGTATGCGCGATAATAATCAGTTAATATGATGAGTGAAATAATATCATATCCCGCTTTGTGCGATAATTGCTTTATAAGCGCAATTCTTTCATACACGGAACTTTTTGTAGGTATTTCAAACATTTATCAATGGAGAATGGAAATATATTTCATGAAGTCGGCACAGCTGAGAAAGAATTCAATAATTTGGCTAATGAAAGTGTGAGAACTAGCGCGTCAATTCCTTTTCAAAAAAACTAAGAATAATATATTTCTATAAGAAAATCTGCATATGAAGAAGAGGTTAACAGTTCGAAAACAAGAATACATTTGGAACTACTTGTAAAATAATTTGAGCTAATTTTCAATCATGCTGAATTAATATGATTCTCTAATTTGGCTTGAGACTGATCCTGAAACAGAATCAAGGTTTGAAGTTCACCAAAATGTCTAGATCAAACGATCTCAAATACCGCAATTAGCACGAGAATATAAAAACAATGAGCACTCTTCAAGCATATGTATTTGCTTTTAGTGTAAAATAGTAACTCTGAAAAACTAGATTGTTGAATGAATTACAACTACGCCTATTGTTTATAATATTCAGTTAATGTGGTTTCGCTTTAATGTGATTTATCATTGATCAATGGGTTAGTAAATTGAGTTACATGAGGCTTTCTTGAAACTCCACGTTCGAAGTTTAGTGATTTAATGCAATTCAATGGCGTCAGATTTAGTAAGGAATCTAAACTTAATGATGCAAGTTATAAAAATTCTTCTTCCTTTTATCCTCAGTTTTTCCCAGCATTCTTTTACATTTGTGTGCATTCAATGTTTTTGCCGCGCAATCCGCTATCAGTGACAAACGCAATTATTTAACTCTTTCACATCGAAGTCGCCCGTAACGCTCATTCATTCAGGCAACGGCAAACCACCCCAACGCCTCGTTTATTTTCTACCTAGTTCTTTCCCCTCCACGTTAGTGTATGGCTCATTGGTTTCGCGAGTTATTAAAAGACATGTCAATCATTCTTTTGAAGCAAATGAAGGAGAAATACGGAAAGCTATTGACGTCGCCGGTGCAATCCGGCCCTAAGGTGAAACTGCACACAATGGATGAAACCGCAGGGGGAAAGGAAAACTATTCCAAGACAAATTCGTAAACACGGGCGTTTTCGATGTTTGTTGAAAACAGATTTGGTCGTCTCTCGATGCGAAAGAGTTAACCACTTCTACTATTGTCTCCATAAAATTATACCACTTCAGGGCTCCAACTTCCCACGGATCAGACGGGAGCCAATCACTGAGCTTCCAGTTGTATAGCTCGTTTAATGGTCCACGACAGTCACGTGACGCCTGAGGTTTCTCCCTTCCTCTGGAAGAGCTTGCTTGCCTTCCAGGAGTTCATCTTCTCTGATTCGCGCCAGTAGGCTCCACACAGATTTGACTTCTCCCATTATTTTTTCCCTCAATGGTGAGTACTTGCCTATAACGACATTGGCCATTACTAAGGCCAGAAGTGGTGGCTATTTTTTTGTGGAAGGACCTAATAGGCGGCGACCGCTACCATCCTATGAAGGGACAGACAACGTTACATCCATGTTTTCTCCGAGATTCGAACCTGGCCCTTTGGTATCGCAGTCAAGCTCCTCGAACCACTATACTGTCTGGGCGGCACTTTTCAAATTATGTTCCCTGCACCTTTTAAGTTATTTACCAGTTCGAACCAGCTTCATTCCATCACCGTTCAGTGGAAGCATATCTTAACGCTTATTCTCCATACACCGCCACTTGCCTAGGAGCAAATCCAAAGACAGTCTAAAGCCTAACAATGGTTAAATGCTTGTGCTCCACCACGATACACGATCACAGACGCTTTTCTCATACCGATGTGGCAAAGAGTCACGCTCTTCCTTTCACTTCACTTCCGTCTCTACGGATCGTACTTTCATGCTATATGCAACGTCAAGCTCTTCATCTGAGCTAGTAAAATTGTGTTTCAAGCAATAACCAGCAATGATGTTATACAGGGGTTGGACAAAAATATGGAAACACCTTTAAAAAAACATGTTTCTTTGCTTAATATGGTGTAGGAAACCCGTTGGCATCTAAAAAAAAACAGCTTGCAGTCTTCTGGAATGGATAAATACAGTTCCTGTATGTTTTGCCAAGGGAATATTATACCATTTCCTGCAAAACGGTGGCAAGTTCAGATACGATGTTGCGGTGGATAACGAGAACGCACTTTCCGTTCCAATGTAGACCACAAAGGTTCGATAATATTCAGGTCTGGTGACTATGGTGTCCAGGGGAGATGGAACAACGCATCCTCGTGCTTAGAAAATCAGTCCTGGACAATGTGAGCTGTGTGAACAGGGGCTTTGTCGTCTTGGAAGACACCATCACCATCGGGGAACAAAGTTTGTACCATGGGAT